CAAAACTTTTTGGACAAGAACCCTTGGGTTTCAGACAACCAAATTTAATATAGTGCTTGTCCGAAGGACAAGTGGATAAGAAAATTTTTGGCGCACCCTGAAGATGAGCTTCAAGTTGACTAGAAGTTGTCAAGCTGTGGTGCTTTACAAACATACATGCATCATGTCTTCTTTTTCAGTCTTTTCATGACACAAAATAATTTAACACTGACCTGTCCCATTGACAAGGTTTTCTTGATTGCGCCATGAATGTCATACACCATTACGGTACCATCATCAGCCACGCAAAGTAGGTCCTCTGTGACGGACCATCCCATCTGAATTATGGGGCCTCCATCCCACTAAGAATAAAAAAGAACACTTGATCAATAGCCTACAGAAGCAGAACATTTTTGTTTTTGTTCTTGTTCCCATGCATTGATGGACTAGTCTTCTTCACTGCTGTTTTTAGCGTTGTCACGGAACGCTCCTCGCCACAAAGGGAGGTGGGTAGGAGCATTGTGTGACAACAATAAAAACGGCTGTGAAGCAGACTAGTGATGGACTAAGATAGATCCATTCTGCCTGCTTCAGTAACCAGTCAGAATATTACTTCATCTTTCCTGCTCACAGAACCAACCATATGATAATACAAGTTCCTGCTCTTTTCCAATGCAATAACAGAAAATGATGACAGTTACTCTTCTAGCCAAGAACAATATTGACAATATTAATTTGTCAAGATTAAACAACAAGAAGCCTGCTCGGCCTGGTCGACACTCCTCTTTGTCTGTGTTCCCAGGTTAAACAACAAGCAGCAGTAGACCTTAAAAAAAGACACATACCTTAACTGTGGCAAGTTCCCTTCCAGCAGAGGAAAAAATGTGAATGATGGGTTTATTAATAGCTGATCCTTGGACTCGAGCAAAATGCTTGTCATCTCTTATCAGAGCTGAAAATTTTAAATACAACAAATACAAACTATTCCTTCAAAAAGGAAATCTCAATGTGGGGGCTGCAGGACATGTAAATATTTAGGTGTACCGTCCTCAACCCCATGTACAGTTGTGCAGGAGCTGCTCGTAAGGTCTCTACTTATTGGTTGCAGAAAACAATGACTTCATTCTTTCAATTGTTTCAGTATTGTTTGGGGTCGGGTTAGGCACCATTGGTGACTTCTATTCTGAGCAGCCGCTACATGATCTCCCATGTATGTAGAAGAGTACATGAGTTACCAATGGTGTGCATTAGCGATTAAACCTACCGCGGTGCTTAAATCCCAATCATCCCAAAAATACACCACAGGGGCATTAGGCAATTTAGCATGGAGCCCTTCAATAAATTATATATTTTTTAAACTATTACTGACAGTTGAGCATCTAGATACAACACAGCTGGACTGCTTTTATCAATTGCATGTTTTATGCACTAGCTGTTCTAAAATAATAAGAAGCAAGATGTTCTTCAGAGTTGTTTTCTTCCTTTAAACTTTTTTCAGCCAAATCCCTTGACATGTAAAGACAGTTGACTGAAACAAAATTCTGGTACAGTATAATGGACTCTTGCTGATATAGACATACAGTACCGTTCAAATGTAAGTTGACACTTGATTCTCGATCCTTGCGAGAATTGAGAATAGAGATTCGAGTTGAGAATCAAGACTTGATTCTCAATTGTTGCGTCTCAATTCTCGATTCTTCATTCCCGCAAGACCCATCGAACTGGAAGGGCCTTTGTTTAGTTTCGAGTAACTCGCTCTCTACTCTTGATACTCGACTGCTGTGAGAGTCTACAAGTAACAACCTTCGTTCAAGTTTTGAGTAATCTTCTAACTTCTCTCACGTCAGAAAAGTCTTTGTACTCTATAAAATAACAAACTCTACTCAGCGTTTGATTCTTGTGAGAAATTCCTGAACTATGCAAATAGCAGTTGACAGCTGTCTCGGGGAGAACTCTTCAGGAAATTTGCATTCGTTTGCACGGCTCGTGTGCTACTTTGTGTTGAAAGCTTTAAATTGTTCAAACGGCATTTTGCATCATTCAAATAGCAAAAGTTGCCAGTTCACTAGTTAAACTTGAAAAGCAATCCATGAGCTTTTGTTTTTAAAATCCAAAATAAAAGGAAGCTTGTGTAAATAAATGTTTAATACGCGATGGTATGTAAACAAAGTCTTGTTGCTTTTGTTCTTCAGCTTGTCTTTTGAATTCTACTTACCAATTTTTTTGCGATTGCCTGTTTGTGAATGCCCATCAGCATTATCGCAGTTGAATGTCTGCTCATCGGTGTCCAAAGTTAGGGTGTTTTTTTGCTGGAAACTTTACTTGTAATTAATTCTGCTTGCAACTTGACCTCTTGACCAGAATTGCTGTTTTTGTGATACGTGCACATGAAAGCATCTCAGTTTGATATTTTGCCCTTTGCTTTTTATGGGACGTGATTGCGTACATGAAAGTTTCGATTTGAATATACATGCCAGAAAACTTCAGAAACCTCCAAGAGCTTTGAAAACAATTTTTAGTAGCGTATAATACAAACCACTTGCGCAATTTTTCATCACGGTAGCTGCAGTCACCTGCTAGGCAATGAAAAAGTTCACTCGTATCCTGTTCCATCACGGAAAAAAGCAGGCCCAATTTTACGAGCGATTACCTCAAACTAAGAAAGCGCTAAATTAAAAGTAGAATCAAAACCATTGTTTCTCGAAAGTTTTCAAGGATCATGAACACAATTTCAGAGCAAAAGATTAGTCATGTTACGGACGGACGTGTATGTTACAGCTGATCTTTATCAAGCCAAGCGGCCGAATAAGCCCAGAATCGTTTGACGTTACAAAATAAACGTGCTTTTTGTTTGCATTTGGAGCAGGTATTTGAAACTTTAGTAGAGGAAATGAGGCTTGATACAGATGCCCTTGAAGAAACATTCACTTTATAATTTGAATTGGTCTTGTTTCACGCATACAGTCGCTTGTGAGAATGTAACCATACCGCAAAATTGTAAAATTAGAGAAATCAGTCATGGGTGAATCTTTTGTTTTCTGTTCTGTGAGACTTGATTCTCGACTCGATTCTCGATACCTTGTTTCAATTCTCGATTCTCAATTCGCGCAGGAATTGAGAATCGTGAATTGAGTCGAGAATCGAGACTCGCAATGGACTGTCAACTTACTTTTGAAAGGTACTGTAACTTACAAATTAATGCCGGAACTTACAGTGCTGTTAAGAGCATTTCTTTGATTCTGGCTCTTAAACGTTTACCATGGTGAGTCCTATTTACCCTACAATAATGAGGGAAATGAAACTTGTACTCCCTGTACAAGTTAAACGACACTTAGAAGAAGTCTGATGTACTTACCTATTGGACCACCAAAAGGTGCTGCACTCACAATAAACCGGGATAGATCCACAGCATCTTGCCACTCCATACTGTACAGCTCTACTTTCCTGTTCAAGACAAACACATTTTGTGAAGAAAACTTCTGCTGTAATTCAATTATAGCTACAGTGTGTACATTTAAAATATTTCTCAATCCCTGACTGATTGGCTTAAATTCCATGGCTGCCCCGGTATTTCTTTCCTGAGCCTGCTGGTTATTTGCCAAAATTGAAAGATGTTTGCTTTGATTTAAAGGCTGATGTCAAAAGTAAAGTCTCAGACTGGAAAAGGTAAAAAAAAGATTACAGGTGCACGCAAGCCAAAGGCCCAAAAAGGCTGGAGCTTATCCCGCCTTCCTTACCATGAAGGATGACTATAGGAGTCTTGCCATTCCCTGTTCCCCCCTAGATGGGATGCTAGTCCATCGGAGGGTTACCCCCTAGCAGTATTTTGCGGGTATCCATTTTTAGTAAAATCCAACTAGTGGTCTATGATCAATGCTGCATTCTGATTGGTTGAGCTTCTACTAGGCTTTATGTTATAGCCCACTAGTAGCGGAAAGCGACGGCTTTGAAAACCAAAACGATGGCGACTGAATCGCGTTATGCTAGCTAAAGTTATTTTGTCTTGATAGTTTTGACCAACTAGTCGGATTTTACTAAAACAATTATTATTCCTCTCGCCCTCATGGCCTCTGAGTCAATAGCCCATTCGGCCTTTGGCCTCATGGGCTATTGACTCACAGCCTATTCGGGCTCGAGGAATAATATTGTTAAATACACCTGGGTGAAGAGAGGCAAAGTGGTGTAAAGGTCCTTGTCAAAGGAAACCATTTGAAACGGATTGCAACCATTCAAAAAGGATTGAACCCTGGACCTCCAGATCCGGAGTTCAAGGTGTTAACCATTCTGTCAGACACACCTCCAAAGTGGAAAAGGATGCACAGAAATCAAACAAAGAAGCAGAGTGATGGTTTGGCTGTTTTGGTGCTGAAGACCAAGAGTAAATGGTAGAAGATTTCACATGTTATGGGTAGATTAATGCCTCAAGCAAGAACACCCTAAAAGCCTGCCTTACCTGCAACCCAGCCACGAGCCCCGTCAGCCACAGCGAGCCCCAGCCCAAGCACCCATCACACTGAACTGAGAGTTCAGTGGAGAAATAAGGACCACAATAATACTAATAAATAATAATAAGGGTTAAGGAGGAAGGGGAAAAAACACTAAAACTGAGCAACACTGAGCAAAACGCCCTGAACACCATGCACTTTAAAACTACGAGCACATCATTGCAAACGCAGATGCATAAATCGCAATGGAAACCACTGACACAGGGGGCACTGGAAATTATCCTGCAACAGGCCTAGTACAGTAACATGAACCCCGGAGAAAACAAAAGAGCATAGGATAACTGCCAGCTCGCCAAAGCGTACCAATATAAAACCCTAACAAACGTCAACGACACGCCACGCCATTGCCACGCTAATGCCAAGCTAACTACTGAGAAGCTACTGGAGCTCCTCATCGTTAACTAAGTTAAGCAACTATATTTAACCTCATTAAAATTCCTGAACTTCTCCCTCAAAAACTTTGAAATAACACAAAAAGACACTGAAAACTACCATTTGAAGAATATCAGCAAGAAAATTATATCCCCTCATAATCTGGGACTGGCAAAAAACAGGCAGATGTTTGACTACTGGAATTTTACATAAAGGTAAGGATGTCTTCAGCTTGGAGGAAATATTTTGAATGAATAATAAAACAATAATAGGTAGCATTTTATAATTATGGGCCGAGCCAGAACTTGGAGACAGTCTGATCTGAAAAGAACCACTTACCTATAAAATACCTTTCCAAGTGGATTCCAGTCAACTGTAACGTGAGCCATCTTATTCTCTAAGAGTGAATGAAACGAGTAGCAAGTGTAATCGAGGTAGTTTAACCAGGATCTAATAAGTGCAGCATTAGTAAACTTCTCGTGACCGCAGATCCACCATTTTGTTTTTGCATCTGTACATCAACTGGTCAGCAGACCCTGTAACAAGTAGAAATCCCATGTTTCCAATCGGGTAATAATTTTCTTCGTGTAAGCGTACATGAAAATGCTGGAAGTGTTCAAGATGGCGGTCCCCAAAGCGAAGGGCTATCGGCCAAGATGCTTCTTTGATGTTGAAATAAATGGATCTCCAGGTACGAAACGTTAAATTCCTTGGATTAAATGTTTGCATTGGTTGCTGTTTTTCAAAATTTAATTTATGAAGTCACTTGGGAAGAGAAGCGGCTGAAATTCAGACTACAATGTATTGGTCAAATCGAAGCTTCAACATGCCCCCCCCCGGGCAACCCCCCGGGCATTTGACTTTTTTGAAAATTATTGTTCAAATTCCCCCCTACCCGGGCCAAAATGCCGTTCAAATGCCCCACACTAGGGTCCATTCAGGTAATCAAATGCCCCCACCCCGGGGACATTTCACAGGCACAAAAATGACAGAAGGACGGCTGAAACACCTTCAGTGGTCGAACAAAATATTTATAAATATAACAAAAACTGAGAAACACAGTTAGCGTATTTACTGCGAACAAAAGTGTCTTGCAAAGCGGCGGAAATCGCTGCTACAAGGTCACTGAATGCTCAGCTTTTTTTCGTCATGCAACATACAAAGCGTTCTATAAAAGAGATCCCACCCATTGAGATTACTACATCATGACCATTTCACTGACATGCATCATCGTTCACCTTATTAATTAACATACTTGCAGTAGGTCAAAGTAGTTGACCTGAGCTTTTTATCTTATTTTATTTTATGTTGTTGTATTGAATCGCCGATATAGGTATTGTCTTTCATTGTAAACACAACAATAAAATACATTCATACATTCAAAGCCTGAATCCAATATTAAAAATTTTAAAATTTAAATACTTCAAATACGGCACAAAGCTTGTTTAAGCCCTTTCCTCGCAACCAATTGGTCACAAAGGCACAATCTTTTCCACGAAAATCCTCTAACACCGCGTCCCCCATGATAGCTCGCCACGCCAAAGATTTTACATGAAATCAAAGGTGCAGTTCAAATTCCCCACCCCTAAAGCATTGGGATCAAATTCCCCACCCCCTGGAAGACTCTGATAATCAAATTCCCTCCTCCCCAGGACGGCAAAGGTGTCAAATGCCCGGGGTATGCCCGGGGGGGGGCATGTTTAAGCTTCGATTTGACCGATACATAACTCTTAATAATATGGAAATAATTATAAGCTTATTCAAGCTTATATTAAGTTTAATATAGCAGAAGTTTGATTCTTTGATTTTAATCAATTTCTATAATTTTAAACTTAAATCAATATGGCTGTGCAGTATTGGTTATGAATGCTTACTTCTCTTGATTAATGATGTGAGCCTAATGTGTTAACACTGGGATAATCTAATCTTTTTTATGGATTATTTTGGCTAATTAATTTAAATCAATAAGGTTTCCAATGAGCAAACTCAGTCTGCTTGTAACATAGAAAGAGGAGTAGGTGGGTAGAAAGGAAGACTGGTTTGAAAGAACTTCAAATCTAAAACTCTTAAATTTTTCTTGATTTAAGAATCAATTTTGCATTCTTTGTAGCTGGCAGGATTATTTTTGAACTGTTTGCTGACATCTGTCCTAAGACATCTGACAACTTTAGAGCATTGTGCACAGGTAAGGAAGTACGTATTAATGTAGATACATGTACTACCACTGCCACTACCAACTATTATATTAATATTAATAATAATAGTAAAAATGATCATGATAATAATAATAATATCTTTTTTCATATTACATGTAAACATTAGTGTTTTAGAGTTGAGATCAGTTGATGCGTGGTTGGCCATATACTCACTTGTAAGTGGGATGGAGTCATAATATTAAATTCATGGTCACTTCCTTTTTTTGTTTATTTTACTGGTGCATACATATATACACATATACATACATTTTATTTGTTACACACGTATATCCATTTTATTTGCATTTTAAGATTGAAGCACTATTGTAACATACCCCGCCTTGGGTAGCTATGCTAATCTACAGGGGTCCTGTTTTCAGGAAACAAATACAACTAAAAGTAATAACAGTGTTACAGATAGGAGATGGGTCTTGGGTCAATGACCCGACAAAGAAGGCTTCCTGACCCGACAGATGACATATAAGTATTAAGTTAAATATAATGAAAAAAAATAAGCATATGGTCTTGGTGACCCCTTAGATTGTCTACATGACCCCCCTCTTGAAATAATTAACTGGAACGCTGAATAAGAGGCCTAAAAAAATGCGAGAATTGACATAGTGACTGGAGACTACTGAAAAACTGATGCAATAGTGCATAGTGTTATGAAATTGCTGAACTCTTAAGGAAATTAATGGCTATTTTTTAAGTGATAAACGTGACATTTCATGGAAACTTTAGACAGGATTTTTTGGATTAACTTTGAGCCTGTTTTTTAGGAGAAAAAGGTTTAAGCAAGACTTCTGGGAAGGCTCTTCACTATAAAGGATCAGGATTCCATCGAGTTATCAAGGATTTTATGATTCAAGGAGGAGACTTTACTAAAGGTATTGTTATTTTTATATCAAGATGGTAAAAGAAAAGGCACACTTAAGCTGAAGGCTCAAATAGCCGGAGCAGCGCCGGACAGAATGCTAGTCCAATGCAGGGTTACCCTCCAGCAGTATGTCGCCAGTGCCCATTTATACATCTGGGTGAAGAGAGTTCCAAGTGGAGTAAAGTTCCTTGTCTAAGAAAACAATGCAATGGGTGACTTTGAACCACAGACCTCCAGATCCAGAGTTTGAGGTGTTAACCGCTCAACCACACATATCAAGATGGCTCAAATGGACTTAGAGTTAGAGCCTTAACTATTGTCATTAGCCAAGATACTGGAAAACAATCTCCTTTAATAGCTGTATTGTTACCTAGGAATTTGTTATGACTGATGTTATTTTGACACAAGAGTTTTCATCACAATGTGTAAGTGGCTTGTAAGTGTACCTAAGTGTAGTTGTTTTTGCAAAAGAAGTTGCAGATTGTTGCAATAAAACCTTTTTCGATGTCTAAACGGTAGGTTCTGTATCTTTACTTACATTAATAAGATCTTTTTGTGAGAGTTGCGAGGGAGAGGTTTTGTAACAAGAACAGCAGTTTTTCACAGAGTTTTTAAAAGCTGCTGACTATTAACACCTGATGCAAGGTGCTTGTTACTTTTCATGTGCGTATCAGATATTTTTTTGATCTGTAAAACATGTACTACATCAGTCTTCTAAGTAACACTAAGCAAACTTTTTCCTTGGTTTCTCACTGGATGTGTGTCAATAATTTTTTGCCAAAAATTGCCGCTTCAATGATTCTTGCACTACGCGATTCTAGTAGCGTGATGATAATCACGTAGTGTGCAACAAGATTCTCATTGCGCAGGAAACGAGACATGACTGGTAACTTACTTTTGAATGGTACTGTATGTCATGTGCTGTACAAATCATTCTTTGCAACCCTTTGATCAATTAGAGCATGCATTGAAAATTTGTTAAATAAATTATAATTTTTCTATTATTTTGTCTATCACAGGAAATGGTACTGGAGGAGAGTCCATTTATGGTGGCACGTTTAATGGTTTGTAGCTTCACAGTATTAATCTCAACAACAGGATGTGTACTTAGAGTCAGATTTGTAGTTGTAAAAATTGAAGAAGTGCAATTGCTGAGGATTGAGTATAGTGAACCTTTAATATCTGAATTGATTTTGTGTTATAGTCAAACAGCAATTTTATCAGTAGTTTGTCAGGCCTCGTTGTAAACATAAAATTGAGTTGACTACAGTGAAACCCTGATATAATGAAGAGCCAAGGGACTGGCGAAATATGTTAATGTCTCTGATCCTTTATAATGCATGTTAAACACGAAGTAATTTAATTATTAAACAAATAATGAGAAGTTGGCCTTAAATGGGGGAGCACTGCCTTGCGCTAGGTTAGCCTGTGCGACTTCCAGCGATGGCGTGACCAAAGAACCTCACTTATCTCCCTAGCACTACGAGCTGAATGCAATACTGCATGTGCCGGATTGGACAAGAGTACCAGTTTGCAGGCAATATTATTAAACAGCAATGCAGCCAACAAGCATGGGGGAAGTCACTGCACAGACTTAATTGCACCTCCAAGGAGTGTCTCTAGTTTATTTGATGGCATAGCACAAAACAAAGCCCATACCTTGATCGTCTCCAAAGGGAGGGAGGGAGGGAAAATTTTACACGATTAGTATACTGAGCACTTAAACCTTGCTGAACAATGGAACCCAAGTGAACTCTGAACAGTTGTTCTTGGCTTTTATAGCCAGACGAATGTCTGCTGGCATAGCCAGTAGAAAAGGCTGTACTACAAGACCGCTCAGCATTACACATGCACACTCTTAGCCATGAATAATGGTTTCAAAATACTGGCCAATGCTGTGGCTCGTACTAGCCTGCTTAAGACAAGAAGGCCGTAAAGTTCTACACTAGAATACAATGCATCTTAGAGCTTGCTGAACTTGACAACTACATTTTACTGGTGTTATTTTCCATATATTTTACTATTACTGGGGTTAAAAGAAAATCGTTCATTGTATCCAGGACTTCATTATATCAAGGTTCTACTGTTCTGCAATGACTCTTATCTCAGGGCTGTGGCTAAAATTTCAAGTTGCTGGGTAAATGCAGTTAGTACAAGGGGAATTGTACTGAGCTAGGAATTAGTTCTTTTGGTTCTGTTTTCGTTTTGTTTCCTATAAGAGAAGCCAGGGCTCACACTCATAGTACCCAGGTAAAATCCCCGGCCCCCAGCTCATAGTGACAGCCCTGTATCTTCCAGTGAACTTACACCTCATGCAAGTCTGTGTCTTACAATTTATTATCTTTTACACAAGATGTTCTCAGCTTTTGATTGGTTTATATTAATCTGTCAGCTAATAATTCAGCTTGTTCATGATGTGGAGAATGAAACAATGTTATGCAATGTTGCATTATGTAATAACATTACAGATCTCAGCATTTAATGACACTCACTATTGATCTTCATTTAACTATAACAGTAAAAAGGGCTTAATTTGCTTTCTGATACTAAGCAAATTATGCCCTTTTCAGGAAACCCTTAATTTATTATTAATATTATAAAGCTGATCTAATGGGGTGTATGTTTTTAACTGCTTATCTAAATAATATATGAAAATAATTAAGTTTTTTGTTAACTGGGGCTGAAACTTATGAGAAGTACAAACATGTAATTGTGATAACTGCAGTGATTTGCTTGTCATATTAAGTTTTTCATTTTTTTTTGTTTTCCCTATAACAGACGAAGGATTCCCTCTTAAGCACGAGACAGCAATGTTGTTGTCCATGGCTAACAGAGGTCCTAACACTAATGGTTCTCAGTTTTTTATGTAAGTATTTGATCTTTTAAGAGATAGAAACCACCCTATAAATTTGAAACCAAGTATAAAATTCAACTGCATCATGCATGTAGATGTGTAGTATAAGTCAGGTCCTGATCACTCAAAGATTGGATGCATGTAGTGCTATCCACTGTATAAATATTATTAATTATCACTATGGAGTGGTTAGAGTGTCATGAAATCCAATTGCCTTGCCCTCTGGATAGTAATTTACCTGATGAATAGCATTACCCACCTTCTGAGCAACTGGGCAATGTTAACTTAATTACGCTGGCAAAAATGGTTCAGTTCTTTTTTAATTTCCTGCTGTTGTCTAATTTTCCCCTGCTTTAATTCTCAATTCCTTCCTTTTCTCAAGGCCCCAGGTTCAAGTTTAAAAGAGGGTTTATGTACTTCAATGTATCAACTTGATAATATTAATCTCTATCCAGTAGATGATCCAGTTTTTTTCCCTAATTAATACTTATCCACTGGATATTAATTTATCTGCTAAATAGCAACCTGATCCAAGGAGTGAACAACGTGGGCCAGATGTCAGGTCTTCCAACCGGCATCTCTGTGATACATGACAATATTGTAGTGTGAATAAAGACAAAGTTTTAATGTTTTAAGTTTTTATAGTGTGTTTATTTTGCTTTTCACAGAACAACTCAGCCTGCCCCACATCTTGATGGGTAAGTTTTCTTTTAACTTGATTCAGCTGTTCTTACTGACAGAAAGGAAATTTCTGTTAGCATTATGATGTTATAATTTGCTACAGACAAGACAGTGTTTCACATGGTTTCATTTTTTCAATTTCAATACACAAATATAAAAAAGGGCATCAAATTTTGCTATGTTATTTTTCAAACATCTGAATTTTTAAAAGATATCAAGATAAATGTAACAAACAAAATGCATATTAACATTATTCCACAACAGAATAAAAATTACCAGTAAAACCAGTTAATAATTAAATTTTGTTGTCGATACACCTAGGCTCTACAGTAGAAACAGTTGTTGTTATTAAATCTTAATCGTTTTTATATGATTTGAATTTTCTATGGGTAGTAAATTAAAATTTTTTGCACGTTTTCGTTTTGTGAGGATATTAATTCCCGAAACAAATTTCGTGAAATTAAAAAAAAATGTGAAATTAGGTAATGGCATTGTACATGACTTGTACACATAATGCATTTTTGTTTGTTGCCACTCAAAAGCAAGTCACAGATCAATGATTACCCACACTTCAACAATGTTGCTCTTGCTTATATTGTGGTATATTTATTTTATTTGTAGGATTCATGTGATATTTGGCCAAGTATTGCAAGGTCAGGAAATAGTATCAGAGATAGAGATTCAAAGAGTTGATGACAAGAGTAGGCCCCTAGTGGATGTAAAGATTATCAACTGTGGTGAACTTATTCCAAAAGCAAAGGCTAAAGGTACACGATATGTTTCCATTGACTAAATTTATGTACAGAACTGTGCTCTAGCAGCAGTGCTGCCCGCTGACCCCTGGCATCATACTTTAGCTCTTGGGTGATGTCTTACTGTTATTTGTTAACTTTCAACTGCAGAGAAGAAAGCTGAAAAGACAAGAAGGAAATCTAAGCGACATTCTGACAGCAGCTCCTCAGATACTGACTCTTCATCCAGTTCTGGATCAGAATCAGACAGTGATCAGTCATCAACTGATGAGCGGGAGAAAAAGAAACGCATAAAAAAGAAAAGGAGAAAAAAGATGAGTGAATCTGTAAAACGCAAGGACAAGAAGAAAGCAAAGAAGAAAAAGAAAGAGATAAAAGACAGGTAAGTGGCTGTAACTACACCACAAATACATCAATACACAAACATTTAACAAATACATACAAAAAATGCAAATCTGGTAAAAATGAATACTGTGAATAAAATAATTAATGACTTAATAAAAAAATGCATAGACATATAATTTCAAAAATTAACATTGTTCGCAAAAAGTACAGCATTCAATAATTCATTCATTACACTCAAATGACAACATGTGCTTGTAGATAGATTTGGTTGAGTAGCAAAAAGGACTGATAGAGCCACTGTGCCGAGTGCAGAGCATAACCATGGCAATCAACATGTTGAATTCCAAACAAGTTGAGGAGTAAGGGCAAGTCAAAGAGGTTAGGGAGAAAGTAGCCTGTGTAGCAAGCGTTTTTGTGTGGTTTCAGAGCAAAGAAAGATGGAGGAATGACATGGAAAAGGATTTTTGCTTTTGGCCGCACCAAAAATAGAACAAGAGCAAACTCTTGCTACGCAGGCTAGGGAGAAAGAAGGGAAAACAATATATTATTTTTTCTCCCCTCCCCCTTCTTACATCCTTTTTTTACCCCATGACTAGTCCAAGAGTTACTATTTCTATTCTCCCCTGTCTTTCTCAGTGGTCAAAGATGGCAGCCATGGCAATGCAGACAAGCATTTTTTACCCACCTTAAAAATTTGTCTGCATTGCTGGCTCCCCTGAGAGTATTTACACATACCTCACACTAACCCAGGGTTATCTTAACCCAGCTTTGAACAAACCTGGCCAAGTAAGTGATAAGCAAAGGAATCTGTGGCTACATTTGAGGTCCCATATTACATAATAATGTTGCTTTTACGCCCCCTTCCCTGTTAGTGAAATATTGACACTAATATCAGCAATTAATTTGAATTCCAGTCCAGGAGATGCTAAACCAAAGAGTCCTGAACCTTTTAGTTCAGTGGCTGTGGATGAGATCCCAGATGTTCCCAATAATTCTTTTCTATTGAGAAGAAGCCGCACCCCCTCCCCTGTCAGGGAAAAGAGGCTTCAGCAGGCAAAAAATAGGTATGTTTCCTCTGAGGTACACCTGACCTTAATCATTTCTACGAGAGCTGGACTCATTCCCTTTTCGGTGCATAATTATCATGAATTAGGAATTTTTGAGCAAGTAAGTCCGTACTAAATTTGCAATGATAAATTTTGCCCAAGGCAAAGCTGTTTCTTTGTTCAAAGCTGTGAGGCATATACTAATAAAATTAATTGTGACAGACAAAAGTACTTTGGAATGGCAAGACAACTAGATTTCATCCACGGACTCAAAACTAAGAACTGCATTTCATCCAACATGCCTGATTACACACTAAGGTAATGGTACCATGTGAAAGTACTACTGATGGAAGAGGTTTCATTTGAATGGTCACACCATAGGATTTCATCCACAGACTCAAAAATTAAACTACATAGTACCATGTGATAGCACTGCTCAATTGATTCTGATGGCAAATGGTTCAGAAAAAGTTGTTCAGATGTTGAGAGATAGATGGCAGTAGTATCTTCAAGTTGTTTATATTATTTACTGTTTGTATGACCACAGGAAAAGTAAGTCTCCTCCAGGGTATAAAGCTCTGCCTCAAAGTAATTCACAGGAAAGGACCAGGGTATGTACACCTGCTGAAATGATATTGTTTGGGAGATCAGTAGACCTTATTTCACTGTATCCACCATCTTTGCATGCACTTCAGGACTGATTAATCACGTGACATTGCATTTATCCCATCAACCCTTGAACGCGTGCGAAGATGGTGGTTGTTGTGAATAAGGTCTATACCTTCAACAGAAAATGTCCATAATTACTAAAACAATTGCTTCCGAGTCCTTGAGTTCTTAAAATTAAGCTCGGATTCTGTGGGTAACTATTTTTCTTTCTTTTAACACAATTATAAAACTTTTTACCCTCTATCATCTATCTCTGTTTGTCTTTGTTATGGGCAGGTTTCCAGGTCGGGAAGGATTCTACGAGGACGAGGAAATATGGTGAGGAAATTCCCAGGGTATTAGTTTAAACTTCCTTACGAGAAAAACAATACACCAGGAGAAAAGGAAAGATCACTAAGTAATGAATCATTTAGAAGCGGACAGGAGACAAAACAAGGCAAAACACATCTCTGAAAACCCACTACAGTGTACCCCCCTTCTCCCTTCCACCCCCCTAAGCAAAGAGCCTGGCCCGTGGCTACTCAATCGGTTTGAAACAGAACTTAATCACATGATTTTTATTTTTCAGCGGTATCGCACACCCCCGCCTTCTTCTTCAGATGAAACGCGGAACATTTCGCGCCGTTTTTCTCCACCTTTGGTGGCTCGGTCAAGGTCTCCACGCAGGTGTACAAGGTCTCCTATGCGTCGTGCACGATCACCATTTAGACAGTCGAGGTCTTCTCGAGAACGTTCTAGATCTCCCCGTCGACGCTCGAATTCTCCTCGAAGACCCCCGATGTCTTCTCGAAGACGCTCGAAGTCTCCACAAAAACAATCAAATTTCTCACAGAAACGCTCGCTTTCACCTCAAAGACCCCCGATGTCTTCTCGACGACGGTCGAAGTCCCCACGAAAACACTCAAATTCCCCACAGAGATGCTCGCTGTCTGCACGGAGACACTCGGGGTCTCCGCGACAACGCTCGAGGTCTCCTCGAAGACATTCGAAGTCCCCACGATCACAGTTACTTCAGAGAACAGATAGCAAACAGCATATGAAAGACCGTGAATCAGCGGAAGGAATAATGAAACAGAGCTACTCAGTAAGAGATGGTGAAAGCAGTGATAAATTTGGAACAGTTAAAACACGAGGTGAAAGGAACTCAAATGATGAAAAAGCTAACGAATGTTCACCTACAACTGAAGAGCGCTTTCCAGAAAGGCGACGGGAAGAAGAGGGAAAGACCTTTGCAAATGAAGGCTATGCAAGGTCAAAGTTTGCTTCAATCAATGAAACTGGCAGACACAGGAGAGGAGAAAAAACTAGCAGTAACAGCGACAGTGAGGAATTTGAACAAGAAAGTCGAGACATTCTGTACAGATTGGAAAAACAGAGCCATCTTGCGCGTAAAGAAGACACCAGGGACATACGGAAACCAAGTTCATACTCGAACGGTGACGAGCAGACATGGAGAAGCTTAGCTCGTGATTATGAGTTTGAAGAAGATCATGGAACTTTGGAGGCACAAAGTTATGCACCCATTCCATTAAGCAAAGAACGTGAAAATAACCGAGAACGTCTACAATCTCGCGGTAAAAATAACGATGAACAGATTTCTCCAAACGAAGAAAGTGCAGGCAGTGAACAAGAGGACAAACGAGCTTTTCTTCAGGGTGAAGGAAGGTTTAAACATCAGGGTATCTCAGAACGTAAAACTGGTCGTCGACAGCGCAGTAGGAGTTTTGATAGACGCAGAAGCAGCTCTCAGGAGAGTGACCGGAACCGGAAGTCACGTCATCACCATCGTCGTCATCATCATCATCATCATCGACACCATCATAAAAGAGACGCGAGGCAATGGGAAAGAAACGTTGTCGTGACCGAGGAAGATCAGGACAGTTCAAGTGACTGACTTAATCACGTGTAAACTTCGCAAACATCGGTGACATCGTGAACGTAAACAGCGCTTCAATTTTCAATGTTCAATATTGTGTACGTTTCTGTGTAGAAACAGTCGAAAACGACACTAAAACGTGAAAAAGGAAGTTATGTCTTGAGACAAATAAGAAACGAACTCACATCCGTTCAAACTTTTTCCAACTTTTCTGAAACTTTAATTCAAACTCCTGTCTAAAGAGAGAAGAACAGGCATTTATTCATGACTTATCCTTTAACGACATATTTATTGTCTTTCATACTTGCATCAATTTTCCCTTTTGGTGTCTACTTATCGTAAACTGCCGCTTCTACACAATTGGTAAGGGGTTTTAGTAGGGTTTATAAATGGAGGTGCTTACATCCGAGGGAGCTTATCACAGGAATAGAAAACGCTTCGAAGCAATCTACAGAAGTGCTAGTCAAAATAATTTTGCATTTACTGGTTTTTAACTAAGCGTCAAAAGATCATAATAAATCGAATTCATTTCAATACATTTGGGGGGGGGTGGGGATTATAATCGGATGTGTTTTTTTGTTTACGGGTTGATGGGTCTATAGCTGGTGGGGGTGGGGGTGGGGGGCTTTATAAGCGGCTGGTTGCAGTATATCCTGGATCGAACCCTAATGTGATGCACTATCCTTATGATAGCCATCACAAAGTGTCCTAATGAACACAACATCATCAAAATACATGTAATGCGATCAAATATGAAGTAGTGTAAAAATGAAAAAGAACCCAGTCAAATATCAAGTATTTTAATACAATGTGCGTTTAATCTTGGATATATTAACTAACTCTTAGAGCCGGTTTTGTGTTGTACAGGTTCTTGATATATGTTATTAACCAAGCGTGAGATCAAGAAGGCTGGATATTGATCAAGTTCTTGTTTCGCATTCACGGATCAAAAAAGACGATAATAACAACGCAAAAAAGAACGAGGAGGCCAATATCCAGCCATCTTGACCGAACAAGCTGGGTCAATAAAGGATTTATTTCATGGCCAAAAAGATATCTTTTTCTTGCTGAACCAAGGCGGAAAATGTCGAAAGGCAAGATGGGCACATCTTTCAGGCCCAGTCGAAGAGGCAATTAGTACACAGGTTTCGCGTCATATTACCGGCTCGCGGATTCAGCCATGCTAATAATCCTTAAAATAGCCTGGGTACGCTGTTGCTGGGGGTGCATCGTTTGCCTGTTTCTGTCAAAGCAATCCAGATTTTTATTTGCGTGATCAACTTTTCAACACGCAGTATAAAACGCTGTCGGAAAGCATCAAAAGTCTTTTATTTTTAACGCCTCCGGCGAATTTTATGAACCTGTGGTTAACTGTCCCAAAATCTTTAAGGAATGGTATGCAAGCAATATTCCGAAACCGCGTTATTTTAATTGTGACCTAAATCATAGAAATCTTTTGACCCATAAAAGGGTGTCGTCCGTGTCTGTTTATATCAACATGCTATAAAGTCAGAAAATATAACCCATCAACCCGTAACATTGTTTTCTCTCTTCACGGCTAATATTTCGTAACTGCGCTAGCCCCCAAAATTCCTGCGCTTTCTGGTGAAAAAAAAAAACAACCCGGTTTAATTCTGGGAAACTGGCTCCAGTTGTTTATCCACCGGAGAAATCGTTGTCCAAAGGACATAAAGTATTAGGGACACCAACTGCACTATCCGTTTGATACTGAGATTTATTCAGTGCATAGCGTTACACCTTTTGAACGACTGGGGCCTGGAGTTTAAACACAAAGGCGGCAAATTTGTGTTCCAGGAAAATATACACGTTTTAATGCCAACAGTCTTTGTTGCAAAAATGCTAAAAGGAAGAAGCCAAGAAAAAGGGACCGAAGAGAGGAATGCAAGATGGAGGAGGCGGGAGCGGTCTGGACCCCTTGTTTCACCCAAAAATAGAGTGTAATTAAATATGCAGGAAAATTAAGTTTAAGGAAACACGTCAAATGTCAACAGTATGTTTGATGGTGTAAATGCAGGGAGAAGGGGTTACTCACGTTAAGATTTACATACTTTTATATACCATTTTCACTGAAAAGGTACCTCTTTCGTATACAGTTCCATTGAAAATACTACCCGGCCTTTAAATGTCTACCTGATAAGAATGAATCGCTATAACGTTAATTTAATAAATGAAAATGTTTGTACCCTTTTAGGCCTTTTATTTACCTCAACAGTGATTTCCCTGTCTTTGATAAACCTTAATTAAAGCCTCAAAAATCCGGGTACCCCTTTTCAGGCAGAACCTCCGGGTATAAGTATATTGCAGGAAGCCCCTAATCCCCCTCCCCGGGTGTAAAGCGTCGTTGAAAGCCGGCGGTTCTCCTAAATTAAATTTGACTTCATAAACTAGTCTCACGCTTGCTACTAATTCTAAAGCTAAATGTGGGACCATTTTCTTGCTTTGCTTGATAAAGACCTGAATGAAGACGAAAACAGTACTGCACAAGTTTAAATTTGATTTTAGCCTGCGTAGCAGGCGCTTGGAAGTAGTGGGCACAAGAAAAGACGGGCGCGCGAGAAGGAGACACTTGCGAGTCTCCCTCGCGCGCGCCTGTTCTCTCTTTCGCCCGCTACTTCCAAGCGCCTGCTACGCAGGCTAATTTGATTTCAAGTTGATTGTCTACTGTCAAGTGACTGTACGTTGTTCTGCACAGGTGGTCGTCCTGATGCTCGTATATTTTAGGAACGTTTTGTTGCAATACAATAAAAACCCGCAACTAAGAACCTGCATTTTTCCAAGTTAGCCTAAACAAAGTTCTTACAGAAATGGTAATTAGCACAAATTTAGGCTACGGTTCTTATCTTCTAAAGAGAAAATAGATTACAGCTAAGAGTATTTAGTGGTATTCAGCTTATTCTCTAATAAAATCTGCATAGGTATTCAGCTCGGATTCCCTAATAGAATCTTCATACCATTATATTAAGCTGTACATTGCAGTTGGACGGATAATTCTTCAAAGAGGATCTTGATTGCTGGCTTATCTTATTTGCTCAATAATCTTACTGCGTTTCTTCTTATACATTTTAGAAAATAAGAACCTGTTTCAAATTTTAGGTATAACAGGTTCTTGTATAGAAGGGGCCTAACTGGTAAATTTTAGCCTTAACTTAAAAGGTTCTTAAAAACAAGGTTCTTAAGCCGCAAATTTCTACTGTATCTCACTACCCTTTCTGTGAAATTTTCACATCATAAAACTAAATTCCTAGCAGCATTTTTTACCACTACGATGGAGACCGAAACAGGAAAAGCTGAAAACTAATAAATGGGTTTGTTTTAGGAGCGGATATTATTTCCACGGTTGGTCGATAATTTTTTAGTAATTTTAAGACTAAATAATGACTTGATTGATCGAGGTCAGTGACTATACAATTCCTTTGCAATGATTTAATCACGTCCCCGTTGATATGATCAAGTTTTTATTTTTCGTACGTTTATATCAAGTTTTTTTTTTACCCAAAACAAGCAAACAAGTGTTTCACTGTAGGACACACGAACGCAGAATTGACTGGAAACTCAAAAGTTGTCGACCGATAAATTATGATTACATTAGTAATTCACTTGAGGTACAATCATTAAAGTGTAGCGAGGATCATTAACTGCTGTCTCACTTGCATGGGGATTGAAATCAACATTCATTAATATAACTGGCGCCAGATATCGAAGAAACCATCAAGGAGAATGAAAATTAAGGATATGATGATCTGTGCCTGTTAAGTCTTCCGCTTTTTTTCGACTCAGTGTGCTTACATATTAAGAGTCTCTTAAGTTAATTGTTTGTTTCTTCCATTCTGAATAAATGTTATCTTTGTCATTAGTGAGTCAGCGAAAACACAATGGCCAAAGCGGAATAAAAACAAAATTCCAAGAATATTTTTGTCCGGAAACTCCATAAAAGAAAAAAGTGGACAGCTAACAGTCAGTGAAGTTCAGCTTAGTTCTTCGTCACCATTTAAACGCTCAGTCTATTCGCTATTAGTCCGGCAGCCGGGTAAATCCTTCGATACAGAGCAGGTAAGGACGAAAACTCTATCTAAAAGCTTTTTTTATATATATAAACACGTATATCTCGTAGTTTATGATCTGACTCATCTTAGCAAACTTTAAAGAGTTACTACTGACAGAATTTATTCATATTGGATTGAAGTTTACTTTCCAACTTGAGTAATGGATAATGTTAGGGGAAGTTGTGTCTCTTAGCTTTATCATTAACAGTCTGATATCACTTAACTTGTGAAATAGATAGCAGACACTTTTTCACAGTACTACACTCCAATTTCATCACTTTCTTTTGTTTAGTCGTAAACTATTGAGCACTAATTGTTACGAGTTAGTGCTCTACAGGTTACATAAAATGAAATGATCAAACTATCTCGATAACTATTAAGAACCAAAAGTTTCTTTTTTCCGATTAATCTTCTCTTATGTGCCCGAAGTCGGATAACATTGATTTAACCCGGCTTTAAGCTGGGTCTTCAAGCCACCCTCCTTTTACTGAAGCACAAAGTTATGTCGAAGCAAAAGCAAAATTTATGCCTTTTGAGGGGAGCAGTTACACAGTAAATAGGGCCATGTATGAAGTCATAAGCTACGGCTGTGGATACACAGGAATTACGAACGATGAAGGCAGTTATATTTTCGGTGGCCGTTATCCTTTTGTTGTGGCTCCTTTTACTCCGAGCAGAGGCGGACTTGTTTGTTGTTGTATATATACCGCCAAGAAACAAATGAGCAAAACGAACCGCTCGATGCCTGATGAAGTGTGCAAGTGGCCCTGCTTTCTATCAGTGAATTTAAGCCGAATTTCCAGTTCGCAAGCATAGATGTAAACGGCTAAGTAGGATGACATGCAGATTTTTCCTTGGAATAAAGCGTTTTATATACTGAACAGCAGTAGTTCTTTCAATTTTAACGCAAACAGTATCGAAACTCAGTTGAGAATCACTGTGGGCTCAAAATAACAGAAAAAAATATTAGCTAATATTGCACAACTGGAAAGGTCTAAAGAGTTGCTGTGGTCTTAACGTGATGGTAGATATCGAAATAATCCTCCTTTAGAAGGCAATGGAAATTTGTTCCTAACACTGCTCGCCTTTCAGTTTTGAGAAAGACTAAGTTTTTTTGAAACAGAATAATGTTGAGATGCTAAGACTGAAAACGACCATGATCCTGAAATAACGTGCTTCGCTCACGAGGAGCTGAAGGAGCAAAGGATGAGTACGAAAAGGATCTTCAGTATAATAGTTATTTTTATACCAACTTATGCAATTTTAAACTCAGAAACCTCTGAGTATATACCCCAAACCTAACAGCAACGTAAAATCAGTGAGTAGCTCATTACGATTCCCAAATCATCAGAACTCGGGGAAAAATATCTGAATTTTCTTTAACATTGTCCTGAAATAAACAACAAATAAGCGAGCAAACCCTGAGGTATTAGTCAAGATATAAGTACAGTCGACTCCCGATAACTTGAACCTTCAAGGGAAATCGAAAAGTGTTCGGGAGCTCGAAGAAAATAGCGGGAAGTAAGGAAAAAAACAGTTTTTATTTCACTGTGAACATTTTAATCACATTTAATTGTATAAAGGTTAAGTGACAATTGAAAGATACTTCTTGATTATAAATCAGAAACGTAACGTAACAAAACATTGCCTAAATAGAGCATGCAATTTACTGTTTTGAGAAGTAAAGCTGTTTCACGTTAGATTTGTGACAACATCAGCCTCCACTAGTAAACTTTATGCCTACAACACGTCAATGGGAAATTCAAAATTCAATGTTTTGGACGCTAGTACACTTATATAGAAATGATCAGGGAAACAAAAATTACTTCGAGTTAGCGGAAAGTTCGAGTTATCGAGGGTAAAATTACAGTAAATGTATGACGGAAATCCAGGGGAAATCAGTTTTGGTTCGAGTTAGCGCGAGGTTCGAATTTGCGCGTTCGAGTTATCGGGAGTCAAATGTATGAAGCGTTCATTGTTGTAGACTGAACCCGTACTTTTTTTCAATTACAATATATTGATCTCACGCTTAAGTCTTTCTGAAACTGAACGTGGGACGAAACGTTTTTTCAGTAGCTTTGCTTATGAACATCTGAATGCAGAATAAGAAAGTACTGCGCAAGCTGAAATTTTATTCAACTCAAGTTTCAATTCAGTAAGAAAGTGTTGTTATGATTTCCACGATTGGTCGAATATTTGAAGGATGAGGCTTCAATAATTGAGCGTCTTGTCGCGATACCTCACTTCCCTTTCCATGACATTATTTGTCTCAGACTGGTAAAACTAAAATCCTAACAGTTTCATTCATTTTTAACACTAATAATAAAGCGAATTCACCCGAAACACTAGGAAAAAAACAGCTAAAAACTAATTAGTAGTATAGATTTGTTTTAGGAGCGGATCGATCTTATTTGACCACGGTTGGTTGATAAGTTTTAGTAGTTTTTAGAGGGGAGCGTAAGGGTTTGCGGTGATGCGGTGTTGCTCGATTTTTGGTGAGGTTTTGCGGGAAGTTTTATTTTTAAGACGCTGTAATGCGGTTAAAACCTAGCGGCTTGCGGTATTTAGACATTGCCAAATTTCAATGCGGTTTGCGGTTTTATTCTGTGCGGTGTTTTATATACCGGTATCTCTGTGCGGTTTTGCGGTTTTGTTATGTTATTCTGTACGGTGTTTGGTGTTTATATACCGGTATTTCTGAGCGGTTTTGCTATGTTCGTACCCTCCTTACCCCCCCCTCTTTTTAGACTTTTGTCTGATTTGAAATCCTATTACATGCATGTAAAGGTATCGTGTAAAGGTATCGATACTGAAGCCGATCTTAGTGTTTTAATCTATGCCACCCTTATTTCAAGCACATAAAATGTCACGTCAATGTTGAAACAAACAGGTCTCCGGAAGCTTTCCGAATTACGGTGAACAGCTGAGAGTGGTGTTGAAAGTGACGATAAATAAATTGACTAGAGAAGATCAGCACATGATTATGATTTTAATTACTATACTGTGTAACGCAACTGAAATGGCAGAATACCAAAACCATTAATTCACTCTGTAGTACATCAGACTTATCATTGGCAAAATGAGATTGCTGCACACATGAATTGAGGTGACTGGATCGTAAATAAGAAGATAGCGTTCAAGTCTTTCTAACGTGACGTCCCCCGGCGTGACGTGCTTGCCGGACGGGCCCAAACGGTCCTGGTGATGAAATTCACAGCTAACAGTTTAAGTAAAGAGACACTTGGTGTTTTTTGTCAAAACATACTACGTTGATTTTTTGTTTTTTTGAAAACTTAGCTGTATATTAGCCTGCGAAAACATCCGTTTCTCCTCACTGTTCGCCGATGGGGACGTTTCGCGCGGAGGAAACGTCCCCATCGGCGAACAGTGAGGAGAAACGGATGTTTTCGCAGGCTAGCTGTATATACAGTCGACTCCCGATAACTCGAACCTTCAAGGGAAATCAAAAAAAGGTTCGAGTTATCGGGAGTTCGAGTTACCGGGAGTTCGAAGAAAATAGCCGAGAGTAAGGTAAAAAACAGTTTTTACTGCACAGTGAACATTTTAATCACATTTAATTGTAGAAATTTCAAGTGAAAATTAAAAGATACTTTTAGATTATAAATCAGAACGTAACGCAACAAAACATAGCCTAAATAGAGCATGCGTTTTACTATTTTGAGAAGAAAAGCTGCTTCACGTTTGCCTGTGACAATCAACATTAGCCTCCACTAGTAAACTATACTCCCACAACACGTCAATAGGAAAACCAAACTTCAATGTTTCGGTCGCCAGTAGACGGCTTTTTTCCCGACTTTTTAAGGGCTCAAAACATGGTTCGAATTATCGAGGGTAAAATTATATAGAAAATGACCTGAAGGAAAACGAAAATTGGTTCGAGTTAGCGGGAGTTCGAGTTATCGAGGGTTGGAATTACCGAGGGTAAAATTACAGTGAATGTATGACGGAAATCCAGGGTAAATCGATTTTGGTTCAGTTAGCGCGAGGTTCGAGTTAGCGAGGGTTCGAGTTATTGGGAGTCAACTGTAGTTAGAGAACACAGTCCATCAACAACCCGTGAACGGTAGACCTTCTATTAATTTTCTTCTCTAAAGTATTAGACAATCATTTTCTCCTCTTTTTTACTAAGTTCTTAGAATTTTTCTAGGAATTTTTCCTTTTTTTTTTTACTGATAACCTCGCGTGTATTTCTTTATCTACAGTCAGCCGGGTTGAACTGAACGGCTAAGGAGATACCAGTGCAGACCGAGATCTTCGTTAACGGGAGTACTCAACATGTCTTCACTAATAACAGCTGTATTTAAAGCCACTATCGGCATGTTGGTGAATAAAGGAAGAGATAAACTGGCAGAAAAGTTGAATGAGGGTGATGTTACAGATCAGAAATTCCGTGGCCTGATCGTCCGTGAAATCGATGAAATAAAATCGAAGTTGGATGGTTTAGCAAGAACGCCTTTGAAGACAAGTATGAGCCTTTTTAAAGAAGGAATCGAGTTGTTGTATGAAGTGTTTGAAAGTGCCAGATCCAGTACCGAGAATCGCGCGATAGAAGCCGCTGCAACAGCTTGTGTTGAGCAATTCGATATTGCTAAAGAAATGAGGAAATTACAGCTTACTGCCTTGGATGAGTCGGCCACGAGGAAGCTTAGCGCAGCGAAGGAGACATTTAGTGACGCTCGATTGGAAGCAATGAGAGCTTTTAGTAATGAAGCTTTGGAATTACCTGATCGCCTGTTAGCTATGCAATATCGACTGATGGCTACGATACTGAGGAATATTGACAATCCTACGGACGCATTAGCGGCTTGTAGAGTCTGCCTTGACGAGTTACACCAAGTGCCAGCTGTTAAAGAATATTTCAAAGTTGAGTTGGAGGAAGGATTAAGATTGAGGGCTCGCTTTAATAAAGACGAAAGAAGGCAAATAATTTTTTCTGTCTGTCACGCTAATCGTGTGATCTATGATGTAATGAGCATGCTCGGTAGTGTAAAAAGGTGGACTTTGCCTGATGTTGAAACTGGGAAAGAGAAAGTGGATCCACTCCTCAACGAAAGAGTTGTTAAAATACTGACAAAACAAGGTAAGGAGCACTGCTGTGTTACACCATGGTCATTAGGTCACGAGGGTGATGAGGAGCACAAGCTGAAGAATCCGCTTGGTATCGCTACAAACCATAGAGGCCAATTCCTGATAGCAGACAATGGGGATAAAACCGTGAAGGTGTTTGATAGCAACGGAAAGTTTGCCTTTAGGTTTAATCCTCAAACTGATGACGCCGATACAAAGTTAGATATTTTGGATGTCGCCACTGCAGACGAGGACGACCGGATTTATCTTCTGGTCCGACTGGAGAAGCCTGGGGCTGAGGAATGGGAGAAGGAAGTGCAGGTTTTTAACAAGACTGGTGACCTACAGCACAAGTTTCCTGTGAGGAGAGGGGGCTGGAGACTAACAGTGACCAGCGGCAAACAACGCGGCAAAATTCTGCTGTTGACAACAGGTGACCTGTTGACAGGTGACCTTGTTGATATTCATGAGCCGAGTGGTGAGTTCGTTTGTAGCTTTGGTGGAGGAGTGTTCAAGTATGCAAGAGATATCACTGCTACTTGTGATGGTCGCGTCATGATAGTGGACTGGGACGATCACAGTTTGTACATATTTGATGTGGAGGGACACCAGCTTGGCAAATTTAATATCAAATATGAGAGAGATGTCTATGATCGCATTGCATGTCACCCGGCAAGTGCAGACGATGTTGTCCTTGCTGGTTATGAACGAGAGACAAACCGCCTGACGCTGGCTATATACACTGTTAATGGCGAATTTGTTCGCAGAATTCAGCTGGATGAAGTAGTATCACTACGGTCTTATTTCCGTGGAATAAGAGTACGTGGAATAACAGTGACCGTGGAGGGTCACATTGCCGTGGCTTTACAGGATATTACAGACGAAGATACTCTCCAAGCAAAGGTAATTGTTGTTTAAAACTAAAAAATTCCAAGACACAAGTCAACAGTTCTTATTTTACTTTCATGAATAAATGTCATCAAGGCAGATGTTTAAATTTAATGCTGCAGTTGACTGGAATCACTGGACATGACTGCATTAAGCCACATACACTGGCTTAAGGTATCTGCACCGGCAAATTCTGCACATTTTAGGTGATACACTGACATCCAATGTAAGAGTGTTTTACCTACATGTTAGACAATAACATTGCTTTTTGGTCCATAAGGAACAAAACTAGTGAAAAAATTGTAAGGCTACATCACTCTAAAGGTGTTATTTTAATTACCCCCTGGTGGTGGCATGAAAAGAGAAGAATTCAAATTTCACAAAAACCACAACAGTTTGTGGGAAAAATGAAATGCAACACAAACAGGGACGCAAAAAGCAACAATCCTGTGTTTGACCAAGACACAGCTCCAAGAAATATGCCCTCTAGAGGGCAATTTGTTGTTTTGTAATTTGATCCCTTTTTGGACTTCAGTAACTCAGCCGTATGATAATTTCATTCTTTGGTCAAACACAGATCTGTTCATCAACATGCTCTTTGTGTATGTGCCAAATTTCACGAAGATATAATGATCCATTCCTCCAAAAAACTGGTTCCCGTAAGTCAAGGTAAATCGGTCACGCAAAATTAACGCTTTTCCAGTGTAAAAAAGCTTATTTTCTTCTCAAAATCAACTGTTTTTGCTCGATACTACCATCACAGACCTTCTTGACCGCCATTTTGAATCACCGCTGTGTAAAATGCTCGTGGAAGCCTAAGAAAATGCCAAATGACCTCTCTATAGCCCCCTTGGATTTTGATACGTGACCAGTTGCTAGGTGTGACGCATTTCCGGAAGATGCCGTTACTCAGTGTCAGCTATAATGCAGTGAAGCGCGCCGAAGTATGAAGATTGAAGAAGAGTTTTATTCAAAAATGAAAAGAATTGCTTCTGTAAAGTGAAAGAAATTGGTAGAAAAACAGACCAGAGGATTAGGGGCCAAGAAAATGTTTTACTCTCCCGGCAAAATTGTTAGAATATATCAGGTGAGAAAACACACCGATGTATTGTAAATTTAAAACAATAATAAGCCCTGGAAAACGGAGTATATTTCAAGAACATAACAAATATTGACAAGTAGCAAGTAATATTAGTCATCACAGCTTTAACAGAAGCAAGAAAAATCAAGTTGGACATACAGCCGCTGTAGTTTGTCAATGAATCCAAGCAGTGAATAGATTTTGTTCAGCGCATCAATAGAACTTGATGCCGAAAAGAGGAGTCAAATTGCGCTACTACCGTTCTTTTTCTTAGTAACGGAAATGGAAAATTTTCTTTAACTTCCGGTAAATCAGTCAACTTTGGAGTAGATTTTCTCTTAAATGCGAAGGTATATTCAAAAAAGAACACCAGATATGCATATTACATCATCTGAACTTACTGTAGAAAGATTTTGAGGGCAAAATAAAATGTTGAAAATTTGCCGGTGCAGATACCTTAAGTTCACTGATGTTTGTAGTAAATCTTGTGTTATCGCTCTATAAACTAAGAAACCAAAACAGGTAAAATGAATGCGATACATGTACAGGAAACACTCGCTAATAAGAACCTAACTTACATTTTTTTTGAGGTCTGGCAAAAAAGGTTCATTTATTTTGGGGTACGTTACAGAGTAATTAAGGCTAAGTACAACTGTAGGTTCTTAATTAGGTTTTTAATTTCTGTGAAGGAGATGAACGTAACAGGGTGTCCCAAAAGTTTGTTCCTCTAATTTCATGCTCAGTATTAACTTTTGATCAAAACTTTATTTTTACATGAAATTTCTAAAAGATGTTTATTGCTCTATCAAGTACATGATTGTATTCAGAAGTTCAGTAAGCTGCAGGTCCCCTTTTTTTTCTTATGACATTCTGTAGCCATTGCACATGGCATAGAGTGGGATAAGTCATCATAGCGTCTAGAGCCCCATATGAGCCACTTTTAGCTTTTTCATCACCTGGTACACAGGAGCCACTTTGACCCCCAAACAATATCATTTTTTTAGATTAGGCAGCCAAAAATATATTTTAAGCATTCATGTAAAAAAAAGATAATCATCCCGGCCTCTCTCTGCAGTAAGGTTTGTTTACTTCTTTGCCAAGGAGACTAGCTGAACGTTGCTTGGTGGACTGAGCAAGGTTCTTTTTTGCCATCTCACAGGCCTCCAACCGTCTCTTTCCAGGAAACTGCCCCAGACTTAGCTTGCTAACTGTTTTGAGAGCCGCCTTGTTAAGTTTTCTTTTCTTTTTGCCCAGCCTATTTTAGAACTATTTTAGCTGCTTTATTCAGGACTTTATGTTCTCCAGCAGGTTCTTAAACCACAGTTTCTTATTAGTGAGTGGGTGTTTACTGTAAGTACAGTAACATTCTTTTGTTTCTTTAACAATTGGTGGTATAATAATATTTTTGTTTGTGCAGAATGGAAAATAATACAATCCAGATTCAGTTGGTTTACAAAAACATCCTCATCATTTACCAGCTTCTCTATAACTCTTTTTGTTAAAGATTCAGGTTTTTAAGTTTGAAATGCTCTACATTGTAACTCAATCGCATGCCACATCAAAATACACCTTTGAAATCTTCTTCAGGAAAAATATTTTATGATGCTCTCTAATTAAAATATTAAGCTTGACTCCGGCTTTTAATGTTAGTATACAGCTGTAGGTGAAACTCTGCAGCAATCACCTTAAAGATGGAGATCTCTAAGTGTTTATTATGGGGAGATAGGCATATAAAGCCTTGTTTCCATATGATCATCCCGATCACCCCAGTCGTTTAAAAAAGTTTTGAGATGATCCAGACAACTGGGACGATAGGTGGTTTCCATGTGATCGTACGGGTGCCTCAACGACAAGAGACACGGGGTGTCATCAGTGATGTCTCTGAGTCAGACAATAGAATTTTTGTGTGGGTTTCACAAACAAGCCAAACATACATGTAATGATGGATTTTAAATGGTGAGCAAATCTCGAGCTATGCTATCTTTTTTTTCTCTCTATTCTGTGGTGTCAACAAACTAGAAGTCAGTTCCACAAAGATATTGTATCACGTATAGAACTTGATGAAACAGACTTTCTCTTTAATTCAAATAGCACCCATACGTGATGTGAACATTTTTAATTATTTTTGACTTCAGCGGCATCCAGGCCGAATATATTCTCAATTAATGGAATGATAGTGATGATTTCTGGGATAGCCTTTGATCGTCCTGATAGTCTCAGTCATCTGAGAGCATTTCCAGATCACTTCAAAATTTACACGATGCTCCCAATCGTCCGCATAGAACTCAACTCTATTCACGCGATCGATAGAGGTCATCTCAGTCATCCAGGTCATTTGCGATCGTCTGGGTAGGGTTTTCATATGATTGTCCCGATCATCTGAACATTATTTGAGGCATCTAGGACAATCACAGCACAGCCAAAATGTGTCAATGACAGTGTTATCATGGACAGACATAATCAGGGAAAATCTATATAAATAGTTATACATATGATTATAAAAGAAATGTGACTTTTCTTGGCCAGAGGAAAATCAGGAAAAGTTTGCAAGTGGTCCGGAAAAGGCAGTTAATGTGAAGGTCTGTGAAAAGTCAGCCGCAAGCTTATTTCTGGTAAAAAGTTTTCAGAAAACGCAGTGAAAATCATTTTAAAAAAGTCAAAAACGAAGAGTAGAGTAATATTGATTTTTGGGGGGGGGAAATTTTTTTATAAGTTTCTGCTGCTGAATTAATAAACTCTATATGAACAACAAGCAAACAAAACCTCAGGAAAAAAAAGTTGTTTACGGACAAGGCTGCTGCCTAACGGGCGCCCGGTCGCCAGAGGCGCCCAAGGTAAGAGCATGGGCGACCAAATTTCGGTACAAGGAGCCCGCGCGGGCGCCTGACTTAACACACGGCATTAGACTTAACCTCCTTGTACATTATATTCCTTTAGCTGGAGTAGGACTTTAAACAGTGGAACTGTTGATATGGTTAGCGATGATGCGATTAGGCAGTATAAAATTTCCACAAATAAACCGTAAATTATGTAAACCTAACGTGTTCAACTGTGAAGCTTTGTCGAAACGAACGAAGCCATCGTTTCCGAGTCCGGATGGCAGTTGAAGACTGGGTCTGAGATTTGACTTCCAAATATGGAATAGCAAAATTATGGGCTGTTTGTTGCCTATGTTGACATTCGTGCAGTTCATCGTTTGCTTGGGTTTTCGTCGATTTGATAACTTTTTTGTGGCGAGAATGGGAAGCTATCTTGCGTGCTATCGACTGGACGTGCTTGATGTTCGATTTCATGTACCAGTTTGCAACGTATCAGCATTTTCAAGAGACTTTAAAAAACAACACGCCAGAGAACGCAAGGAGAGGATTGGTCTACTTTAGAAAGTTTTTGGAAGACTAGTTAAGTTGTCATGTGGAACACAACTGTTACTGAACAAATGTGAAAGTCAAGTAAATAATTCTGAGTTGAAATTACCTACTGTTATGTTATTCTTTTATTGTGAAAATTGTGAAAATTCCTTTTACACGCAAATTAAGCCCCTCAAATATTTTTCCGGCTCATGAATGTGTATAAGAAAGGTAAGAAGCAGTTTAATTGTTACATTTTAGAAAATTCTTTGAAGGCTCTTCTAGGTCACATTGAACACAACAGATGTGGAAGTTAATTGAATAAATTAATAAATGAAAGTAAATAATTCGGTTAATTCTTGTTTACGTGTTATTTATTAGGCCCGGCGAATTCTTATTAAAGTGTGCAAGAACCTCTATAACCTATGTAATGATCTTGGAAAAACAATACATGGATTTCAAACTGGGCTCCTAACAATGTGGCTCGGGCTCCTAACTTTAAACTTTAGGAGCCCGAAGGGCTCCCTAAAATTTTTCTTAGGCAGCAGCCTTGACGGAGCAAAACAAAGCAAATAAGGTGTTGACTGAGATCTAGAGTTTATACTTCAAGTTGTTTTTTGCATATTAACTTGAAAAGAAGCTATGACATCATTGCCTATAACATTAAAATGCTGTAAAATTAATATTAATGGCCTTGTGCCCAAATCTTAATCAGCTAACAAGATCATTATTTAACCACTGCTAGGATTTTGTTGCATGATAAATATGTGGAAAAAATGAAAAATATTAATGTAAACATGCCTATTAGTCTGTTATTCATTTAATAAAGTTATAAGCAATAGATGTTTATTATTAATTGGATAAACCTAGCCTGGTCATGTCCAGTGAAGCCAACCAACTGTATACATGTAGGAAAATGCAAACGCGTTTGATGACATTCATCATGAAAAAATCTGCACTGTTCACTTACTGTTGTGTCTTCGAGTTTATTAGTTTTAATCAACAATTTATAATGAAAGGGTGTGTGGAAAAAAAATTCGTAACTTTTTTTAGATTTTTACAAAAATGCAGGCCGGTATTTTTGGGTTTTCATGCCTGTGATTTGACAGTCTGCAATTTTTACTAACATTTATTATATAGACACGAGTGTTTTACTGGAAAATATACCACTCGTAAAATTCATAAAAACTACATCCGGGACCCGAGTGGTTTATTTTCCATAATCTCACACGTGAGTTTATCGATGACGTAATGTCGGTAATTTCCCTCTATTATTTTATCAATGTCTTTTTGTCTATATAATAAAAAGAACATTACACGGCGGCTTGAAGATATGAATTTTATTTTCTCGTGGCAAAAACAATATTTTACGAACGAGCGGATTATCTTCGCTCCACTGTGTAATATCCTCTATATAACACTAAAGAATCTATGCAATTTGTTTTGGGACACGAATTTTCAATATCGAGATTAACATAATCAAGAAGCCAAATAAGAAGGTCTAAATTCCGTGTTGAGCAAGACAACAAGAAAATGGCAGGGTGATTTTATTGAATAGCTGGATGTTAGTTTATACAAGTGCCAAACTTTCCAATTACTTTTTAGGGGCAGTGTCATCAAGGTTTTGTGCTACGTACTTCAAAATCCAACAAATGCATTATTTTGCATCATTAAGAAAATCCACCGATTCACTATTTTCACATAGACCATAATGCACCTTGTTTGCCCCCAAAATTTTGCATAAACATTCTTTTCAATATTCAATATTTCTCTTGAGATATATGACTGTAATATCCAGGAGAAACTGAAAACAAAATGCAAAATTTTCGGGGTAAACAAGGTGCATAAATTATGGTCTATGTGAAAATGGTGAATATAGTAACCTTAATGGCCTCTCTAGGCATCATTAAAAAGAGAGTTTACACCATAAGAAAACTTAAGTGCATGGACAAATCCTTAAAAAAGTTGGGCTGATCCGTTTTCAAGTTTGCTGGAGTTACATCAAGTGGAAAATCTTTTCAAAACCATTAAAAAGATATTGTTATTATTATAGTTCACTTGTGCTTTTCAGAATGATTCAATGTCTTTCTCATCATTCAAATGTCATTTTGTGTAACTCTATATATGGTTCTAAACGGGCCTTATACCAAAGTATGTGATTTCTCTGCCGGAGTATATGTGTATTTTGCACAAAACAGTCAGAGTTGGTTATTAAAACAGAGCCTTACTGATAGAATGAGGTTTAAAAAAATGTCTGGGCCCCCAAAATAGATATTAAATGATCTTTTCAGCCTAGCCTGGAAGGCTTTTTGATGCTCTTAACAACAAACAATGTTTTCTAGATATGGCCGGTAAGGATGGTAAAGTAATTGAAAAATGACTTAGAATGTGCAAGTTCTGTTAAACACCACCTAAACTTTGTTTTAATAACCAGCCTTTAGTTTCAATTTCTAGATTCACAATTACCTAAAAATTTTAGAGTCTACATTGTGCCCAAAGCAAAGTGGCCTTTAAGGGAACAGGTCGTGAGTTGGTTTTTGTGTCCAGATTATGCAAACTTTGGACCACAAATTATGAGTTAAAGTTGCCTTTGTGTGTTTAACAGAAAGCTACATGTACATAAATGGAGTTAATATTTCTTATCTCTTAATTAGTGTTAGCCCTTTGTGGGTTTATAAATGGAAAGCTTTGTAAATATGCCACGTTATTAATACTGCTCAAGCGTAAGTAGGTCAAGATGGCTGGAATTGTTAGGGGTTTCAATGTTTTAATGAAACAATACAAAGTTTGTGATCAACAAGTTCTTTAACGTACGTAGACTAGCTGGCGGTTTCATTTGGGGTGTCTAAGAGACATCTCTCACTTTACAAACTACAAACGAAAACAACACCCTGCACACAGCAAACAAACCGCCAGCTGCAGTGCGGGCTACAAGTTCTTGGAAACTCAGTGTTTTGTTGCAAGTTTTCCTTGGTTGAAAGTTTTTTTCATTCTTAAATAAAATGAACCAAGGATGAAAATGAATTTCTACATAGGCATACCGATAATTTAAGACAGAATCCACCAGGAAATTGAGTAATTTTAATTTTCAGTGGACAAAAACAAAAAAAACAGAATAATTTAAAGAATTTTGCATTCTTTGTTTTACATTTTTCAAGGGCTGAAGATGTAATAAATCATCTGTAGTAACACCAAAGAAAATTTCTCATGGAAGTCCGAGAATTATGAATGTCAAATTTTGAGATATGTCCAGAAATGCACGCATTGGCGAAAATGGCAGAAATGGCAATTAATCGCCAAACTATAAACAAAAATTCAAATGAGATGGCAAAGGGGCCCTTTGGAAAGTGGCGATTATGGCGAAAATGGCGTATTTGGCGAAAATGGCAGAAATGCTGGTAATTAATCGCCAAAATCGCCAAACTGTAAACAAAAATTCAAATGAGATGGCAAAGGGGCCCTTTGGAAAGTGGCGATTTCGGCAAAAATGGCGTATTTGGCGAAAATGGCAGAAATGGCGCTTAATCGCCAAAATCGCCAAACTGTAAACAAAAATTCAAATGAGATGGCAAAGGGGCCCTTTGGAAAGTGGCGATATTGGCGAAAATGGCGTATTTGGCGAAAATGGCAGAAATGGCAATTAATCGCCAAAATTGCCAAACTGTAAACAAAAATTCAATTGAGATGGCAAAGGGGCCCTTTGGAAAGTGGCGATTTCGGCGAAAATGGCGTATTTGGCGAAAATGGCAGAAATGGCAATTAATCGCCAAAATATAAACAAAAATTCAAATGAGATGGCAAAGGGGCCCTTTGGAAAGTGGCGATTATGGCGAAAATGGCGTATTTGGCGAAAATGGCAGAAATGGCAATTAATCGCCAAAATCACCAAACTGTAAACAAAAATTCAAATGAGATGGCAAAGGGGCCCTTTGGAAAGTGGCGATTTCGGCAAAAATGGCGTATTTGGTGAAAATGGCAGAAATGGCAATTAATCGCCAAAATCGCCAAACTGTAAACAAAAATTCAAATGACATGGCAAAGGGGCCCTTTGGAAAGTGGCGATTTTGGCGAAAATGGCGTATTTGGCAAAAATGGCAGAAATGGCAATTAATCGCCAAAATCGCCAAACTGTAAACAAAAATTCAAATGAGATGGCAAAGGGGCCCTTTGGAAAGTGGCGATTATGGCGAAAATGGCGTATTTGGCGAAAATGGCAGAAATGGTAATTAATCGCCAAAATCACCAAACTATAAACAAAAATTCAAATGAGATGGCAAAGGGGCCCTTTGGAAAGTGGCGATTTCGGCGAAAATGGCAGAAATGGCAATTAATCGCCAAAATCGCAAAACTATAAACAAAAATTCAAATGAGATGGCAAAGGGGCCCTTTGCAAAGTGGCAATATTAGCGAAATTGGCGTATTTGACGAAAATGGCAGAAATGGTGCTTAATCGCCAAAATCGCCAAACTGTCAACAAAAATTCAAATGAGATGGGAAAGGGGCCCTTTGGAAAGTGGTGATTTCGGCGAAAATGCCAGAAATGGCGATTAATCGCCAAACACGCCAAACTGTAAACAAAAATTCAAACACGATGGCAAAGGGGCCCTTTGGAAAGTGGCGATATTGGCGAAAATGGCGTATTTGGCGGAAATGGCGATTAATCACCGAAATCACCAAATTATAAACAAAAATGCAAATGAGATGCCAAAGGGGCCCTTTGGAAAGTGACGATTTTGGCGAAAATGGCGTGCACTAATCTTGTATCTTTTCATCAGCCACAAATAAAAAAAAAATTAGAGTTGGCCTCGTTCTTAAAACGTGTTTTGGCAGAAATGGCAATTACTCGATGAAATACCTAATTTGTCAAGACAAATTGAAATGACATAGCAAAGGGTCCCTTTTGAAATGGCTATTAATTGCGAAATAGTTACCACATATTAATATAAAAATGTTTCCAATAGTATAATTGTATACTAATAATGACAACGCTACTGTAACTTAAGTGTCATTAATCTGTTTTTAATGCTTTTACCTTTAATTGATAACCTCTTGTGATTTGAAATTCGTGCCAGACAAGAGTGTTTGGTCGGGAATTACCACTTATAACTAATTTCTTGCTCAATTCAAATCGAATGGCCAACGAGTTGTATTCGATTATCAGTAAATGGTAATCTTCGTAATGTTCATGGCAACTTTCTTACCAAAAACTCCAAGATAGGTATCCTTAATTTTCCAGGCTTGTAGGCATTGTTTGAATAGCGACAGTTCAACATTTTATGTTATGAGGAATCCAGGTTGATTCTTGGCTACGCATTCAGATAATTAGATGGTCCGTATTGCCTTGTATATCCATCCTGTTTGTTATAATGGCGTTCAATCGTACAAGTATATATAAACGAGCTGGTTCATTGCAGTTTCACAGAACATGAACGTGTAAGGTTTAGTAGTTGTTGTATAGACGCGGCGGCCATGTTGAAATAGTCGATTTTGGATAACTACTTTATGTAAGTGGAAACGATTAGTGTCATTCCCAGCCGACTTTGGTGGTCACTCTATGTAAGCAAAACGATTAATGTCGTTTACAGGGACTCTCAGGCAATTGTTAAATTAGAAGGTAAAAAGGCCGGGTGACGTGTTTCGACAAGCATTAGCATTAGCAATTTAATGGAACACATATTGTACTGAGAATTGGTTTGGTGGTCTCAGCGCAAAAAAACAATACATTTTCTAAATTTCTGGCCCCACCTCATAAAGCAATAATGGGACACATTTTTTAAGAACGAGACAAACATGTACACTCTCTTTTTATATATCTAGGTTGATGAAAAGATACAGAATTAGTTTGAATGGGATATGTTTTATGAAAGAGACAAACAAGTTATTAATTTGATCCAATGTTTATGTTCAATAAATGCGGTGAAATATTGGGCACAAGTGACATTTCGTGCAGGTTTACATCAAGTGGAAATAAGGGAATTCACACATTTCAAAATGGCGCATGCAAGCTGCTGGACATTTCGGCTTTCGTTACTTTTAGGGGACCGTTTCTCTAAAGAGCAAAACAAGTAAGTGCGAGAAGAAAGTGAAGAGTTTAAACGACGGAAGAAGATAATGTGTATAGTGGAGAACCAAATGAAGGGCACACAATGGTTATCGTGAAAGCATCTTTTAGCCAGGAACCATGCGTTTCGCAATCGCTTTTGATTTAAGGCTGCCTCACAATTTAATGGAACCAATGTGAAGAGAATTGTAACCAGTGAGGATTGTTAAGGTCTACATCGAACCTCAAAAGTTAGAGTGTCCATGGCAAGGAATTATTATGATTTCAAGGACTTGGTAGTTCTCTCCTCGAGTAATTAGTGGACTTGTAAGTCTTTGAAATGAATGAACCATACAAAAGCAAATGATGCTAGTGTGATATTTCAGCGCATCACATCACTTTTGGTAAGTCAAGCGACATCGAAAGTAAGGAAATGTTTACTTAACCTGTGAAGTACGTGGCACAAATACATATTAGCTTAACTGAAACGACTTCCATTTGTTGTTTTCAGATATATTTGATTCACTTGTATTTAATAAAATAATGTTGTTTGACAGTTAGGTAAAGCTGCTTTGTCATTTATTTGATTCAGTTGTATTTGATAAATGTTGCCTCACAGTTATTGGGGCCTCTTATTAGGCAAGTAATTTGAACTTTTTTTTAGTACTGTTGCCTCACAGTTATAAGGATCTCTTTAGTTATCCACTTTGAAGGGGCCACTTTTGGCATCCAATTTGAATATTTTGCCATATATCGCCAGCTCTCTGGCGATTTTTGCCAAAATCGCCAATTTCGCCAGAATCGCCATTTTCGCCAAAATCGCCAGCCTCCAAGGGGCCACTTTTGGCATCCAATTCAAATCGCCAGAGGCTGGTGATTTTTCGCCAGTTTCGCCATTGCATGCATGGCGATTTTGCCAAAATCGCCAATTTCGCCAAAATCGCCATTTTCGCCAAAATTGCCAGCCTCCAAGGGGCCACTTTTGGCATCCAATTCAAATCGCCAGAGGCTGGTGATTTTTCGCCAGTTTCGCCATTGCATGCATGGCGATTTTGCCAAAATCGCCAATTTCGCCAAAATCGCCATTTTCGCCAAAATCGCCAGCCTCCAAGGGGCCACTTTTGGCATCCAATTCTAATCGCCAGCAGCTGGCGATTTTTCGCCAGTTTCGCCATTTTCGCCATTGCATGCATTTCTGGACATAAGTGCAAATTTTACGAGAATTGTGATTACACATTTAAAATTCAGAAAAATTTGACATTCATTTTCTTGGGCTCCCATTTTTTTTGTTGTCACTACAGATGATTTATCAGGGTTCATACAAAAAATTGCAACCATTTTTCAAGGACTTTTCAAGGACTTTTCAAGGACCACATTAGATTTTCAAGGACAACCTACTAGGAATATAATTTCACAGATTGTACAAAAATGCATATTCCCAGTATATTCTAATAAGACTTTAAGGTTTTAACTGTTTGCTTCACCAAATTCTCTACATTTTTCAGTTCACTTGTCTTAAACTGATAGTTAATTATAGCATAAAACATGGAGCACTTTATGTAAGTGACCTTTACATTCACTGAGCTACGATTTATATTCTGTCTTGGACAACCAAAAAGCATCAAAAAATTCTTTCCAGGCTACTACATTCAAAGTTGAAGAAAATTCAAGCTCTTTTCAAGGACTTGAACAGAAATTTAAGGACTTTTCAAGGAAAAATGGAATTCAAGGACTTTTCAAGGACTTCCCCTAAAATTCAAGGACTTTTCAAGACTGTGCGAACCCTGTTTATTACATCTTTAGCCCTTGAAAAATGTAAGAAAGAATGCAACATGCTTTAAATTATTAAGGTACAAGATTTTTGTCCTCTGAAAATCAAAATTCCTCAATATCCTGGTGGATTCAAAATTTTTTTTCAACATTATTTTACATTGTATCTTTATCATGACTGAACTGTAGCATTGTAATAGCATTGGTATTTTGTTAATTCCTATGTTTTATTTGCAAAATAAAATTAAATGTGTTACTGGTTCACTTTTTTAGAAAATACATAGTTTTTTGTTTTGAACTGAACACATGGGGGAGGGGTGAGGCAGTGGTCAGAGCACTCGACTCCCATCAATTTGGCCTGGTTTCAGGTCTTGCCATGTATGCCATATATGGGTTAGGGACCGGTCGCCTGGGTGCGGGGTCGGAGGATTTTAGAGGGGATTACCTGTTTTTTGGGAGAACAAAAGGGGCCATCAGTTGTAACTGAGAATCCAAAAGCGGGGATCGCTGAAATCTTCGGAAGGATTCAGAGTGGGGACCACTCAAATTTGCTTGGAAAATGAAGACATCGTGGGGGGGGGATCGTGAAAGTCATCAAAGTTATTAGGGGGGATCACTTCAGTGAAGTAACACTCAAAGGGGGTATCGGCTAACTTTCCTCTTGTTTTGCCTCAAATCCTCCCCCCACCCCCGGAGATAAACAATGACCTGTCCCTTAGACCTGGTTAGCAGTGAACGCGCTAAATTATTGAAAATCGCGACCCGCGAGGAAGGTGTCCCATGCGCGGTGCTCTGTTTGTTTCGCGCGTCACCTTTCTCGCGGGTGGTGAGGAAAATGACAGAATACTCGTAGTCAGATTGTTAAGGCTATTTTCTCTCCTGACTGTTTTACCGCAAAAAAAATAATAAAGCATTGTTATGGAACTCTGGCGTCGAGTTTTCCCTGGAAGCAAAGAAGCTAAGCGATGTATAAAATCTGTCATTTAAAATTACTTTAAATGACAGATTTTTAAGGAGTGAACAGATAAGCAAGAAATCCCGCAGGAAATCCCGAGCGGGCTAGATTACTGTGAAACTCAGAAAACCGTGAACACGTGAAAAATTTCAGGTATTTAGCAGGAGAGTACTATTTGGGGACACTATTTTTACACGGGACCGCCATTTTACGTGGTCATCCGAGGCACGCAAAGGTCTAGCCGCTTACAGGTTAAAAAGTACCTTCATATCTCAGTTATTTTAAGACCTTGAGTATTGTTGGTTTTCACATGACGTCACTAAAATTCAAACTAGTGAGCTAACCCTGCACGGCCAATCACAATAAAGTTTAGGATACGAAAGGAATCCTCAAAACCACAAACTAATTACCATTGGTGTTTGCGGTTTAGTTATCTCGCGCCTTATTGGCTAATTTCTCGCAACACAATAACATGCCATAAATATTTCTGGTGTTGAAATTGGAAAGATCTTCCCTATAATGGCAAAGTGAGCACGAGAGGGACATACCGCTTTCACGAACTTAAACTTCAAGCCGTTTCTGGACACGCCAATAAGACGGGGATGAGGTCACTTTTAACAGTAACCGAGACCCTCGCTGGTACTCTCGGAGGGTTAAAGAAACACTTAACAGCATCAATAGGGACAGTGGAATTGAGAATTCTCGGCTGCTACGAGGATGCCTACAGTCAGACACCGATCAGTACAACAGGACAGCGGACCGCTGAGGGAACAGTCATCTCCTCAGGGGCACCCAACGAGGTTATAGATCAAAACCACTTAACATAGCATTGTTGAACGCATTTTAGTATTTAAACGGTAGATACAGGCATATTTTCATCCCCTAAAAACTTTTCATCTGTTCGGATTTCCTAGCTGAAAGTCTAGTGATCCGAAAATTATAGGGATCAAAACTCACCTTTTCGAAAATTTCAGCCAGGAAAAGGCTCCCGAAAATTCTAGGTGGCCTTTTTTGGGGTAAATATCCGTTTAAAATTGGTAATTATACCATTTTGTAGATGTTCGAAAATCCTAGGAGAGGCAGGCAAGCAAGAAATTTTACAACAAATGTTCCGAAAATTCTAGTTCTCAAATCGTCTTCCGAACAGATATTTTCCCGAAAATTGCTGTTGGGTGCCTCTGTCTCCTCTAATGCCAACAATGCTTTAGATCGAACCCTACCAACCATGTCCTGGGTGAGGTTCGTGATACACCAAATCACTAAGGATTACGGTGGTTTACTAATAGTCTCGCTCGGAAGATCGTAATTCGACTTCCGTGAAACAAACGATAAAAGAAAACCTTAAATGATGTTGATCTTCAGGTAATTCACAATTTTCACCGATTGAAAACGGTTATAATGTTATATCTGCAGTAGTTAAAGGTGAGAAATAACGAATTTTTACTGTGAAACTCACAAAACCGTGAACACAATAAATATTCAAGGAATGTTACTGTGTTGCCAGAGGTTAGCCAATAAGGCGCGAGATAACTAAAACGCAGACAGTAATGGTAATTAGTTTGTAGTTTTGAGGTTTGCTTGCTTTGCTTGCTTTATTGTGATTGGCCAGTACACTATCAACAATCCTGTGTGCCAATAACACACATGTACTACGGCCGCAACACCAAGTAATTTGCATCAAAACCTTTATTAGGTAGTTTTCCAGGAAGATCATTTTGACAAGCAAATTTACTTGTATCGAAACAATTTTGCATCGAAACGACCGGCCACCGTCATAGCATAAGATCTTGTAATCTTGTCCGTGTGTGGTAAAACGGAACCCGAGGCTCAGCCACGGAGGTAGGTAGGTAGGTAGGCAGGTAGATAGATAGGTAGATATAGGTAGTTAGTAAAATCCAACTAGTGGTCCATTATCAATGTTGAATTCTGATTGGTTGAGCTAATACTAGGCTATATGTTATAGCCCACTAGTAGCGAAAAGCGCTGGCTTTTTGGCGGCAAAAAAGGATTAAAGTCTTGCTTTAACTAGCTAAAGTTGTTTTGTCTCGATATTTTTGACCAACTAGTTGGATTTTACTAAATCAATTACTCCTCTCGCCCTCATGGCCTCTGAGGCCGAAGGCCGAATGGGCTATTGACTCAGAGCCCATTCGGGCTCGAGGAATAATTGTTAAATACAATTCATTACAATTCAAATAAGAAAACAGTATAAACTATCTACATTATAATAAAAATATTAAAGAAAAAGCTGCTTTCCATGAATGCCGTGCCCTTGAGTACTTGTTTAAGAAGACATTTGAATTTCGTAAGGGACTCTGCTTGTCTCACATTACACTGGAGTTTGTTCCATAGGATGGCGCCACTATAGCTAAAGCTATTGTTGTAATAATTTGTCCGTGGTAAAGGATACAAAGTTTATTCTCAGTCTCTAAGGTTATATGCCGTTTCTCTTATTGCAAACCTAGAACTTAAATATTCTGGAGCCAACCGGTGTAAAGACTTAGAAACCATCGTGGCTTTTTCAATTTCATGCTGGCGTGCTAGATTTTTCCATCCTGGGAGTTCAAACAGGTAACCAGCGTCTTCATTGTAGTCTGAAAATGTCAAAAAACGGGCTGCTCTAATTTGTAGTTTTTGAAGTTTGTTCCTTAAGGTTATCCCACAGTTTCCCGCCAAAACAGTATTGAAATAATTGAAGTGAGGGTGAATAAGAGCTTAGTAAATTAGTTGTAAGGTCGCTTGGGGGACAAGGTACCTTACTCGCTTTATGGCCCCGATGCCAGAAGATACTTTCTTTATTATCTTCTCCATATGGCTACCCCAATCGCGATTATTATCGATGGTCACTCAAAGAGATTTAGCAGTAGCGACTTGGGTAACTCGAAAATCATTAATTGCAAGTGTTGGAGAAACTGTTACAATACTTAGCCTCTGTTTCGTCTCAGCAAGCGCACTTTGCGAGTTCATGGAAACGGAGTTCATGTCAATTGGATCTGGGCAGAGGCTCCCCTCAAAATACATTCTAGCAAGGCTTTTCTACTGAGAACTTCAACTGAGAATTTATCGCAGAGTTAAGATTTCAATCCATCTATGAATTTTATCGTCTTTGCCGCAGTTGAGCCTTCATTTCTTGAATGCGGTTCACCAACGGACGATTTGAAGTTGCACATTTTCCAAGGACTAGATCCAGGCCCCCTCGCTTTTCTGAGCAAAAACTGTTTCCGCCGCATCTTCGTATTTCCTGGGACAAAAGTTAAAGTGTCGTTTATAAGTAGGTGGAATATGATTAGCTCGTTTCTCGAAAGTCCCGGTAACTTTTCGGGCCCGAAATCAAATATTTAAATCAACATCAAAGGAATAAAAACACGAGTCCTAGCCAACAAACCAGTCAATTTTGTTTTTACTGATAGAAAGCTACACGTCACATCAGTATGGAATATCTGCAAACATTCTTCAGACCTCATTTCGCGAGGAAACCAGTGGTGGTGTCACAAAATGTCAGCTATTTTCTCAGGGTAGCATCAATTAGCAGTGCAGAACTCGAGTTATTGTTCCCAACCACTTACGAATTTGCATACGCCCAGGGTTTTGTGGTCAGTGGATTCAGTGCCCCCTTCTTAGTTCTGGGGTGAACGAATGAACGGCATAGTCGCAACACAAGTGACCACTACTCAAGGTAAGTTTGTTTAGTCAGCCTTTGAGTAAAGTAAGAACTTCAATGAACTGATAAACTCACCCGAGTTTCACATAACACGTCACTTTATTTTCGGGAAGAACCCTGGAGAGATATTTCTCCGCTTCTATTCAGGCATGCTTCAAAAAATGGCTGTAAAAAAGCAATGTAAATAAAATTTACAGCGTCTTCACACTGGAATGTTATTCACAATGTTACAGTCATGGGAACCTATGAACGTATCCTTTAATAAAGAAGAAATAAATGCTTTTGATAAATACCGACGAACCTTCCAATCGCCATCTGTCCAAGACGACCATGATTTTTATTCCGCCAGATGATCCATACATTTACGCTAGAAACATTTAATATCTTACGCAGTGGGGTTAGGGTTTCTTATTTCTTGTCCTATCGTAGATGTGTGGGAAAGGCAAAAAAATTTACAAAAAAGAGTGATGGACGTGTAGAGCTGTTGTTCCACTCCTTCATTAACCTATTGTGTTTTAGGCCTTTCCGTTACTTTCGCCATCGTAGTTTTGTAAGGTCCCAAATTACCTGCGTAAGTGAGTCCGGATTGTAGGGTTTAAAGGATTAGCTTTGCACGTATCTGTCCCTAGTTGAGCACATTGCTTGATTATTTCGGAAAACACTGTCAATGAACTTACCTCGTATCCAATTAGAGATTTACGAGCTTTGGAAAACTTGTAGAGTTCCAGCCAGTTGTGACTTTAAGGTCAAGGATCTTACTTTCAGCCAATAAAACCTAAAGACAAGACAATGCGGCAAATGAGCTAAACTATGAGGAAGGAGTTTGAAGGGGTAGGAAAAGGAGGAATAACTGAGGTGCGCGTGAACGCGATGTCCGCGCGAGGAGGAAGGGAAGAAAACCCTGTCTGCTATTTTTCCTCCCGCGTCCTGATTCCCTCCCGCTCCTTTTACTACTCCTTCAAATGCCTGCTACACAGGCTACAAATCAGTGGTTTTAACTAGCAAACATAAGCTCTACGTGGTGCAACTAGAGGCTATTTCGAAAACGCGCCGTGTGAAAACGAGAACGCGATGAATGCGCGAGGAGGAAAGGACGGAAACCCTTTCTTCTCTCCCTCCTCGCGCGCCCTTATCCCCTCCCTCTCTTTCACTCGACTTCCAATGCTTGCCACATAGACTACAAATCAGGGTGTGACCAAACAAGCCTTAGCTCTACATAGTACAGGCTATTTTGAAAACAGCCCGTGTGAGAACGAGAACGCGATGGGCGCGCGAGGATGAAAGTAGAGAGACCATTTGGGCCAGTTGTTTAAACGGAGTTTAACCCGTGTTTAACCAAACCGCGTTCTTGGCCATTTTCAGTTTGCTCAACGTTTTTATCTAAACGCCATTTTTCGTGAAAAATCTCAAGAAAGTATATAGTGTAGACTGGAAAGGCACTTATTTTCTTCAATTAACCCCTTAAGAAAAGGATCTGGAAGTCCAATGTTTTCCTAAACGACTGCGTTTAAATTTCCTCCTCCCTAGCGCGCCCTAATTCCCACATTTCCCTTCCCCTTCAAATGTATTCTACACAGGCTACAAATCAGTGGTGTGAACAAGTAAGCCTTTGTTCAACGTGGTGTAGCTAAAGGTTGTTTCAAAAAAGGGCCCTCAGATGAGAAAGGTCTCGTTGTTTACAGTCTCTGATAAAAAAATGTTACAAACCTTTTATCCGGAATCTTGAACTCCTTTTTCAGTTGCTCAGCGGCTTTCAGGTCTCCTTGAAGTATGCACTGAAAAGTGCAAAGTAATCCTTAGAAACCAGGAGCCCACACCCAATTGTATGGCAATTAAATCTGTGACAATGAAGAAACTAACGCTAAAACTACTTTTAATAGTACTTTCCACAGCGGTTTACTTTGCTTTGGTTTTAACGACTAAGTTTAGATAATAGTTTAACAATAACAATCCCAACAAAAGCTGCTGATCAGAGATCTGAGAGATTCCAGCGTATACTAAGTAAGGTAAAAGTGTTACTGTTGACTTAACGGGGGAAGGGGGGGGGGAAGTGGTCAGTTACCTAGAAAGCTCAATTGATGCAGCTGCCCAACTGTACTGATCGGTACACCTTAAAAATAAGCTCAGATCGTGAACGTTTGAAAATCCACGGTAAAGGCTAAGACAGTTTAGTGTCTTTATCACACCTGGTAGATAGTATCACTGAAAGACAGGTCCATAAATGCCTTTCTTTACTTCTCTTCTAGTTTGACTTGATATTATACCATGAGTTTCATTTGTTCTTCTGTTGCCCGAAAAATTAAATCGCGCGTATATAGAATGTATCACTGACAGGAAATGTTTTATTGAGATATTTATAGTTCAGAGCAGTATAACGCGCACTCTGATTGGCTTAAAAAGCGTGTTTATCAGTTTGTTTTGAAAATTAGAAAGTAATGTGTGGCGAATTTAACGGATTCTTTATCATAAAACTACTAAAGAAACCTTTACTGTGCTTTGTTATGTTACAAAGCACTTGAGAAGTGGGGAGAAACACTCGACTACGTCTCGTGTTTACCCCTACATTTCTTTTGTGCCCTAGCCCGGCGCTTTCTACGTGATTTATAACAGAACAGAGCACAGTCAAGGCATTTGTTAATCAAACACAGAGGACTGGAGAGTTTTCTGGGTGCTTTTGGTTCGAATATCGCAAGTTTATCCCGTATCCTAGATTACTAGGAAAGGCACAACGTCCCTCTTCTGTTCCTCCCACATACAGTGAAACCTCTATTAAGCGGACACCTTCCGGACCTTCCCAAGTGTCCGCTTAATTGAGATTTTGTAAAAATTGCACATTGTTTGTTAACGATTAACATTCAGAGGTTACTCTGTACTGTGATAAAGTTCCATGTTGTTAAGGACGCTAAGGAAGCTGTGCTTTACATGGTGCAAGACTTTTAGGTGAACTTTTGACAGCTAAATGTATTGATTTATCCTTATAAATCGACTACAGTATGTATTTCAAGGACATAATCCAATACTACTATTGTCAATTCAGTCCGGTTTCCGCTTAATAGAGGTTTTTAACAATAGAAATTAGCCAAATACAATTTATTTTAGTGTCCTCGTCCGCTTAATAGAGGTGTCCGCTGAATTGGGATTCGTCATAAAGGCTAATATAAAACGTTAATTTCGGGACCCGGCTTATAGTCCGCTTAATAAAGGGTGTCCGCGTAATTGGGGGTCCGCTTAATAGAGGTTTTACTGTAGTAAGAAATGGGTGACCCTAGCGTTGGTGGAGTTTGGAGTATTTTAAATCAAAGAAACAAAGTCAAGAGCACACACCTTTGAGTAGAACTGAAATCCTCCTTGCTGGTAAGACATCTGTGCTTTAGACAATGTTATTATCTTGGATTCTATTGCCTAAACAATAAAAATAGAAGAAAATCATGAGAAATCAGGTTTTATGTCAAATGTACTGACAAGTGATACGAAAACGATGATTCTATTCTTTGACGGGTGATAACGAATTGCCTCTGATTTCTCAAGGAATAAAAGCATCAGCGCCAATATCCTTCCCAAGGCAGTTGCGTAGGAGCTGCTTGGAAGGTCTCTCCTGATTGGCCGCAGAAAACAATGACATGTCATTCTTTCAATTGTTTCAGTATTGTTTGGGGTCAGGGTTAGGCACCACTGGTGACTTTTCTTCTGAGCAGCTGCAACATGACCTTCCCAAGGCTTTGATCCTGCTGGTTTAGCACTAAAAGTGACTGTTCTGCCAGACAAGGCTAAGAAAAGCTCTGAGGACCAGATTGCAAGAGAGACCTGAAGGGGTCACGCAACTCACCCTTTGTGTGACGGTCTTCCTTGCAAGTTGCGATTTTCAGGCGTGCGTGCTTTGTTCGCTCTACGACACCTGTGAAAAATATCAGATACCTTGTTGACTTAAGTCGACTCCTATTCTTGTCGTTTCTTTGGTCACGTGGTCGCCGAATTGAGGGCTGGCAACAATAAGCGCACGCGTAGTAGATATCACTAGTTATGATTAAAACGAATTTTGGTAAAGGTTTCCAGTTTAAGCACAAGAGATGAACGAGTTAAATTAAAAATAAGAGTTGCTACACGTATTCTCGGCTCTCAATGACGTTCAAAATAAACAAGAGTGCTGCTGACCTTAAGAGGAGTAAGTTTCTCCCATTTTCTAACTGGAAAACGCCATGCGGAAATGAGGTAAAAGCGGAACTTGGTAGTCTGATAAAGTCACAACAAAAATATTCTATGACGCCATGAAGAAACGGAGTGAAGCGTGCGCACCTTTGCTCGGAATTGAAATTACATATTAAGCCAATAAAGAAATAAAATAATAAAACAACTTGCGACCAGATCCCCTCCTAAGCATGATAGCATTTCAAGCTACTTTATATGATACCTTCTCGCTATAGCTGTCGTGCACAAAGGCATTACCACTGTTCATAAACTGGTCATCCTGGTAGAACAGGTCTACAAGTGTACGGCGATCCTGATCCTTACAATACTGCAGACAAATCACAGTCATGTCAAAGTGAATATATAGATTTCACAATAGCCTGCGTGGCAGGTACAAAACGAGGGAAGGGGGAAGGAGAGAAAAAGAGAGTGAAGGGAAAAGGTAGAAGAAATGAAAAAAGTGGTCCTAGAGCAGGCTTCCCTTTCCCACTTTCACTTTTTTCAATACCTCTTAAGACGCATGCCACACAGTTTAATGATTTACAATAACCGAGTGTTTTCTGCGCCCCGATTGGTCGACAGGTTTTGCTCATGACAGTACAGAGAATAGAAACGAAAGATCCTTCTCGTCTCTGTCTGTTGAGCGCGATTCTCCAAGACATTGTAGAAAAACAACAACAAATAGCTAGACAAGTAGCCATTTGTCACTGCCAAGGCTCCGACATTTCAAAGGATTGACATAAGATGGTACAAACGATACCGTAAAACCACTCACTCCTCCAACATTTTGACGTCATTTTTGTGATCTTAAAGAGTGAACGCATAAAAGGAAAAACGTTTCCTAGCAAATACAATATTAGCGTTACGCTGAAGGACCTTACGGCAAGTTTTCTCTTGGTTGGAGCCTTGAACAAATACACACTCATTTACACAACTCTTTTCTCATAGACTCACCTTGATGTGGAGGCTGAGTGCCACAGGACGGTAACGTATGGCCATCAAGAACTCGCCAGGAATTAGATTATCCTTCAACTGCATAACAACCATAAATACTAGAAAGAAAAAAAAGACAACAAAAATGTCATCTAGATACAGGGGAAAATCAAGTAGGCGGGTTTTGGATGACGGCGGTTCGGATCCATCAATTTTGATCACCTGAGCAGAGAAAGCTGTTACCATTGGAGGAGAAGCTACAAAACAAGTTCAAAAATGTTTTACGGTTTGCAACTCTGCCCGTGCTTGTAACACCGCTAGTGTAACGCCAACTTTTAGGCTGAGAAAAAGTTGATTCTAATTTTTTTGAACCTTTGGTACAATTTCAACATAACGATACACCTTCCTATAAGTCGGCTTTTGAGCGACAACGACGAAACAAAACGGACTTAAAAGATCACCAAACTGCTGTAGCTAACCGCAGTGGTACCCACTCACAACTCACCCAGATCCGTGTCTCCACTCATAATGGCCTTCTCGAGAGCTAGGTCATCTTTATTCATGCGCATGAGCAGTGGAACTTGGTCAGCGGCTTCCGCCTCATAGTCCAAAAGCTACAGGTAAAAAAAAAACAAGAAGATGTGAGCATCTTGAAAGATACATTCTGAATCATGAATTGGCTATGATAGGCTCGCTTACCGATTGTCAAACGACGAACTTACTATGGTGAGATTGCTCCAGCTAGAGGTCAAGGTTGGCTTTAAGCCAGGCTGTAGGCAGGTCTCCTCGTGGAGGCACAGGCGGCGAAGCCACGAGAAAGGCCGTAGGCAAAACCTGGACCGCAAAACCGGATCAGATCATTCTCAGAGGCACTATCCCTTACCTTTCGTTATTCAGTCAGTTACAGGGGTTGATCTGATCCGGTCTGTTCCAGGTGTTGTTGACGTCCCATGAAACGAGCATGTTGGTAACCCCTCGAGCGAACCACGGTGAAAGCTAAGAATTTATATTAATCAATTAAGTTGACATAGGAAATTTGGCATAGTAGGGACATTTCGAGTGCTAACCCTTCGGTCAGTCTGACGAAGGGCTAGAGCATAAAACTTCAACATGTTTTTTTTATATTGAATTAAAAACTTCAGTTGTTAAAACCCTCGATGTTCCTTTCCCCCATTGCTCTTCTTTGCAGCCGTAAGTTTTGTTTCTTGACGGGTGCCCAAATTTAAAAAAAAATGTTTTCCGAAAGTTTTTTTTCATTGAACTTTGCTTCCGGGAATTTCTAGAATTTTCGATTGAATGCATGGTTCACATTTCGGAAATTCAACATCTTTCGGAATTTCTGGAAACTTTTCCTGGACATTTCTGTACCATTTGCCGCTGTTTCCAATTTTCGAACGTTTTGGTTGAATGGAAAGCGCCCGTTGTTTTGCAACAACAACAACGTCAAACAACAATTGGTTTTATGAGCAAAACGACTGCTCTGCACGTGAATCACGCTTTTTGGTACATTTCTTTGACGTCCACTGCACGACTACGACGTGAAACCTCCCAATGCAACGTTTTATGGAGGACGTGGACATACGAAAACAAATTTTCCGTTCTCGATTTGAACATGGATAAAGACAATAGGAATTTAACTCCAGGAAAAGTCGCTTACATTTAACGAATTAAGCGGTTCAAATAGACGCGATAAAGATTGAAAGGACGCGGGAAATTCATTTTCTTAGTGACGTTTTCACTGCCGTCGTCGTCGTCATTGCTTAAGGTCCCTGATAAAGTGCAGCGCTGAAAGCAAGCGAGGTCTTAATACTCCAGGTACGGGAAAAATTCTTGATTACCCACAGTAAACGCAATTCCGCAGGTAAAAATCCCATTCTATTATTTTGAACCTCTGCATTTAGCAAGGAAATACTAACGGAAGACACCAGTTTATGTCCCAAATTGAACTGGGAACGTATAGTCTATAATTATACTGTTCATGTGAATGCTCTCAACTAACCTTGATGGCCAGGTGCGTTCGTCCACAGTCCACTGCCTTTGAAGCTATTTCTGAGTAAGATATCCCAGGAGTCTCTCCGAGCTTGGAGTTGATGGCACGAGCAATCTCTTCGTCATCAACATTGGCTTGCTGAACCTGTTTAAACAAGAAAAGCAAGTTTTGAAGAAGTGAAGGATCGAAAGAGATGTCAATATATTCAACACAATAAAAACTATTTACGGACACTATTGTATTCTACAAGGGCGGAGAAGTTAATTTCAATGTGATCATCCCAGCCATGTGAAAGTCCAACTGTTTATTTACTGAGGAAATAGAACACAACAGGATTAAAAGCCCCAGCTGGCAGGAGGAAACCAGTTGGCTATTTACAAGCATGACCGGGTATCTGAACTTGGAAATACCGCGAATAAATTCAGCAAGTGGCTAGAGTAAGACTCCAACCAGGACCGACGGATTGCGAAAACAACGTGATGGGCGCCTGGCCACGCTGTCTTCACCACGTACAATCCAGTCTGATTGATCTAGATCTTTTCATAGGTTGATTTTGTGATCTTTGATAAATACACAAACACGACGAGAAATGAGCCAAATTCAGCACATGAAACAACCACCGGACACCCAACTCCAGTCATGTCTACTGCCACAACTATAATTCACCATTACCAATTTTATTAATTACCAGCCATAAGCTAATTGCGGGAAGACCCCTGCTTACATATAGGTAACAGCCAACCGGTATCCGCTGGTTACACTCACTTTATAACAAGCCAAGTGTCCAAGGATGCGACTGGCACCCTCCCCCTTAGGAATCTTCAGGTAATCACAGATTCTTATGGCCAGACAGTAGTGACGCCTCAAAACAAGCCTACAGGAGCAGAAAATAAACGGTAATAAAATAAACTTAAGGCAAAGAATTCCCGCTCCAGATCTGACGGCGGGAAAATCAATTTAGTAAACATGGTTTCGACACGGGAAGTAGGCAAGTAAAAAAACAACAGCTTTGCTTCAGCTTGTTTTATATTCAGTAGGAATGCAAATAATTTTGATATTTTAAAAAAGGATTTATGTCCAACCACGTCACCATTTTAGTCGAGCAAAAGAGAAAGATTATCGGACATACATCATATTCATTTTGTTATTTTTCTTAAAAGTACTATTTCGTACTATGTACTATAGCAGGTCTAGTGTATAATCAATAAAAATGTCGACCCTGCACACTATAGAGCCCCCAGCAGCTCAGTGGGTAGAACGTCTGATCTTGAACTCGGAAGGTCGTAAGTTTGATACTCACCTGAAACTCGGAACTTATTGAACGTTTCACATTACAATAAACACTTAAACACTTAATGACTGGTCTCGAGGGAAACAGTTAAATTTGTTTTCCGAGAATCTCAATGTTTCCCGAGGCTATATAGCTGGAAATTCATAAAACCTCGCTGTAACGGTAGTCGTCGGTCAACATTCGTGGGTAACAATGCACTGTTCCCTTATGACGTCATAGATTTTGTAACGTTGTCCGCTCACAGATTTTGGCGGGAAACAGTTTCATTGTTAGATGTCATGTGACCTCGAAGAAACCAATGACAGCGCGCACTGTTATGAAAAAATTTCCAGCTACGTAGCAATACACCTTGTTTACCGCCCCCTTCCCCTCAAAAAATGCATAAGCATTGCACGTTTTACCTTTTTTAAAAAGACAACAAACAGCGTGACAAAAACAAAACTCACCTATCGATAAGGGTTTTCATTGTTAGTTTTTCCAGTCGAAGACGATCGTCAAGGCATCAAAAGTGGATAATTTTTGAAAAATATCAAAGGGTACTCTCAGAGAACAAAAAAGCAAAATGGAGCCCACTTTAAGAACTTGATAAGAGCCACAAAATTGAAAACTGTGTTAACGTACTTTTAACATATCCGTTTTAAAAAAGAGAAAAGGGACATATCTTGTTCGTTCCCTCTAAAAAATGTAATTTAAACCCCACAGCTTTGCTCCTTTGCATAAATCGCACCAAAATCACCGTTCTCTTGCGAAGACAGAAACACTCTCCAGTATGGTTTCCGTGCCGACGCAAGAGCTATCTAGCATAGTGTTAGCCTGCGTAGAAACGGTTTCCGCGCAAGTTCGTCGTAAAAGTTGGAGATGATGTGAACTGCGGAAATGCAAGTTTAAATGAAGAAATGATCGTCGCAGCGGAAATTGCAATTTACGCAATTGCAAATTAACTTGAACAATAAAAAAAATTTTCGTCTTGCTACGGAGGCTAGCATAGTGTAGACTTGCTGCAACACAGCCTGCAATTGGGCAAAATGTAACCTGCGAGACGGCGCTTTTGCAACAACTGAAAATTTGGTTCACTCTTGAATTAAGATAAAGGATACTGTCCATATGTAAGTGGAATTCCAACCATGTAGTCCCGCACGGCGTTTAACACTCTAAGATTCCGGCACATCGAAACAAACGCGTGTGGCGGCATATCAGTTAGAAAACTCTTACCAAAGGAAGCGGCCTAGCAAAGAGAAGAAAAGATTACAGCGGAGATCAGTTAAAATAACGGTTATACTATAGGCGGAATTTTCCCCGACATCGACCGCCGGAGCGCTCTTGTTGGTTACTACGAGGACACATGACATGTTACACGAGAACTATTTCCCGCCTAAAATCTCTGACCAAGCGACGCTGCAAACTTCGCTTGGTAGATGGTAACAGAGCAGTGTTATCGGCGAATGTTGACCACTCGCTGAGACTTGCTATACTTTCAATTCATCCTGTATAACTGAAAAATCACTGAATGACGTGTTCGTCGAAAGCATTAATGAAGTCCTTTATGTCTCTTACTACACTCCTCAAATAGAAACATAATGGACGAACTATTTGCGCTCTTTCGCTTTCAATTCAAATTACCCAGATATACTGAGTACAGATTTTCTTTTCACGGCATCACGTTCAACGATTTATGCCCAAGCGAATTTGAAGGAACTTCAGCAGATTGACTAAAACGTTTTCAGTAGGAGGTGGTGATTTTGAAACGGAAGACAGATAATGTATTTTTTCAAACAATGCTAAATTTATCTGGCAGTTTACAGAGCACCAATCACCGTGTACGAAACCTTAAACTTGTCAACAACTCCCCCACCTCCTGGGGGCGGGTTGCTGTGAAAATCAAGACGTAGGAACTGAACATAGGGATCATGTGGTTACCATGACTACATCAGAAACTACACTCACCCTCAGAAGTCCTCTTTGTATTGCAGGCTCATGTTCCCCGGCAGTGGCGTGGATACATTGCTGGACAGCCTCAGGAAGACGTTCTTTGATCATCCGAATGTACTCCTCTGCTCGGGCGCTCTTTTTCTGTTTACAGGAATATACACGAAAGAATCAGAGCGACAGCTTAATTTTGGGGGATTTAGTTTTTAGTGCAGTTTAGGACCTTTGAGTTGAAACTTTAACGTTGTTCGTCAGGTATTCTTTTTATTATCATGCTATGTTTTTCTTCATTCATGATTTTTCTTTCTTATGTATTCTGTAAAGCGCTATTGAGCTTTTGGAGTGAAATAGCGCTATATAAATAAAGTTGATTCTCTTTTATTATATGGAGAAAAGTTCCTTCAGCTAGGATGGTGACCTTACCAAGGAAAACAGGTCACCCAACAACAGGCTCGCCCAGGGTGGCTCGCAGTGGCGGTCTAACAATAAAGGGGGTGGGGGCGAGCCCCCTTGACCCCTCTCCTAGATCCGCCACTGGCTTGGGTAGGCGGCTGAGCCTTTTACCCGAGACAACTTTTTCCCAGAGAGAGTGAAGCATTGCTTACCTCAAATTCCTTTGATGCATCAAACAGCATCGCACCTGGTTCCATTGAACCGATTTTAAACACTTGTTCCACAGCAGCTGAAAGATGAAAAGAAATAGTTGCTCTAGTATCGGACATAATTACTCACGTTCATGATAAGAAGTGGTTCTGGCAAGAGAGGATGATCTAAGAAAACGAATCCCCCATACATGACCCTATTTCCATGAAAATTAGTTTCAGTCTATTCTTGGGTCTGTGTCATACTGCGTGGTTATTTTAAGGACGCCACCTTATTGGTCGGCTAGAGTGGCGTCATGTAATTTTAAACTTGGCGGGTAGTTCATTTCACTACCGATCACGCACAGCAAGCGCTCTTAGTTCTGGTTGAACGGTAACCGGGCAAGTCGCTGGAAAGTCATCTCACCCGAAGTCATATCGCATGAAACCAGAGTAATGTCGCCCGAAATCCTAAGTCATGTCGCCTAAAATTTTATCGAGTGTATAAACTTGAACAGAAGTAACACCTGAAGTATATCGCAAGGAATTTAGTCGAAAAATGTTGACTCAGCACTGTCCGGTACTCCTATGCAAATGTCAAGTTCAAGAAAGACGCAAATATCGCTGTTTATTTCGAGCGACATGACTCTGATTTCGGGCGACTTGACCGCAAACCGATTGAACAAGTCGACTGGAATAAAGTTTAGGACTTTTTGCTTGTTCGTGACAACAGGGTACCTATCTTCTTTGAAGGGGGGAATACTGAATGTAGAGTCAGTCCCATCTGGTTCCGGGAAGTAAGTTGAAAAATCATACATGAGCCACAGCAAGACCACACTGAGCTAAAGGTTTAAGTCAACAGTCTCGGGAGTTTATTTCGCTCTAAGCACCTACAGGTAACGACACGTTTTAAAAGAAGGTAATTTGGAAAAGCATCAAATGTCTGTGAAGAAGAAATAAACCTTAAGGACATCCCGGCCACCAACAGGGATTGTTATTTTTGGCTACTGTATTTCGATAGCTTTATGAATCGAGAACAAGAGAAAATATCTGCGAGCATTTTGAAACTTTTCACTTGTAGTCTGCGAATACAGCCGTTTCACCTTGCTCCTCGTTGCTAGGGAGGTTTCGCCGGAAGGAGAATCCTCTCGGAATCAACGTAATCATATTTACCAACCTGGAACTCGCTGAAGCAGTTCATGAGTCTCATTGCCAATGATTCTTACGCCATCTAACTCTTGAACTAAATGAACAGCACTGTCCATCTGATATGTAAAATATGTTAAGAAGAAGTGTGCTATCCGTTGCATATCAATATTTATCAAAACCTGAATCATTAAATAATGCAATTCTACAGATCTGATTTGCTTAACCATCAGAGTATATTAGCAATAGACAAAAATTAATTGTTCAAAATTAAAAAGAAGCTGAAAATCGGTTGGATCAGTATGAGATGATTAGCCAACTCAGCGCTCGTTGGCTATCTACAATCTCATATCCAACGCACACTCGTGGAATAATTGTTAAATAAATGGCAACAGCGTGCCCAATGAAAAAAAAAACTACTCATATTTTACAAATTACCAAATTCCACGGCAGAAACAGAAAAAATTAAACTACACTAGTAACAATTGTCAGTTCAAATCAAGGGTGTTTTCAGTAACATGATTAACGTACAGCACTTTGACCAACTTGGCCAAGGCAACATTTACAACAACAACAATTTTTAATTCTAGCATGCTCTAGCAGTTAGATAGCTTGCCCCGCAAATAGTTGGAAAGCTAGTTGCATATAAAGAATGATCTTGTTAATCCGAAAAGGATATCTAATAGTGTCCATTGTCGGTCCAACAACATCCAAATAATCGTCCCAGTAACATATGACAGCGCCCATTGCACACCTGTAAGGTAAGTTGAGGTAAGTAAAGATCGGAACACACAAGGAGACAAGTTGCACCAACACAAGTCGGCGACAGATTACTCCCTGTGTACAGGTCAGGAGATTAGTTGCTGCAGCACGTTGCAGCGACACATCGCTTGATGAGTAGCGGAAGAAAGAAAAACACCGATGGCTCTTAGTTTCAATTCAAAAGAATATCCTGGCCAACTGGGCGAGAATTCGTCATAAAAGATGATAGGCTTCGTTCTAGAAACAACAACTGCTCCCTCCTTACCAGGTTAGTTGCTTGGGTCTTGATGGACAAGAAGTATTGAACTCACAGTAGACTTTCTAAAGAAGACAGAAATACAACAATAACTGCAAAATTCAAAGAACTACGAAATACAGGCGTACTTAAGTTGAGCTCTTCAGAGCCTGGCCTAGCGGCCCGGGTTGCTAAGCTTCCTCGCTTTGCGGAGATGTCAGCAAGTTAAATGAACACAATAAATATCAACTTTGCGATCACATGAAACTGTTTTTGCAAGGTTTCCGAGGAAGAAGTGGCTAAACTAAATTAATGATGATAATCCCACCATGGAGAACTAAGGCGGATACCAACGGAACTACGATCTAATTGTACTAACTGAAACGCATTTGGACCATTCGATTCTTGACTCCGAGATTTTTCCCTCTCACTACACTGTTTTTAGAAAAGATCGTAAGATTAATGGCCGTCATGGCGGTGGTGTACTCATTGCGGTACGTGATTACATTACTGTTTCTCTTCGTCCGACTCATCCGTGCGACTCTGAAATGCTTTTTATTGATGTGCTCTTATCTTACAACCGACGGATAACTATCGGCGTGTTTTATCGACCTCCGGGAAGTGATATTAAGCCTTTGGAAGACCTTCAGACCTTTATTCAAGGACTTGATTCAACCGCGGATTTAATTCTGGTTGGCGATTTTAACTTGCCGGAGATCGAATGTTTATGTAATAGAGCTTTACAACAATCTCACAATCACGCCCTTTTAATTGATATAATTCAGGACAATTTCTTAACACAGCTGGTCAGTGAGCCTACAAGGAGCCAAAATATTCTAGACTTGTTAATCACATCCTCGCCAGATATCATTGATCGTCTTGTTGTTGGCGATTGCTTCTCCGACCATAACTCTCTTAGTTTTGAGATCTTAAGATCACCCTACACCCAGCGTAAATCTCGGAAATGTTTCTATTCATATGGCAAAACTGACTGGGCACACCTAAAGATGTTATTGGCTTGCATTCCTTGGAACTGTGCTTTTTTCGATGATGACATTGAATACAACTGGTCTTGCTGGAAAGATCTTTTATTTACGGCTATGGATGAATGCATACCCGTGCGTCGGGGCAAGAAAAAATGTAATGCACCTTGGATAACAAAGGATCTTATTAGGTTGTGCAGAAAAAAGAAATTGTTGTATAACAAAGCGCGAAAAAGCAGCAATCCAGCCCTTTGGAAGAAGTACAGAAAACTGAACAATGTCGTGAAAAGAGAATGTAACTTAGCTCGATGGACGTATATCAACAATATGGCCTCTGATATTGCAGTTTCTGGTAATTCCAAGCCTTTCTGGAATTATATTAAAAGCAAACGTAACGGTACGAATACTCTGGTATCTTTAAAGGTTGGTGACAAAGAACTGATTGACGATGAGAGTATTGCTAGTAGTTTTAATTCCTATTTTTCATCTGTTTTTTTTTTACCTCTGAGGACTTCACCAACTTGCCTTCTTTAGAGCCTTTAGTTTGTGAGAAACTTAATTATATTTCCTGTACTACTGAGGAAATTTTAAAGCATCTTAAGTCTCTTAAAACGAACAAGTCCCCGGGTCCAGATAGAATTTCACCAGTAATTTTAAAATCATGTGCGTTCGAATTGGCGCCCTCGATCTCATTTCTGGTTAACAAATCTTTCCTGCTGGGCCATTTGCCCGAAGATTGTAGATCAGCTGACATTGTCCCACTTCACAAGAAAGGTTCTAAACACTTGAGGGAGAATTATCGTCCAATTTCGCTTACATCCATGATATGCAAAATCAGCGAAAAAATTGTACGCGATAGGTTAACGTCATTTTGGCAAGACCAAAACGTGATAAACAAAAACCAATTTGGTTTTTTGCAGGGTAGGTCTACTGTGACCCAATTACTCTCTACTTTTCATGACTTCGCCAAATCTAGGAATTCATCTGTAGCAACAGATGTTGTATTTCTTGATCTCGCAAAGGCTTTTGATAGTGTTCCTCATGAGCGTCTACTCATAAAGTTATATAGCCTCGGTATTGAGAGCAAACTTCTTAACTGGTTGAGGCATTTCCTCACGTGTAGAAAGCAACGAGTTGTTGTAAGAGGGACTTTTTCTGATTGGGCACCTGTGATATCTGGTACCCCACAGGGAACTATTCTTGGTCCAATTTTATTTCTATCATATATAAATGATATCGTTGATAGTGTCTCTTCAAAAATTAAATTATTTGCGGATGACACAAAGATTTACAGAGAGCTTCGCAACCCTAGTCTCGATGAACAATACCTTCAAAATGATTTGAATAATCTTGGTAAACGGACGAAAAATGGCAACTTCGTTTCAATGAGGAAAAGTGTGAAGCAATGCGAATAACGCATTCTCGTGACAAATCGACTACGAATTATAAACTAGGTACGGCCTTAAAAGATGTCAAGAGCTTTAAAGATCTTGGAATTATTATATCAAAAGATCTTACTTGGAGTGAACATATTAGTACCATGGTGAATAAGGCGAACCAAGTCCTAGGGCTAATAAGACGGTCTGTTGGAACAGCTAATACAACAACTTTTTCATTGCTTTACAAAACATTGGTCAGACCACTTCTAGAGTATGCTGCTCCAGTCTGGAACCCATATCTTGTCAAAGATATTCATGCAATAGAGAGCGTGCAAAGACGCGCGTCAAGATTAGCTCTTAGGCAAAAAGAGGTGATATGTCTTATGAAGAGCGTTGTGACTCGTTACATTGGCCATCTTTGTCCAGTCGTAGGACATATTCCTCTCTTGTTGAATGTTATAAGATCGTGTTTGGCTTATCACACTTGGATTTTGAGGAATTCTTTCAATTCGCAAAAGTCAAATCCACTAGGGCAAATCACTCGTATAAGCTTTATTGTAAATTATCTAGAATCAACTGTTTTAAATATTCTTTTTTTAACAATGTAATTAGTTACTGGAACAATTTACCTAGTAATGTTGTTGAAGCCGGTTCCCTTGAACTTTTTAAATGTAAACTCAAATCCTTTTTAAAGTTGTAATTTTTATTGTTTGTTTGTTGTTTTTAGGAGAGTTTTATTCATAGGGTTAACCTCTAGACTCTCCCTTTCAAATTCATGTGGTTATTATGAGTTTGAATAAACATGTATGTATGTATGTACAAAGATTTTAATTTTACGGGTACAGTAAAAACCCGCATGTAAGAACCTACATTTTCTGGAGTTAGCCTAAACAGGTTCTTATTTAAATAGTAGTTAACACAATTTTAGGCTATTTAGGTTCTTAAATAGGTTCTTATTTCTGTAAAAAAAAAAAACAAGCTACAAAACAAGATGGTCATCTGCGTATTTTTCAACTTCAAAATGTGATACAACAATATTAACCTCTTGCACTTTATTTTTTTATTAAATCAATAAATTAGCTCTTTTATTTGCACAGCAATGCCAAGCTCCTAATTCTCCAAACAGGATTCTTACACAGCTTTGCAGCTGCATTTCACTAATATGACTTTCAAGAATAAGAACCTGTTTTCATTTTCTAGGCTAAACAGGTTCTTGTTTATAGGGGGTATAAATGGCAAATTTCAGGCTAACAGGTTCTTAATTTTCAGGTTCTTACTTGCGGGTTTTTACTGTATTCATTTGTTACAAGAAAAGATACCTCAAATTGAGTAGTATAAACAAAAGCCTTTTTACACGCCTTCTTCAAACCTGGGTATAGAATCAAAGCTAGTACTGCCAGTTGAATTAGACCGCCACTCGTTCTCATTTTCAAAGAATCCAAGTCAATTCGGTGTTAGCTACTAGAACTCGTCCTCTGATAGCTGAAATTGCGGGCTGAACAAATGTGACAGTGTTATACCCACCTGTAAATCTGCTGATCCTATCCATAACAAACCAGTGTCTGTAAACATTGCTAGGTATTCATAATTGTAAGATATGGCCATTTCTATGATGGAAGTGACCGGGGCCCCAGCGCTGAATGAAACAGTCTGAAAATTGAATAATATCAAAACTATTCAACAACAACTGTAGCCGGCGAGCATACTCACTTGTGTGAGTTCAGGGAAAAATTTGTCAACATTATAAACAATCGAGACTTCGCTATTTCATATTTAAAGTTGTGACACTGATAAAGCCGGAGATGTACAATATTCTCACTGCGACATCTCAACACACTTCTCTATTTTTTCCCCTCCGTTCCTTCCTTCTCCCCACACCCACTGCTTTGCTACGCCCTGTGGCTGATTCAGGATTGGTAAAAAGTAGCAACCTGTCATACACTTGGCACTCAGGAGGAAATTTACGATGTCGAGACAGCGACAGCAAAGAGAAAGTCAAAAAGTCAACAGGACGAATTTTCGACCGGCTGAAAATTCGAACGTTCACTCGAATTCGCGACCACGATTTTTCGCAAGCCGCAACACGGCGTTGCAACATTTTTGCGATATTGTTTCGAATGGTTGCGACGTTGTTTCAACATTGCAACGCTGTGTTGCGACGCATCGTCTCCTATAACATCACCTTAACCGTACGAAAATTCAGACGCACAGCCGTTCAAAGTTCCGTGTGAACAGCAAAAAATATTGAACGGTCGCGGGTGAACGATGTGTCCGGTCAAATTTTTTTAGCCGGTCGAAAATTCTTTAAACAATAACTCTGCACGTGCATCACGCTTCTGGCAAATTTTCTCAAGACGGGAAATTTCCTAATTCCACGTTTTATCGAAAAAGTGAACACGATAATCAATTTTTCTCTTTTTCGCTTAGGTGGGGGTAACCCTTCTGTCCATAATTATAATCTCTCACTTTAATTTGAACACGTTTACGTGATAGGCGGGGTGACCCACCGCATGTTACCTTACCAGGGCCTAAAAATTCAACTTCTAGACAAGTCCAGGACTCGCCTGCATTGACAAATTATGCGAGTTGGATTCATCGCCATGAAGTTTCAAACAACGCGAATTCTCTTTTTAAGAGACGTTTTCGCCACCGTTGCTGAGTTGCAATCAGTGTGCGAATATCTGCTAGATACACGTTTCTTCAAATCCTGAAACTGCCGACGAAAAGGCAGATGTTGTAAAAAGATGGGAACTTTACAAAAAAGCATTTCTCGAGCTTGGAGATATCTTGAAAGGACTAGATTATAAAAGGATGTATCACGATAGCAGTTCTACTGTATACTACAGCTCACCAGTCTATTACACTGTCCCTTTTCTGTAAGGTATAACAGATTATCAATTGCCACTAGCAACGATGAACCTCTGTCATGCGGCATAATGACCCAGCTGCTGGGTGGAGCATCCAAACCTGGTTAAAAAAATTATGGGTCGGTTATTTAAACGAAGTTTAATTTAAGCCGGGGTTTAACGAATCTTTGGACCTCCAGATCTCTTCCTTAGTGCGTTAAATGCTTTTCTAATCTACTCTAAATGCTTTCATAAAACACTTCACAATAAACGGTGTTTAGATAAAACCGTTAGGCAAATTGAAAAATGGCTCAGAACGCGGGTTTGTTAAACATTGGCTAAACTACGTTTAAATAACTGGCCCTATGTTTCTTAAGATTCATAATTGGTCATTTTTTGCCGTCCGGTTAGCTCAGCTGGATAAGCGCCGGTCTGCTGAGCGAGAGGTCGCTGGTTCAACACACCGGCCGGATCAACACTTAGGCAGGGGTCTTTTAATGCTAAGCAGAAAGTGCTGCCTTTCTAAAGACATCTGCAAACGATTTGACTTTCTAGTTTTCTCAGATAGGGACAGCCCGCAGGTAGTTAGGTGACAGAATTTTAACGAGTTGGGATCGAGAGCAGTTATTGTTTTCCTTGTGAAAAATGTGGCAAAATACACATTTAACTAAGACAGATCATTGTAAATATTTAAGAGAAGAAAGCCTGAAAAATATTCACGCCGCAAAAAAAAAGTTAGAATTCAAGCCCACTTGAAGTCAGTCAAATGCTACAAGGAATAATGCGTGACAAGATTTCTTTATTGCCTGTTGAACAACACTTTAACTCTCATCAAATTCAAAGTTATCACAAAAGGAAAGTGAGGCACAAGCAGATATTGAGTTCTACGGATCACAAAACCACGTGAGATGAACATGTAACTTCAAAATAAAACATTATTAATCTCTCTGAAACACTGAACTTTATGATTATTTTTTTTACCGGGTGGGTCATAATACCGTCGACTCCTGACCTCTTCCACGTTGTTTGCGACATAAAAGTGATAATTACTAGTCAGGATAGCTATGCCAGTCCTTCCAGCAAAATTATAGGTTTTGCAGTCAATAACTTTGGATTCCTTGGCATCCTACAAAATAATACAGATAAAAATTACGAGTTTCGTCTCCTGCACCCAACTTAAAAGCACCAGATCTGAAGTTGCTGTGTATTTGATAAGGCCACATGCAAAAACGACATAAATACAATGTCTATTATGGGTTAAAATCATATCCAGGTTGATTCTTGATTTCCTTTGTCTCATAGAGTTAATTCACGAATAAATTAGGACTAGGGGACAAAGGAGATAGAGAATCAACCAAGGCTAAAAGCTTTTAACCTGAATTGAAATTTTGACCTGAAACATACACGACATATGGGTAATATTATTTAATGGCTATGCCTTTGCTACAAAAAGTATATGTATGAGTATACTCTATTTTTGTACAACCCTTTTAATAAAGTAGCAAACAGTCTATGACTTATGTTTTTGATGATAATATATTATAAATTACATTCATTTTGCTCATAGTTATGGAAAAATTAATGATTATTTAATTTGTCAGAAAATTTATTTACTTGGGGTGGTTAAAGAATTTACTGACATAAGATATGGCATCAATGGGCTAAGATGAGCTTCAAGTTGACTAGAAGTTGTCAAGCTGTGGTGCTTTACAAACATACATGCATCATGTCTTCTTTTTCAGCCTTTTCATGACACAAAATGATTTAACACTTACCTGTCCCATTGACAAGGTTTTCTTGATTGCGCCATGAATGTCATACACCATCACGGTACCATCATCAGCCACGCAAAGTAGGTCCTCTGTGATGGACCATCCCATCTGAACTATGGGGCCTCCATCCCACTAAGAATAAAAAAGAACACTTGATCAATAGCCTACAGAAGCAGAACATTTTTGCTTTTGTTCTTGTTCCCATGCAGTGATGGACTAGTCTTCTTCAGTGCTGCTTTTAGCGTTGTCACGCAACGCTCCTCCCCACAAGGGAGGTGGGTAGGAACGTTGTGTGACAACACTAAAAACGGCTGTGAAGCAGACTAGTGATGGACTAAGGGACGGACCATTAGAAAAGTTATGGGGGGGGGAGGGGAATTTTTGAGCCGCAGGAATTTTTTTTCGTTATCAAATTCCTTGTATGAATTTTTTTTAGGCCGTAGCATGAATATTTTTTAGCGTTAATTGGCGTGCATGAATTTTTTTCATTTAATTTTGCCTTGCGCGAATATTTTTTTTGTACTTCGCCCGCCCCCCCCCCCCATAAGTTTTCTAATGGTCCGTCCCTAAGATAGATCCATTCTGCCTGCTTCAGTAACCAGTCAGAATATTACTTCATCTTTCCTGCTCACAGAACCAACCATATGATAATACAAGTTCCTGCCCTTTTCCAAAGCAATAACAAAAAAAGTTGACAGTTAGTCTTCTAGCTAAGAACAATATTCACAAAATTTGTCAATATTAAACAACAAGTAGCCTGCTCGGCCTGATCGACACTCCTCTTTGTCTGTGTTCCCAGGTTAAACAACAAGCAGCAGTAGACCTTAAAAAGAGACACATACCTTGACTGTGGCAAGTTCCCTTCCAGCAGAGGAAAAAATGTGAATGATGGGTTTATTAATAGCTGATCCTTGGACTCGAGCAAAATGCTTGTCATCTCTTATCAGAGCTGAAAATTTTAAATACAACAAATACAAACTATTCCTTCAAAAAGGAAATCTCAATGTGGGGGGCTGCAGGACATGTAAATATTTAGGTGTACCATCCTCACCCCCATGTACAGTTGTGTAGGAGCTGCTCGTAAGGTCTCTCCTAATTGGTCGCAGAAAACAATGACGTCATTCTTTCAATTGTTTCAGTATTGCTTGGGGTCAGGGTTAGGCACCATTGGTGACTTCTCTTCTGAGCAGCTGCTACATGACTCCCCATGTATGTAGAAGAGTACATGAGTTAGCAATGGTGTGCATTAGCGATTAAACCTACTTAAATCCCAATCATCCCAAAAATACACCACAAGGGCATTAGGCAATTTAGCATGGAGCCCTTCAATTATTTTTTTTAACTATTACTGACAGTTAAGCATCTACATACAACACAGCAGGACTGCAGTTTGAAAGTAATGAAATTTTTTATGCACTAGCTGTTCTAATATAAATAATAAGAAGCAGGATGTTCCTCAGAGTTGTTTTCTTCCTTTAAACTTTTTTCAGCCAAATCCCTTGACATGTACAGACAGTTGACTGAAACAAAATTCTGGTACAGTATAATGGACTCTTGCTGATATAGACATAAGATACAAATTAATGCCGGTATTTACAGTTCTGTTGAGAACATTTCTGTAGTTCTGGCTCTTAAACGTTTACCCTGGTGAGTCCTATTCACCCTCACATAATGCGGGGAAATGAAACCTGACCACCCTGTTGGTTAAACAACACTTAGAAGAAGTCTGATGTACTTACCTATTGGACCACCAAAAGGTGCTGCACTCACAATAAACCGGGATAGATCCATAGCATCTTGCCACTCCATACTGTACAGCTCTACTTTCCTGTTCAAGACAAACACATTTTGCGAAGAAAACTTTTGCTGTAATTCAATTATGGCTACAGTGTGTACATTTAAAATATTTCTCAATCCCTGACTGATTGGCTTAAATTCCATGGCTGCCCCGGTATTTCTTTCCTGAGCCTGCTGGCTATTTACCAAAATTGAAAGAAGTTTGCTTTGATTTAAAGGCTGATGTCAATAGTAAAGTCTCAGACTGGAAAAAGTAAAAAAAAAAAAAGATTAAAGGTGTGTGCAAGCCAAAGGCCCCAAAAGGCTGGAGCTTATCCCAGCTTCCTTAGCATGAAGCATGACTATAGGAGTCTTGCCATTCCCCCTTCCTCCCAAGATGGGATGCTAGTCCATCGCAGGGTCACCCCCTGGCAGTATTTCGTCGGTATCCATTTATACCCCTGGGTGAAGAGAGACAAAGTGGTGTAAAGTTCCTTGTCTAAGGAAACCATTTGAAACGCGAGGATTGAACCCTGGACCTCCAGATCCGGAGTTCAAAGTGCTAACCATTCTGTCAGACACACCTCCAAACTGGAAAAGGATGCACAGAAATCAAGCAAAGAAGCAGAGTGATGGTTTGGCTGTTTTGGTACTGAAGACCAAGAGTAAATGGTGGAAGATTTCACATGTTATGGGTAGATTAATGCCTGAGTCGCACATGGAGGTTGGGTGCCTAGGAACCTACGGGCTGGAGCCGCCAACCCCTAACCCAGGTAGCAAGAACACCCCAAAAGCCTGCCCTACCTGCAACCCAGCCACGAGCCCCGCCAGCAACACCAAGCCTCAGCCAAAGCACCCATCACACTGAACTGAGAGTTCAGTGGAGAAAAAAGGACCACAATAATACTAACAATAATAATAAGGGGTGAGGAGGAGGGAGGGGAAAAAACACTAACTGAGTAACACTGACCAAAACACCTGAACACTACGCACTTTCAAACTACGAGCATATCATTGCAAACAGAGACGCATAAATTGCAATGGAAAACCACTGACCTGGGGGGCACTGGAAATTATCCCATAACAGGCCTAGTACAGTAACATGAACCCCGGCAAAAACAAAAGAGCACAGGATAACTGCCAGCTCGCCAAAGCACACCAATAAAACCCTAACAAACGTCAACGCCATGCTACAGTACAGGCCACGGGCATTGCAGTATTACACGCGTGTTTCATGCGTGGAAATCCGCCATATTGCATGCAAATTCCACGAGAAAAACACGCATGAAACACTCATGTAAAAAAATACACGAGAAAATACATGCAAATTAGGAAAATTTACGTGTAAAACTTTACACGCAGGTTGTTATAATTTGCGTGTATTCGGTTTACTTGAGTTCTTACATCACTCGCTGAGTGAGTGCAGTTGTACTTGTGCAAAAAACTTTTGAGAAACATTCAAATGTTAGTATTTAATGTTATCTGGGCTAAAAGTGATCCAAGTTTTTCGACCGAATGAACATTGTTTTTAAATATTTACATGTTCTTCGCTTGAATGTTCATTTGTAGACTTCACAGAGATTATAAAAAGGTTTCAACTAAAATCAGTTTCAGTCATCAATTCGCGACTATTTTGATGGACCAACTATGTTTGGTGAAGGGTCGCTTCTACATCTATTTTGTTTACAGCATTTCATCTCCTACTTCTCTTTAGCTCGCTGCTTTGAGTTATTTTCTCGGGCAACAATTTCCTTTGTCCTCTGTCCTTGCTGCAAGGTAGGTCCGAAATAAGAAAGGCTTGTTATTTTGGCAAGAGTTTTTAAAGTTTCTTTTTGCTCGCAACACCGGCGTCACTCAGTCACGTCATCTGTCTATGTTTAATGGCGTTACTGCAAGAACTAATTTTAGTTCCCAGGTTTTAGTTTTACCTGCCGAGGAAAGGTTTTCTTTTAAGGTCTATGTTTTCAGCAAAGCGTGTTTAACCCTTGTCAAGGGCAAACAAAATAACATGCTGCATTTTTATCGTTTACACAAGCTTCTAATTCCAGAAAATGCATGGGATCAAATTACTTAAAATGTTGCGCGTCACAAATAACATGCAAATTCGGAGTGAAATTGTATCCAAGTTTAGTAACGCATGGAAATTTTTAAATAAGCAACAAGTAAGGACATTATTGTGAAGCTTGACGCTCATTCAATGTTAGAAAAAACGCAGACAGGAAAAAAAAAAACAGTGTACTGAAGTCCGGGTGCCTGCTACGCAAGCTAAAACATTGAACTTATTGCAAAACAACAGTCGTGGCAAGTAACATTGATCCAAGTTTACATGTAAAATAGCGCTTCAGCCAACATCCAAGGAAATCGTTCATTACAAAACATGAGGTTCGCGATTGTAGCATGATCGTAGTAAGAAAAAGTGTATAGCAAGTTGTTTTCTCTTTCACCGCGAAAAGATGTTTTTCCACAATGTCGGTTTCTAATTTTACATCAGCCACATTGTCTGTTGTAAAAGAAATACGTGTACACAACTTGTGTGTATTTTTGTAAGCAAAATCAGTCACCGTAAAAGTACACTCAAATTTGCGTGTAAAAAGCCTGCATGTAAAAGCTCATGTTTAAATTTACACGCGAGTTTTTTGCGTGGATTTTTCGTGGAAATCCGCCATATTGCACGCACTTTACGCGCGTGTAAGTGCTGCAATGCCTGTGGCCTGTACTGTAATACCAAGCTAACTACTGAGCAGCTACTGGAATTTTCATCGTTAGCTAAGTTAAGTAACTATATTTAACCTCATAAAATTTCCTGAACTTCACCCTCAAAAACTTTGAAATAACACACAAAGACACTGAAAACTACCATTTGAAGAATATCAGCAAGAATATTATATCCCGTCATAATCTGGAACTGGCAAAAAACAGGCAGATGTTTGACTACTGGAATTTTACATAGAGGTAAGGATGTCTTCAGCTTGGAGGAAATATTTTGAATGAATAATAAAACAATAATAGGTAGCATTTTATAATTATTAGCCTGCGTAGCTGGTGGTATAATTTGTGTAGTAGTCGAGTGAGATTTGGCGGCTGAGCCGTTGTAACATAGTCGAGTGAGATTTGACGGTGGAGCCGTCACGAGCAGCAAAACCACGAGAAATACCGCCTGCCAGAGAACCATGATTTTTTGAATGCCGCCCACTTTTGTCATCTTAGGTGATCCCAACTGAATCAGCCAATCAAAGAAAAACCTGCAATTTGAAACTTCCAATTATTTTTGCGCGAGACAGTTCAGAAATAAGCATTGACAGGCTAAACACGACTCCTAAGCTCGTGATAATGTGAAACGTGACCTTGTGAGTTTGCTTGAAAAGAAGTTTTTTTATTTTCTCGGCTCTCGCATGAAGGTTACTAGCACTACACAGTACAAGTATCATTCTAAACTTTGACTGAGTAAATCTTTTTTTGCCACACTAAGCTTAACATTAAAAGGTCATGAAGCTGGTTTGTTACATGCATACTGAGTAACCATTTCCTATGGTTTATTTAATTCTTCTGTAGGTGTTCCTGATAGGATTTGATCTCAGATGTAGTTGTAAAGTGTTTTAATTTCCTTTGACCTTTGTTTCTTACGGCTAAATAAGGACGATTCCAGCGCTGTGAAGTTTAAAGAGGGTCGTACAGGGGGGGTCTCTCGCACGGTTCACGAACAGAAAAAACAGCGAATCACGGATCACGGCTATCAAAATTTCATTTTCCCGAATCACGAAAATAAACAAGTAGTAAGGTACTCGTTTTAATAACCTTCTCTTACGGTAGAAAGAGTGTTTGAAGAAAGCAAAATCGTTAAAGGCTAAGTAAAGGCTGCTTATCGGAAATCACATACCTAAATCACTCTCGATGGACGACTCTGACCATTCGTCCACTTCGCTTTGTAACTGCCCGAAGAAACAACAAATCGTCTAAAGAATCTACCTCGTAATTGTCAGCAATAGGATATTCAGCGTCTGAGTCAGTGTCATACTCTTCCTCCTCTTCTTCCTCGGCTTCCTCCTCTACTACTTGAACATCTTCAATGGCCTCGTGCGATGTAGCCTGTTCCAGGCTCCGAGAAGGTGGTGGAAAGTCGTTCAGTAATAAGAAAAGCAAAAAACGCGCGGAGGCTGGGGAGAGACAGGGCGGCGGAGCCTGTGCGCATTTTTCTCCCATTTTTCCCGCCGCCACCGCCCCCTTTCCCAAGTCGTGCGCGTCTTATTTTCACTTTGTTCATTTTAATACGTTCCCACTATACTATCTGAGAGCCTGGCACAGGCTACGTGCGATGTAGAAGGCGTAACAGTCGTAACGGTTGTAGCAGAAGTAACAGTCTCCTCTTTGACAGTGTTAGGGCTGAATGAGACTTTATCTTGAGGATAGTCTGATGTTCTGTTCCTTTCCAAGAAAATTAAGCGAGTCGACAGACTTTGGGTCAACGTAAAATACAATACATTCGACCCTCATCGTACTATACGTGACTCGTCCCCTCCATGTCTCGGATGTTTCGATGTTTTGGATCACTGTCCTTTGACCTCCAGTGACATAGGAGACCATAGGCATAGGAATAGACATCTGATCCATGATAGGCATGTAAAGCACGTGAATTTGCACAATGGATTACTTTAATTAAAGCGAAGTCTGTTACTTGTCACATTTGATGTTTTCAGTCTTAAAATAAGTCTTCCGGAGCACTCGCATCTCAAAATCACGCCAAATAGAGTGGTGAAATCACGAATATCGGTTAATAATTCAAGTTCTTCACGGGTCACGCAAAACCTTCAGATCCCGGATCACGAAGAATAATTTATTAAATTCACGTTTCACGGAAAATAAAATCAGCCAATCCCGCATCACGGGAATACCCCTGTACGACCCTCTTTAAAGATGCCATTTCGGCAATTTGGTCATCAATTATGCTCTTTTTAAAGGAGAAACCACGATCACTTACGTCTTTTCCAGTTTGCAATCTGCTCCCTTAATTGGAAAATACATGCGAAGGATCATCTAAAATGATTGACATATGTATGGCCCTCGACCAATCCGTTTCTCCGCACACTGGTGTGCGGACTATTCAAAATACCGGGGTTTTCTGGCAGGCGGTATTTCAACCGCCTCGTCCCTGCTCCCTTTTTTTGGAACACAGCTCCGCCGCCAAAACTTCAATCTCGTACCCACACAATACCGCCAGCTACGCAGGCTATATAATTATGGGCCGAGCCACAACTTGCATGGAGACAGTCTGAACTGAAAAGAACCACTTACCTATAAAATACCTTACCAAGTGGATTCCAATCAACTGTAACGTGAGCCATGTTATTCTCTAAGAGTGAATGAAACGAGTAGCAAGTGCAATCGGTGTAGTTTAACCAGGATCTAATAAGTGCAACATTTGTAACCTTCTCGTGACCGCAGATCCACCATTTTGTTTTTGCATCTGCACATCAACTGGTCAGCAGACTCTGTAGCAAGTAGAAAATCCCATGTTTCCTCTCGAGTAATAATTTTCTTCGTGTAAGCGTATACGAAAAATTAATGCTGGAAGCGTTCAAGATGGCTGTCCCCAAAGCGAAGGGCTATCGGCCGAGATGCTTCTTTGATGTTCAAATAAATGGATCTCCAGGTAAGAAACGTTAAATTCCTCGGATTAAATGTTTGCATTGGCTGCTGTTTTTCAAAATTTAATTTATGGAGTCACTTGGGAAGAGAAGCGGCTGAAATTCAGGTTATAACTCTCAATGATATGGAAATACTTATAAGCTTAAGCTTATACTAAGCTTAATACAGCAGAAGTTTGTTTCTTTGATTTTAATCAATTTTTATAATTTTAAACTTAAATCAATATGGCTGTGCAGTATTGGTTATGAATGCTTCCTTCTCTTGATTAATGATTTGAGCCTGTGTGTTAACACTGGGATAATCTAATCTTTTTTATGGATTATTTTGCCCAATTGATTGAAATCAATAAGGTTTCCAATGAGCAACCTCAGTCTGCTTGTAACATAGAAAGAGAAGTAGGTGGGTACAAAAGAAGGCAGGTTTGAAAGAACCTCAAATCTAAAACTCTTAAATCTCGCTTGATTTAAGAATTAACTTTGCATTCTTTGTAGCTGGCAGGATTATTTTTGAACTGTTTGCTGACATCTGTCCTAAGACATCTGACAACTTTAGAGCATTGTGCACAGGTGGGGAAGTACGTATTAATGTAGATACATGTACTACTACTACCACTACCAACTATTATATTAATATTAATATTAATAGTAAAAATGATAATGATAATAATAATAATGTCATTTTTCATATTACATGTAAACGTTAGTGTTTTAGAGTTGAGATTAGTTGATGCGTGGTTGGCCATATACTCACTTGTAAGTGGGATGGAGTCATAATATTAAATTCATGGTCACTTCCTTTTTGTCTATTTTACTAGTGCATACATACATACACACATACACACATTTTATTTGTTACACATGTATATACAGTTTATTTGTATTTTAAGATTGAAGCACTATTGTAACATACCCGGCCTTGGGTAGCTATGCTAATCTAGTGGGGTCCTGTTTTCAGGAAACAAATACAACTAAAAGTAATAATAGTGTTCCAGATAAGAGAGGGGTCTTGGGTCAATGACCCAACAAATAAGGCTTCCTGACCTGACAGATGACATACAAGTATTAAGTTAAATAACGAAAAAAATAAGCAGGTGGTCTTGGTGACCCCTCAGATTGTCTACATGACCCCCCTGTTGAAATAATTAACTGGAACACTGAATAAGAGGCCTAAAAAAATGCCAGAATTGACATAATGATGAGAGACTCCTGATAAACTTATGCAATAGTGCATAGTGTTATGAAATTGCTGAACTCTTAAGGAAATTAATGGCTATTTTTTAAGTGATCAACGTGACATTTCATGGAAACTTTAGACAAGATTTTTTGGATTAACTTTGAACCTGTTTTTTAGGAGAAAAAGGTTTAAGCAGGACTTCTGGGAAGCCTCTTCACTATAAAGGATCAGGGTTCCATCGAGTTATCAAGGATTTTATGATTCAAGGAGGAGACTTTACTAAAGGTATTTTTATTTTTATATCAAGATGGTAAAAGAAAAGGCACACTTAAGCTAAAGGCTCAAATGGCAGGAGCAGCGCCGGACAGAATGCTAGTCCAATGCAGGGTTACCCTCCAGCAGTATGTCGCCAGTGCCCATTTATACACCTGGGTGAAGAGAGGCCAAGTGGAGTAAAGTTCCTTGTCTAAGAAAACAATGCAATGGGTGACTTTGAACCACAGACCTCCAGATCCAGAGTTTGAGGTGTTAACTGCTCAACCACACATATCAAGATGGCTCAAATGGACTTTTCAGAGTTAGAGCCTTAACTATTGTCATTAGCAAAGATACTGGAAAACAATCTCCTTTAATAGCTGTATTGTTACCTAGGAATTTGTTATGACTGATGTTATTTTGACACAAGAGTTTTCATCACAATGTGTAAGTGGCTTGTAAGTGTGCCTAAGTGTAGTTTTTGCAAAAGAAGTTGCGGATTGTTGCAATGAAACCTTTTTTGATGTATAAACGGTAGGTTCTATATCTTTACTTACATTGATAAGATCTTTTTGTGAGAGTTGCGAGGAAGAGGTTTTGTAACAAGAACAGCAGTTTTTCACAGAGTTTTTAAAAGCTTCTGACTATTAACACCTGATGCAAGGTGCTTGTTACTTTTCATGTGCGTATCAGATATTTTTTTGATCTGTAAAACATGTACTACATCAGTCTTCTAGGTAACACTAAGCAAACTTTTCCCTTGGTTTCTCACTGGACGTGTGTCAATAATGTTTTGCCAAAAATTGCCGCTTCAATGATTCTGGCACTACGCGATTCTAGTAGCGTGATGATAATCACGTAGTGTGCAACAAGATTCTCATTGTGTAGGAAATGAGACATGACTGGTAACTTACTTTTGAGTGGCACTGTATGTCATGTGCTGTACAAATCATTCTTTGCAAACCTTTGATCAATTAGAGCATGCATTTAAAATTTGTTACGTGAGGAAATAAATGATATTTTTCTATTAATTTGTCTATCACAGGAAATGGTACTGGAGGAGAGTCCATTTATGGTGGCACGTTTAATGGTATGTAGCTTCACAGTATTAATCTCAATAACACGACGTGCACTTAGAGTCATATTTAGTTGCAAAAATTGCTGAGGATTGAGTATAGTAAACCTCTAATATCTGAATTGACTTTGTGTTATAGTCAAACAGGAATTTTATCAGTAGTTTGTCAGGCCTCGTTGTAAACATAAAATTGAGTTGACTACAGTGAAACCCTGATATAACAAAGAGCCAAGGGACTGGTGAAATATGTTAATGTCTCTGCTCCTTTATGATGCATGTTAAATGCAAAGTAATTTAATTATAAAACAAATAATGACAAGTTGGGATTAAATAGGGGAGCACTGCCTTGCGCTAGGTTAGCCTGTGCGACTTCCGCAATGGCGTGACCAAAAAACCTCACGTATCTCCTCAGCACTACGAACTGAATGCAATACAGCACGTGCTGGATCGAACAAGAGTATCTTTTGCAGGACATATTAAATGGCAATGCAGCCAACAAGCTTGGGGGAGTGGCTGTGCAGACTTAACCGTACCTCTCAGGAGTGTCCCTAGTTTATTGATCGCATAGCACAAAACAAAGCCCAAACCTCGATTGTCTCCAAAGGGAAGGAGGGAGGGAAAAATTTTACAAGAATAGTATACTGAGCACTTAAACCTTGCTGAACAATAGAACCCAAGTGAACTCTGAACAGTTGTTCTTGGCTTTTATAACAAGACGAACATCTGCTGGCATAGCCAGTGGAAAAGGCTGTGCTACAAGACAGCTCAGCATTGCATGTGCAAATTCTTAGCCATAAATAGTGCTTTGAAAATACTGGCCAATACTGTGGCTCGTAGTAGCCTACTTAAGACAACAAGGCTGTAAAATTCTACGCTAGAATACAATGCATCTTAGAGCTTGCTGAACTTGACAACTTGACTACACAACTGCTTTATTGAAAAAGAACCGCAATGAAAGGGTTGCTGACAACTAGCATCACGTTCCATCAACTACATTTTACTGGTGTGACAGTGAAATATTTTTTGTTATAACAAGGTTTCGTTGTATCGAGGTTATTTTCCATATATTTTATTATTACTATACTGGGGTTAAAAGAAAATCGTTCATTATATTGAGGACTTTGTTATATCAAGGTTCTACTGTTCTGCAATGACTCTTATCTCAGGGCTGTCGCTAAAATTTCAAGTTGCTGGGTAAATGCAGTTAGTAGGAGGGGAATTGTACTGAGCTAGGAATTAGTTCTTTTGGTTCTGTTTTCTTTTTGTTTCCTATAAGAGAAGCCAGGGCTCACGCTCGTAGTACCCAGGTAAAATCCCGACCACTGGTTCGTAGTGACAGCCCTGTATCTTCCAGTGAACTTACACCTTATGCAAATCTGTGTCTCACAATTATTATCTTTTACACAAGATGTTCTCAGGTTTTGATTGGTTTATATTAATCTGTCAGCCAATAATTCAGCTTGCTTATGATGTGGAGAATGAAACAATGTTATGCAATATTGGATTATGTATTAACATTACAGATCTCAGCATTATGACACTCTCATTGATCTTCATTTTACTATAATAGTAAAAGGGCTTAATTTGCTTATCAATAATAAGCAAATTACACCCTTTTTCAGGAAACCCTTATTTTATTATTAATATTATAAAGCTGATCTAATGGGATGTATATTTTTAACTGCTTATCTAAATAATATATGAAAATAATTATTTTTTTTTGTTAACTGGGGTTGAAACTTATGAGAAATACAAGCATGTAATTGTGATAACTGCAGTGATTTACTTGTCATATTAAGTTTTTCATTTTTTTTGTTTTGCATATAACAGATGAAGGATTCCATCTTAAGCATGAGACAGCAATGTTGTTGTCCATGGCTAACAGAGGTCCAAACACTAATGGTTCTCAGTTTTTTATGTAAGTATTTGATCTTTTAAGAGATGGAAACCACCCTATAATTTGAAACCAAGTATAAAATTCAACTGCTCCTGATCACTCAAAGATTGGATAAATGTAGTGCTATCCAATGTATAAATTAATAATCGCTATGGAGTGGTTAGCGTGTCATGAAATCCAATTGCCTTGCCCTCTGGATAGTAATTTACCTGATGAATAGCATATACCCACCTTCTGAGCAACTGGGCACTGTTAACTTAATTACACTGGCAAAAATGGTTCAGTTCTTTTTTAATTTCCTGCTGTTGTCTAATTTTCCCCTCCTTTAATTCTCAATTCCTTGCTTTTCTCAAGGCCCCAGGTTCAAGTGTAAAAGAGGGTTTATGTACTTCAATGTATCAACTTGATAATATTAATCTCTATCCAGTCGTTGATCCAGTTGTTTTCCCTAATATTAATACTTATCCACTGGATATTAATTTATCTGCTAAATAGCAACCTGATCCAAGGAGTGAACAACTTGGGCCAGATTTCAGGTCTTCCAAGGTAAAATGGCATCTCTGTGATACGTTAAACAATATTGTAGTGTGAATAAAGACAAAGTTTTAATGTTTTAAGTTTTTATAGTGTGTTTATTTTGCTTTTCACAGAACAACTCAGCCTGCCCCACATCTTGATGGGTAAGTTTTCTTTTAACTTGATTCAGCTGTTCTTACTGACAGAAAGGAAATTTCTGTTAGCATTATGATGTTATTGCTACAGACAAGGCAGTGTTTCACATGGTTTCATTTTTTCAATTTCAATACACAAATATAAAAAAAGGGCATCAAATTTTTATTCCTCAAACATCTGAATTTTTAAAAGATCTCAAGATAAATGTAACAAACAAAATGCATATTAACATTATTCCACAACAGAATAAAAATTACCAGTAAAACCAGTTAATAATTAAATTTTGTTGTCAATAAACCTAGGCTCTACAGTAGAAACAGTTGTTGTTATTAAATCTTAATCGTTTTTATATGATTTGAATTTTCTATGGGTATTAAATTAAAATTTTTTGCGTGTTTTTGTTTTGTGAGGATATTAATTCCCAAAACAAATTTCGTGAAATAAAAAAAAAATGTGAAATTAGGTAATGGCGTTGTACATGACTTGTACACATAATGCATTTTTGTTTGTTACCACTCAAAAGCAAGTCACAGATCAATGATTACCCACACTTCAACAATGTTGCTCTTGCTTATATTGTGGTATATTTATTTTATTTGTAGGATTCATGTGATATTTGGCCAAGTATTGCAAGGTCAGGAAATAGTATCAGAGATAGAGATTCAAAGAGTTGATGACAAGAGTAGGCCCCTAGTGGATGTAAAGATTATCAACTGTGGTGAACTTATTCCAAAAGCAAAGGCTAAAGGTACACGATATGTTTCCATTGACTAAATTTATGTACAGAACTGTGCTCTAGCAGCAGTGTTGCCCGCTGACCCCTGGCATCATACTTTTGCTCTTGGGTGATGTCTTACTGTTATTTGTTAACTTTCAACTGCAGAGAAGAAAGCTGAAAAGAAAAGAAGGAAATCTAAGCGACATTCTGACAGCAGCTCCTCAGATACTGACTCTTCATCCAGTTCTGGATCAGAATCAGACAGTGATCAGTCATCAACTGATGAGCGGGAGAAAAAGAAACGCATAAAAAAGAAAAGGAGAAAAAAGATGAGTGAATCTGTAAAACGCAAGGACAAGAAGAAAGCAAAGAAGAAAAAGAAAGAGATAAAAGACAGGTAAGTGGCTGTAACTACACCACAAATACATCAATACACAAACATTTAACAAATACATACAAAAAATGCAAATCTGGTAAAAATGAATACTGTGAATAAAATAATTAATGACTTAATAAAAAACTGCATAGACATATAATTTCAAAAATTAACATTGTTCGCAAAAAGTACAGCATTCAATAATTCATTCATTACACTCAAATGACAACATGTACTTGTAGATAGATTTGGTTGAGTAGCAAAAAGGACTGATAAAGCCATTGTGCCGAGTGCAGAGCATAACCATGGCAATCAACATGTTGAATTCCAAACAAGTTGAGGAGTAAGGGCAAGTCAAAGAGGTTAGGGAGAAAGTAGCCTGTGTAGCAAGCGTTTTTGTGTGGTTTCAGAGCAAAGAAAGATGGAGGAATGACATGGAAAAGGATTTTTGGTTTTGGCCGCACCAAAAATAGAACAAGAGCAAACTCTTGCTACGCAGGCTAGGGAGAAAGAAGGGAAAACAATATATTATTTTTTCTCCCCTCCCCCTTCTTACAACCTTTTTTTACCCTATGACTAGTCCAAGAGTTGCTATTTCTATTCTCCCCTGTCTTTCTCAGTGGTCAAAGATGGAAGCCAGGGCAATGCAGACAAGCATTTTTTGCTCACCTTAAAAATTTGTCTGCATTGCTGGCTCCCCTGAGAGTATTTACACATACCTCGCACTAACCCAGGGTTATCTTAACCCAGCTTTGAACAAACCTGGCCAAGTAAGTGATAAGCAAAGGAATCTCTGGCTTCATTTGAGGTCCCATATTACATAATAATGTTGCTTTTACGCCCCCTTCCCTGTTAGTGAAATATTGACACTAATATCAGCAATTAATTTGAATTCCAGTCCAGGAGATGCTAAACCAAAGAGTCCTGAACCTTTTAGTTCAGTGGCTGTGGATGAGATCCCAGATGTTCCCAATAATTCTTTTCTATTGAGAAGAAGCCGCACCCCCTCCCCTGTCAGGGAAAAGAGGCTTCAGCAGGCAAAAAAAAAAATAGGTATGTTTCCTCTGAGGTACACCTGACCTTAATCATTTCTACGAGAGCTGGACTCATTCCCTTTTCGGTGCATAATTATCATGAATTAGGAATTTTTGAGCATGTAAGTCCGTACTAAATTTGCAATGATAAATTTTGCCCAAGGCAAAGCTGTTTCTTTGTTCAAAGCTGTGAGGCATATACTAATAAAATTAATTGTGACAGACAAAAGTACTTTGGAATGGCAAGACAACTAGATTTCATCCACGGACTCAAAACTAAGAACTGCATTTCATCCAACATGCCCGATTACACACTAAGGTAATGGTACCATGTGAAAGTACTACTGATGGAAGAGGTTTCATTTGAATGGTCACACCATAGGATTTCATCCACAGACTCAAAAATTAAACTACATAGTACCATGTGATAGTACTGCTGAATTGATTCTGATGGCAAATGGTTCAGAAAAAGTTGTTCAGATGTTGAGAGATAGATGGCAGTAGTATCTTCAAGTTGTTTATATTATTTTCTGTTTTGCATGACCACAGGAAAAGTAAGTCTCCTCCAGGGTATAAAGCTCTGCCTCAAAGTAATTCACAGGAAAGGACCAGGGTATGTACACCTGCTGAAATGATATTGTTTGGGAGATCAGTAGACCTTATTTCACTGTATCCACCATCTTTGCATGCACTTCAGGGCTGATTAATCACGTGACATTGCATTTATCCCATCAACCCTTGAACGCGTGCAAAGATGGTGGTTGTTGTGAATAAGGTCTATATCTTCAACAGAACATATCCACAATTATTAATAAAACAATTACATCCGAGTCTCTTGGTTCTTAAAATGAACCTCGGATTCTGTGGGTAACTATTTTTCCTTCTTTTAACACAGTTATAAAACTTTTTACCCTCTATCATCTATCTCTGTCTGTTTTTCTTATCGGCAGGTTTCCAGGTCGGGAAGGATTCTACGAGGACGAGGAAATATGGTGAGGAAATTCCCAGGGTATTAGTTTAAACTTTCTCGCGAGAAAAACAATACACCAGGAGAAAAGGAAATATCACAAAGTAATGAATCATTTAGAAGCGGTCAGGAGACAAAACAAGGCAAAACACATCTCTGAAAACCCACTACAGTGTACCCCCCTTCTTCCCTTCCTGGCCCCCCTAAGCAAAGAGCCTGGCCCGAGGCTACTCCATCGGTTTGAAACAGAACTTAATCACATGATTTTTATTTTTCAGCGTTATCGCACACCCCCGCCTTCTTCTTCGGATGAAACGCGGAACATTTCGCGCCGTTTTTCTCCACCTTCGGTGGCTCGGTCAAGGTCTCCACGCAGGCGTACAAGGTCTCGTGTGCGTCGTGCACGATCACCATTTAGACAGTCGAGGTCTTCTCGAAAACGCTCTAGATCTCCCCGTTGACGCTCGAATTCTCCTCGAAGACGCCCGATGTCTTCTCGACGACGCTCGAAGTTTCCACAAAAACAATCAAATTCCTCTCAGAGACGCTCACTGTCACCTCAAAGACCCCCGGTGTCTTCTCGACGACGGTCGAAGTCCCCACGAAAACACTCAATTTCTCCACAGAGATGCTCGCCGTCTCCACGGAGACACTCGGGGTCTCCGCGACAACGCTCGAGGTCTCCTCGAAGACATTCGAAGTCCCCACGATCACAGTTACTTCAGAGAACAGATAGCAAACAGCATATGAAAGACCGTGAATCAGCGGAAAGAATAATGAAACAGAGCTACTCAGTAAGAGATGGTAAAAGCAGTGATAAATTTGGAACAGTTAAAACACGAGGTGAAAGGAACTCAAATGATGAAAAAACTAACAAATGTTCACCTACAACTGAAGAGCGCTTTCCAGAAAGGCGACGGGAAGAAGAGGGAAAGACCTTTTCTAATGAAGGCTATGCAAGGTCAAAGTTTGCTTCAATCAATAAAACTGGCAGACACAGGAGAGGAGAAAAAACTAGCAGTAACAGCGACAGTGAGGAATTTGAACTAGAAAGTCGAGACATTTTGTACAGATTGGAAAAACAGAGCCATGTTGCGCGTAAAGAAGACACCAGGGACATACGGAAACCAAGTTCATACTCGAACGGTGACGAGCAGACATGGAGAAGCTTAGCTCGTGATTATGAGTTTGAAGAAGGTCATGGAACTTTGGAGGCACAAAGTTATGCACCCATTCCATTAAGCAAAGAACGTGAAAATAACCGAGAACGTCTACAATCTCGCGGTAAAAATAACGATGAACAGATTTCTCCAAACGAGGAAAGCGCAGGCAGTGAACAAGAGGACAAACGAGCTTTCCTTCAGGGTGAAGGAAGGTTTAAACATCAGGGTATCTCAGAACGTAAAACTGGTCGTCTACAGCGCAGTAGGAGTTTTGATAGACGCAGAAGCAGCTCTCAGGAGAGTGACCGGAACCGGAAGTCACGTCATCACCATCATCGTCATCATCATCATCGACACCATCATAGAAGAGACGCGAGGCAATCGGAAAGAAACATTGTCGCGACCGAGAAAGATCAGGACAGTTCAAGTGACTGACTTAATTGCGTGTAAACTTCTCAAAGATCGGTGAGATCGTGAACGTAAACAGCGCTTCAATTTTCAATGTACAATATTGTGTACGTTTCTCTGTAGAAACAGTCGAAAACGACACTAAAACGTGAAAAAGGAAGTTATGTCTTGAGACAAATAAGAAACGAACTTACATCCGTTCAAAGTTTTTCCAACTTTTCTGAAACTTTAATTCAAACTCCTGTCTAAAGAGAGAAGAACAGGCATTTATTCATGACTTATCCTTTAACGACATATTTATTGTCTTTCATACTTGCATCAATTTTCCCTTTTGGTGTCTACTTATCGTAAACTGCCGCTTCTACATCTTGGTAAGGGGTTTTAGGAGGGTTTATAAACGGAGGGGCTTACATCCGAGGGAGCTTATCACAGGAATAGAAAACGCTTCGAAGCAATCTACAGAAGTGCTAGTCAAAATAATTTTGCATTTACTGGTTTTAACTAAGCGTCAAAAGGTCATAATAAATCGAATTCATTTCAATACATTTTGGGGGGTGGGGATTATAATCGGATGTATTTTTTTGTTGACGGGTTGATGGGTCTATAGTTGGTGGGGGGCTTTATAAGCGGCTTGTTGCAGTATATCCTGGATCGAACCCCAATGTGATGCACTATCCTTATGACAGCCATCACAAAGTGTCCTAACGAACAGAACATCATCAAAATACATGTAATTCGATCAAATATGAAGTAGTGTAAAAATGAAAAAGAACCCAGTCAAATATCAAGTATTTTAATACAATGTGCGTTTAATCTTGGATATATTAACTAACTCTTAGAGCTGGTTTTGTGTTGTTACGCCGCAGGGAGCTTGGGCTTCTTTGAAGTCCTTTAATACACATGTACAGGCTCTTGATATGTGTTACTGACCAAGCGTGAGATCAAGAAGGCTGGATATTGATCAAGTTCTTGTTTGCACATTCACGGATCAAAAAAGACGATAATAACAACGCAAAAAAGAACGAGGAGGCCAATATCCAGCCATCTTGACCGAACAAGCTGGGACAATAAAGGATTTATTTCATGGCCAAAAAGATATCTTTTTCTTGCTGAACCAAGGCGGAAAATGTCGAAAGGCAAGATGGGCACATCTTTCAGGCCCAGTCGAAGAGGCAATTAGTACACAGGTTTCGCGTCATATTACCGGCTCGCGGATTCAGCCATGCTAATAATCCTTAAAATAGCCTGGGTACCCTGTTGCTGGGGTGCATCGTTTGCCTGTTTCTGTTAAAGCAATCCAGATTTTTATTTGCGTGATCAACGTTTCAACACGCAGTATAAAACGCTGTCGGAAAGCATCAAAAGTCTTTCATGTTTTAATGCCTCCGGCGAATTTTATGAACCTGTGGTTAACTGTCCCAAAATCTTTAAGGAATGGTAAGCAAGCAATATTCCGAAACCGCGTTATTTTAATTGTGACCTAAATCATAGAAATCTTTTGACCCATAAAAGGGTGTCGTCCGTGTCTGTTTATATCAACATGCTATAAAGTCAGAAAATATAACATCATTGTTTTCTCTCTTCACGGCTAATATTTCGTAACTGCGCTAGCCCGCAAAATTCCTGCGCTTTCTGGTGAAAAAAAAAACAACGCGGTTTAACTCTGGGAAACTGGCTCCAGTTGTTTATCCACCGGAGAAATCGTTATCCAAAGGACATAAAGTATTAGGGACACCAACTGCACTATCCGTTTGATACTGAGATTTATTCAGTGCATAGCGTTAGACACCTTTTGAACGACTGGGGCCTGGAGTTTAAACACAAAGGCGGCAAATTTGTGTTCCAGGAAAATATACAACAGTCTTTGTTGCAAAAATGCTAAAAGGAAGAAGCCAAGAAAAAGGGACCGAAGAGAGGAATGTAAGATGGAGGAGGAGGGAGCGGTCTGGACCCCTTGTTTCATCCAAAAATAGAGTGTAATTAAATATGCAGGAAAATTAAGTTTAAGGACACACGTCAAATGTCAACAGTATGTTTGATGGTGTAAATGCAGGGAGAAGGGGTTACTCACGATAAGATTTACATACTTTTATATACCATTTTCACTGAAAAGGTACCTCTTTCGTATACAGTTCCATTGAACATACTACCCGGCCTTTAAATGTCTACCTGATAAGAATGAATCGCTATAACGTTAATTTAATAAATGAAAATGTTTGTACCCTTTTAGGCCTTTTATTTACCTCAACAGTGATTTCCCTGTCTTTGATAAACCTTAATCAAAGCCTCAAAAATCCGGGTTCCCCTTTTCAGGCAGAACCTCCGGGTATAAGCTATTGTAGGAAGCCCCTAATCCCCCCTCCCCGGGTGTAAAGCGTCGTTGAAAGCCGGCGGTTCTCCTAAATTAAATTTGACTTCATAAACTACTCTCACGCTTGCTACTAATTCTAAAGCTAAATGTGGGACAATTTTCTTGCTTTGCTTGATAAAGACCTGAATGAAGAAGAAAACAGTACTGCACAAGTTTAAATTTGATTTCAAGTTGATTGTCTACTGTGAAGTGACTGTACGTTGTTCTGCACGGGTGGTCGTCCTAATGCTCGTATATTTTAGGAACGTTTTGTTGCAATACAATAAAAACCCGCAACTAAGAACCTGCATTTTTCCAAGTTAGCCTAAACAAAGTTCTTACAGAAATGGTAATTAGCACAAATTTAGGCTACGGTTCTTATCTTCTAAAGAGAAAATAGATTACAGCTAAGAGTATTTAGTGGTATTCAGCTTATTCTCTAATAAAATCTGCTTAGGTATTCAGCTCGGATTCCCTAATAAAATCTGCATACATTATATTCAGCTGTACATTGCAGTTGGACGGATAATTCTTCAAAGAGGATCTTGATTGCTGGCTTATCTCATTTGCTCAATAATCTTACTGCATTTCTTCTTATACATTTTAGAAAATAAGAACCTGTTTCAAATTTTAGGTATAACAGGTTCTTGTATAGAAGGGGCCTAACTGGTAAATTTTAGCCTTAACTTAAAAGGTTCTTAAAAACAAGGTTCTTAAGCCGCAAATTTCTACTGTATCTCACTACCCTTTCTGTGAAATTTTCACATCATAAAACTAAATTCCTAGCAGCATTTTTTACCACTACGATGGAGACCGAAACAGGAACAGCTGAAAACTAATAAATGGGTTTGTTTTAGGAGCGGATATTATTTCCACGGTTGGTCGATAATTTTTTAGTAATTTTAAGACTAAATAATGACTTGATTGATCGAGGTCAGTGACTATACAATTCCTTTGCAATGATTTAATCACGTCCCCGTCGATATGATCAAGTTTTTATTTTTCGTACATTTATATCAAGTTTTTTTTTTACCCAAAACAAGCAAACAAGTGTTTCACTGTAGGACACACGAACGCAGAATTCACTGGAAACTCAAAAGTTGTCGACCGAGAAATTATTCAAATTATGATTACATTAGTAATTCACTTGAGGTACAATCATTAAAGTGTAGCGAGGATCATTAACTGCTGTCTCACTTGGGGATTGAAATCAACATTCATTAATATAACTGGCGCCAGATATCGAAGAAACCATCAAGGAGAATGAAAATTAAGGATATGATGATCTGTGCCTGTTAAGTCTTCCGCTTTTTTTCGACTCAGTGTGCTTACATGTTAAGAGTCTCTTAAATTAATTGTTTGTTTCTTCCATTCTGAATAAATGTTATCTTTGTCATTAGTGAGTCAGCGAAAACACAATGGCCAACGCGGGATAAAAACAAAATTCCAAGAATATTTTTGTCTGGAAACTCCATAAAAGAAAAAAGTGGACAGCTAACAGTCAGTGAAGTTCAGCTTAGTTCTTCGTCACCATTTAAATGCTCAGTCTATTCGCTATTAGTCCGGCAGCCGGGTAAATCCTTCGATACAGAGCAGGTAAGGACGAAAACTCTATCTAAAAGCTTTTTTTATATATATAAACACGTATATCTCGTAGTTTATGATCTGACTCATCTTAGCAAACTTTAAAGAGTTACTACTGACAGAATTTATTCATATTGGATTGAAGTTTACTTTCCAACTTGAGTAATGGATAATGTTGGGGGAAGTTTTTAGCTTTATCATTAATAGTCTGATATCACTTAACTTGTGAAATAGATAGCAGACACTTTTTCACAGTAGTACACTCCAATTTCATCACTTTCTTTTGTTTAGTCGTAAACTATTGAGCACTAATTGTTACGAGTTAGTGCTCTACAGGTTACATAAAATGAAATGATCAAACTATCTCGATAACTATATATTAGCAACCACAAGTTTCTTTTTTCCGATTAATCTTCTCTTATGTGCCCGAAGTCGGATAACATTGATTTAACCCGGCTTTAAGCTGGGTCTTCAAGCCACCCTCCTTTTACTGAAGCACAAAGTTATGTCCAAGCAAAAGTAAAATTTATGCCTTTTGAGGGGAGCAGTTACACAGTAAATAGGGCCATGTATGAAGTCATAAGCTACGGCTGTGGATACACAGGAATTACGAACGATGAAGGCAGTTTTATTTTCGGTGGCCGTCAGCGGGCTTTTGTTGTGGCTCCTTTTACTCCGAGCAGAGGCGGACTTGTTTGTTGTTGTATATATACCGCCAAGAAACAAATGAGCAAAACGAACCGCTCGATGCCTGATGAAGTGTGCAAGTGGCCCTGCTTTCTATCAGTGAATTTAAGCCGAATTTCCAGTTCGCAAGCATAGATGTAAACGGCTAAGTAGGTTGCAGATTTTTCCTTGGAATAAAGCGTTTTACTGAACAGTAGTAGTTCTTTCAATTTTAACGCAAACAGTATCGAAACTCAGTTGAGAATCACTGTGGGCTCAAAATAACAGAAAAAAATATAGCTAATATTGCACAACTGGAAAGGTCTAAAGAGTTGCTGTGGTCTTAACGTGATGGTAGATATCGAAAAAATCCTCCTTTAGAAGGCAATGGAAATTTGTTCCTAACACTGCTCGCCTTTCAGTTTTGAGAAAGACTAAGTTTTTTTGAAACAGAATAATGTTGAGATGCTAAGACTGAAAACGACCATGATCCTGAAATAACGTGCTTCGCTCACGAGGAGCTGAAGGAGCAAAGGATGAGTACGAAAAGGATCTTCAGTATAATAGTTAGTTTTATACCAACTTATGCAATTTTAAACTCAGAAACCTCTGAGTATATACCCCAAACCTAACAGCAACGTAAAATCAGTGAGTAGCACATTACGATTCCCAAATCATCAGAACTCGGGGAAAAATATCTGAATTTTCTTTAACATTGTCCAGAAATAAACAACAAATAAGCGAGCAAACCCTGAAATATTAGTCAAGATATAAGTACAGTCGACTCCCGATAACTTGAACCTTCAAGGGAAATCGAAAAGTGTTCGGGAGCTCGAAGAAAATAGCAGGAAGTAAGGAAAAAAACAGTTTTTATTTCACTGTGAACATTTTAATCACATTTAATTGTATAAAGGTTAAGTGACAATTGAAAGATACTTCTTGATTAAATCAGAACATAACGTAACAAAACATTGCCTAAATAGAGCATGCAATTTACTGTTTTGAGAAGTAAAGCTGTTTCACTTCGGACGCCAGTACACTTATATAGAAATGATCAGGGAAACAAAAATTACTTCGAGTTAGCGGAAAGTTCGAGTTATCGAGGGTAAAATTACAGTAAATGTATGACGGAAATCCAGGGGAAATCAGTTTTGGTTCGAGTTAGCGCGAGGTTCGAATTTGCGCGTTCGAGTTATCGGGAGTCAAATGTATGAAGCGTTCATTGTTGTAGACTGAACCCGTACTTTTTTTCCAATTACAATATATTGATCTCACGCTTAAGTCTTTCTGAAACTGAACGTGGGACGAAACGTTTTTTCAGTAGCTTTGCTTATGAACATCTGAATGCAGAATAAGAAAGTGCTGCGCAAACTGAAATTTTATTCAACTCAAGTTTCAATTCAGTAAGAAAGTGTTGTTATGATTTCCACGATTGGTCGAATATTTGAAGGATGAGGCTTAAATAATTGAGCGTCTTGTCGCGATACCTCACTTCCCTTTCCATGGCATTATTTGTCTCAGACTGGTAAAACTAAAATCCTAACAGTTTCATTAATTTTTAACACTAATAATAAAGCGAATTCACCCGAAACACTAGGAAAAAAAACAGCTAAAAACTAATTAGTAGTATAGATTTGTTTTAGGAGCGGATCGATCTTATTTGGCCACGGTTGGTTGATAAGTTTTAGTAATTTTCAGAGGGGGGCGTAAGGGTTAGCGGTGATGCGGTGTTGCTCGATTTTTGGTGAGGTTTTGCGGGAAGTTTTATTTTTAAGATGCTGTAATGCGGTTAAAACCTAGCGGCTTGCGGTATTTAGACATTGCCAAATTTCAACGCGGTTTGCGGTTTTATTCTGTGCGGTGTTTATATACCGGTATTTCTGTGCGGTTTTGCGGTTTTGTTATGTCATTCTGTACGGTGTTTGGTGTTTATATACCGGTATTTCTGAGCGGTTTTGCGGTGTTCGTACCCTCCTTACCCCCCCCCCTCTTTTTAGACTTTTGTCTGATTTGAAATTCTATTACAAGCATGTAAAGGTATCGATACTGAAGCCGATCTTAGTGTTTTAATCTATGCCACCCTTATTTCAAGCACAAAATGTGACGTTAATGTTGAAACAAACAGGTCTCCGGAAGCTTTTCGAATTATGGTGAACAGCCGAGAGTGGTCTTGAAAGCAGTTGAAAGTGACGATAAATAAATTCACTAGAGAAGATCAACACAGGATTATGATTTAAATTGCTGTATAACGCAACTGAAATGGCAGAATACCATGCAAACCATTAATTCACTGAGTCAGTAGTACATCAGATATATCACTGGCAACATGAGATTGCTGCAAGAAGATAGCCCTCAAGTCTTTGGCACTAGGCAATCATTTTCTCCTCTTTTTTGTTTTTTACTAAATTTTTAGAATTTTTTTTTTTGCAATTTTTTCTGTTTAATTTATTACTGATAGCCTCGCGTGCATTTCTTTATCTACAGTAAGCAGTTGAACTGACGGTTGAGGAGATACAAAGACCGAGATCGATCTTCATTAACACGAGTGCTCAACATGTCTTCACTAATAACAGCTGTATTTAAAGCCACTATCGGCCTGTTGGTGAATAAAGGAAGAGATAAACTGGCAGAAAAATTGAATCAGGGTGATGTTACAGATCAGAAATTCCGTGGTCTGATCGTCCGTGAAATCGATGAAATAAAGTCGAAGTTGGATGGTTTAGCAAGAAAGGATTTGTTAGCAAGTATCAGCTTTTTTAAGGAAGGAATCGAGTTGTTGTATGACGTGTTTGAAAGTGCCAGACCCAGTAGGGAGCGTCGCCCGATAGCAGCAGCTGCAACAGCTTGTGTTGAGCAATTCGATATTGCTAAAGAAATGAGGAAATTGGACATTTCTGCCTTGGATGAGTCCGCCATGAGGAAGCTGGGCAGAGCGAAGAAGAGATTTGAAGAAGCTCGTCTTGAAGCAATAAAGGCTTTTAGTAATGAAGCTTTGGAGTTGCCTGATCGTCTGTTAGCTATGCAATATCGACTGATGGCGACAATACTGGAGACGGTTGACAATCCTACCGAAGCATTAGCGGCTTGTAGCGTCTGCCTTGACGAGTTACACCAAGTGCCAGCTGTTAAAGAATATTTCAAAGTTGAGTTGGAGGAAGGATTTTGAGGGCTCGCTTTAATAAAGAAAACGAAGAAAAATAATTTTTTCTGTCTGTCACTTTAATCGTGTGATCTACGATGTAATGAGGATGCTCGGGGTTTGTAAAAGGGTCATCGGACTTGGCCTGATGTTGAAACTGGGAAGAACCAGTCAATCCACTTCGAAATCAAACAGTTGCTGAAGTACTAAGTAAACAAGGTATGGCGCATTGCAGCTGCTTACCATGGTCATTTGGTCAGGAGGGTGAAGAGGAGCACAAACTGAAGGATCCGCATGCTATCGCTACAAACCATAGAGGACAATTCCTGATAGCAGACAATGGGGATAAAACCGTGAAGGTGTTTGATACCAACGGAAAGTTTAATTTTAGGTTTAATCCTCAAACTGTTGACGCCGATACAAAGTTAGCTATTTTGGATGTCGCCACTGCAGGCGAGGACGACAGGATTTATCTTCTGGTCAGACTGAAGAAGCCTGGGGCTAAGAAATGGGAATGGGAGAGGGAAGTGCAGGTTTTTAACAAGACTGGTGACCTACAGCACAAGTTTCCTGCGAGGAGATGGGGCTGGGACGACAAACTAACAGTGACCAGCGGCAAAAAACGCGGCCAAATTCTGCTGTTGACAGGTGGCTTTGTTGATGCTCATGAGCCGAGTGGTGAGTTCGTTTGTAGCTTTGGTGGAGGAGTGTTCAAGAGTGCAACAGATATCACTGCTACTTGTGATGGTCGCGTCATGATAGTGGACCGAGAAGATAACAGTTTGTACATATTTGATGTGGAGGGACACCAGCTTGGCAAATTTAATATCAAACATGAGAGAGATGTCTATTATTGCATTGCATGTCACCCGGCAAGAGACCATGTTGTCCTTGCTGGTGATGAACGAGTGACAGACCGCCTGACGCTGGCTATATACACTGTTAATGGCGAATTTGTTCGCAGAATTCAGCTGGATGAAAAAGTAGATTTTGTATATGGAATAACAGTGACCGTCGAGGGTCACATTGCTGTGGCTTTACAGGCTATTACAGACGAAGATACTCTCCAAGGAAAGGTAATTGTTGTTTAAAACTAAAAAATTCGAAGACACAAGTCAACAGTTCTTATTTTACTTTCATGAATAAATGACATCAAGGCAGATGTTTAAATTTAATGCTGCAGTTGACTGGAATCACACATGACTGCATTAAGCCACATACACTGGCTTAAGTTCACTGATGTTTGTAGTAAATCTTGTGTTATCGCTCTAACTAAGAAACCAAAACAGGTAAAATGAATGCGATACATGTACAGTAAACACTCGCTAATAAGAACCTAACTTACATTTTTTTTTTGAGGTCTGGCAAAAAAGGTTCATTTATTTTGGGGTACGTTACAGAGTAATTAAGGCTAAGTACAACTGTAGGTTCTTAATTAGGTTTTAATTTTATGAAGGAGATGAACGTAACAGGGTGTCCCAAAAGTTTGTTCCTCTAATTTCATGCTCAGTGTTAACTATTGATCAAAACTTTATTTTTACATGAAATTTCTAAAAGATGTTTATTGCTCTATCAAGTACATGATTCTATTCAGAAGTTCAGTAAGCTGCAGGTCCCCTTTTTTTTTCTTATCACATTCTGTAGCCATTGCACATGGCATAGAGTGGGATAAGTCATCATAGCGTCTAGAGCCCCATATGAGCCACTTTTAGCTTTTTTTCATCACCTGGTACACAGGAGCCACTTTGATCCCCAAACAATATCATTTTTTAGATTAGGCAGCAAAAAAAAAATATTTTAAGCATTCATGTAAACAAAATATAATCATCCCGGCCTCTCTCTGCAGTAGTTTTTTTTTTTTTTCTTTGCCAAGGAGACTAGCTGAACGTTGCTTGGTGGACTGAGCAAGGTTTTTTTTTTTGCCATCTCACAGGCCTCCAACCGTCTCTTTCCAGGAAACTGCCCCAGACTTAGCTTGCTAACTGTTTTGAGAGCTGCCTTGTTGAGTTTCCTTTTTTTTTTTGCCCAGCCTATTTTAGAACTATTTTAGCTGCTTTATTCAGGACTTTATGTTCTCCAGCAGGTTCTTAAACCACAGTTTCTTATTAGTGAGTGGGTGTTTACTGTAAGTACAGTAACATTCTTTTGTTTCTTTAACAATTGGTGGTATAATAATATTTTTGTTTGTGCAGAATGGAAAATAATACAATCCAGATTCAGTTGGTTTACAAAAACATCCTCATCATTTACCAGCTTCTCTATAACTCTTTTTGTTAAAGATTCAAGTTTTTAAGTTTGAAATGCTCTACATTGTAACTCAATCGCATGCCACATCAAAATACACCTTTGAAATCTTCTCCAGGAAAAATGTTTTATGATGCTCTCTAATTAAAATATTAAGCTTGACTCCGGCTTTTAATGTTAGTATACAGCTGTAGGTGAAACTCTGCAGCAATCACCTTAAAGATGGAGATCTCTAAGTGTTTATTATGGGGAGATAGGTATATAAAGCCTTGTTTCCATATGATCGTCCCGATCACTCCAGTCATTTAAAAAAGTTTTGAGATGATCCAGACAACTGGGACGATAGGTGGTTTCCATGTGATCGTACGGGTGCCTCAACGACAAGAGACACAGGGTGTCATCAGCGATGTCTCTGAGTCAGACAATAGAATTTTTGTGTGGGTTTCACAAACAAGCCAAACATACATGTAATGATGGATTTTAAATGGTGAGCAAATCTCAAGCTATGCTATCTTCTTTTTCTCTCTATTTTGTGGTGTCAACAAACTAGAAGTCAGTTCCACAAAGATATTGTATCACGTATAGAACTTGATGAAACAGACTTTCTCTTTAATTCAAATAGCATCCATACGTGATGTGAACATTTTTAATTATTTTTGACTTCAGCGGCATCCAGGCCGAATATATTCTCAATTAATGGAATGATAGTGATGATTTCTGGAATAGCCTTTGATCGTCCTGATAGTCTCAGTCATCTGAGAGCATTTCCAGATCACTTCAAAATTTACACAATGCTCCCAATCGTCCGCATAGAACTCAACTCTATTCACGCGATCGATAGAGGTCATCTCAGTCATCCAGGTCATTTGCGATCGTCTGGGTAGGGTTTTCATATGATTGTCCCGATCATCTGAACATTATTTGAGGCATCTGGGACAATCACAGCACAGCCAAAATGTGTCAATGACAGTGTTATCATGGACAGACATAATCAGGGAAAATCTATAATATAAATAGTTATACATATGATTGTAAAAGAAATGTGATTTTTCTTGGCCAGAGGAAAATCAGGAAAAGTTTGCAAGTGGTCAGGAAAAGGCAGTTAATGTGAAGGTCTGTGAAAAGTCAGCCGCAAGTTTATTTTCTGGTAAAAAGTTTTCAGAAAACGCGAGTGAAAATCATTTTAAAAAGTCAAAAACGAAGAGTAGAGAGTAATATTGATTTTTTTGGGGGGAAATTTTTTATAAGTTTCTGCTGCTGAATTAATAAACTCTATATGAACAACAAGCAAACAAAACCTCAGGAAAAAAAAAAAAGTTGTTTACGGAGCAAAACAAAGCAAATAAGGTGTTGACTGAGATCTAGAGTTTATACTTCAAGTTGTTTTTTGCATATTAACTTGAAAAGAAGCTATGACATCATTGCCTATAACAAAATGCTGTAAAATTAATATTAATGGCCTTGTGCCCAAATCTTAATCAGCTAACAAGGTCATTATTTAACCACTGCTAGGATTTTGTTGCATGATAAATATGTGGAAAAAATGAAAAATATTAATGTAAACATGCCTATTAGTCTGTTATTCATTTAATAAAGTTATAAGCAATAGATGTTTATTATTAATTGGATGAACCTAGCCTGGTCACATCCAGTGAAGCCAACCAACTGTATACATGTAGGAAAATGCAAAACTTTGCCTTTAATCACATTCTTCACGAAAACATCTGCACTTTTCACTTACTGTTGTGTCTTCGAGTTTATTAGTTTTAATCAACAATTTATAATGAAAGGGTGTGTGGAAAAAAATTCGTAACTTTTTTTTAGATTTTTACCAAAGTGCAGGCCGGTATTTTTAGGTTTTCATGCCTGTGATTTGACAGTCTGCAATTTTTATTAACATTTATTATATAGACACGAGTGTTTTACTGAAAATATACCACTGGTAAAATTCATAAAAACTACATCCGGGACCTGAGTGGTTTATTTTCCATAATCTCACACGTGAGTTTATCCATGACGTAATGTCGGTAATTTCCCTCTATTATTTTATCAATGTCTTTTTGTCTATATAATAAAAAGAACATTACACGGCGGATTGAAGATATGAATTTTATTTTCTGGTGGCAAAAACAATATTTTACGAACGAGCGCATTATCTTCGCGCCACCGTGTAATATCCTCTATATAACACTAAAGAATCTATGCAATTTGTTTTGGGACACGAATTTTCAATATCGAGATTAACATAATCAAGAAGCCAAATAAGAAGGTCTAAATTCCTTGTTGAGCAAGACAACAAGAAAATGGCAGGGTGATTTTATTGAATAGCTCGATGTTAGTTTATACAAGTGCCAAACTTTCCAATTACTTTTTAGGGGCAGTGTCATCAAGGTTTTGTGCTACGTACTTCAAAATCCAATAAATGCATTATTTTGTATCATTAAGAAAATCCACTGATTCACTATTTTCACATAGACCATAATGCACCTTGTTTGCCCCCCAAATTTTGCATAAACATTCTTTTCAATATTCAATATTTCTCTTGAGATATATGACTGTAATATCCAGGAGAAACTGAAAACAAAATGCAAAATTTTCGGGGTAAACAAGGTGCATAAATTGTAGTCTATGTGAAAATGGTGAATATAGTAACCTTAATGGCCTCTCTAGGCATCATTAAAAAGAGAGTTTACGCCATAAGAAAACTTAAGTGCATGGACAAATCCTTAAAAAAGTTGGACCGATCCGTTTTCAAGTTTGTTGGAGTTACATCAATTGGAAAATCTTTTCAAAACCATTAAAATGATATTGTTATTATTATAGTTCACTTGCGCTTTTCAGAATGATTCGATGTCTTTCTCATCATTCAAATGTCATTTTGTGTAACTCTATATAGGGTTCTAAACGGGCCTTATAGCAAAGTATGTGATTTCTCTGCCAGAGTATATGTGTATTTTGCACAAAACAGTCAGAGTTGGTTATTAAAACAGAGCCTTACTGATAGAATGAGGTTTAAAAAAATGTCTGGGCCCCCAAAATAGATATTAAATGATCTTTTCAGCCTAGCCTGGAAGGCTTTTTGATGCTCTTAACAACAAACAATGTTTTCTAGATATGGCCGGTAAGGATGGTAAAACAATCGAAAAATGACATAGAATGCGCAAGTTCTGTTAAACACCACCTAAACTTTGTTTTAATAACCAGCCTTTAGTTTCAATTTCTAGATTCACAATTACCTAAAAATTTTAGAGTCTACATTGTGCCCAAAGCAAAGTGGCCTTTAAGGGAACAGGTCGTAAGTTGGTTTTTGTGTCCAGATTATGCAAACTTTGGACCACAAATTATGAGTTAAAGTTGCCGTTCTGTGTTTAACAGAAAGCTACATGTACATAAATGGAGTTAATATTTCTTATCTCTTAATTAGTGTTAGCCCTTTGTGGGTTTATAAATGGAAAGCTTTGTAAATATGCCACGTTATTAATACTGCCCAAGCGTAAGTAGGTCAAGATGGCTGGAATTGTTAGGGGTTTCAATGTTTTAATGAAACAATACAAAGTTTGTGATCAACAAGTTCTTTAACCTACGTAGACTAGCTGGCGGTTTCATTTGGGGTGTCTAAGAGACATCTCTCACTTTACAAACTACAAACTAAAACAACACCCTGCACACAGCAAACAAACCGCCAGCTGCAGTGCGGGCTACAAGTTCTTGGAAACTCAGTGTTTTGTTGCAAGTTTTCCTTGGTTGAAAGTTTTTTTTCTTTCGTAAATAAAATGAACCAAGGATGAAAATGAATTTCTACATAGGCATACCGATAATTTAAGACAGAATCCACCAGGAAATTGAGTAATTTTAATTTTCAGTGGACAAAAACAAAAAAAACGGAATAATTTAAAGAATTTTGCATTCTTTGTTTTACATTTTTCAAGGGCTGAAGATGTAATAAATCATCTGTAGTAACACCAAAGAAAATTTCTCATGGAAGTCCGAGAATTATGAATGTCAAATTTTACGAGAATTGTGATTACACATTTAAAATTCAGAAAAATTTGACATTCATTTTCTTGGGCTCCCATTTTTTTTGTTGTCACTACAGATGATTTATTACATCTTTAGCCCTTGAAAAATGTAAGAAATAATGCAACATGCTTTAAATTATTAAGGTACAAGATTTTTGTCCTCTGAAAATCAAAATTCCGCAATATCCTGGTGGATTCAGAATTTTTTTTCGACATTTACATTGTATCTTTATCATGACTGAACTGTAGCATTGTAATAGCATTGGTATTTTGTTAATTCCTATGTTTTATTTGCAAAATAAAATTAAATGTGTTACTGGTTCACTTTTTTAGAAAATACATAGTTTTTTGTTTTGAACTGAACACATGGGGGAGGGGTGAGGCAGTGGTCAGAGCACTCGACTCCCATCAATTTGGCCTGGTTTCAGGTCTTGCCATGTATGCCATATATGGGTTAGGGACCGGTCGCCTGGGTGCGGGGTCGGAGGATTTTAGAGGGGATTACTTGTTTTTTGGGAGAACAAAAGGGGGGAGCAGTTGTAACTGAGAATCCAAAAGCGGGGATCACTGAAAACTTGGGAAGGATTCAGAGTGGGGACCACTCAAATTTGCTTGGAAAATGAAGACATGGGGGGGGGGGGGGGGGAGATCGTGAAAGTCATCAAAAGTTATTAGGGGGATCACTTCGGTGAATTAACACTCAAAGTGGGTATCAGCTAACTTTCCTCTTGTTTTGCCTCAAATCCTCCCCCCATCCCCGGAGATAAACAATGACCTGTCCCTTAGACCTGATTAGCAATGAACGCGCTAAATTATTGAAAATCGCGACCCGCGAGGAAGGTGTCTTACGCGCGGTGCTCTGTTTCTTTCGCGCGTCACCTTTCTCGCGGGTGGTGAGGAAAATGACAGAATACTCGTAGTCAGATTGGTAAGGCTATTTTCTTTCCTGACTTTTTTACCGCAAAAAACATAATAAAGCATTGTTATGGAACTCTGGCGTCGAGTTTTCCCTGGAAGCAAAGAAGCTAAGCGACGTATAAAATCTGTCATTTAAAATTATTTTAAATGACAGATTTTTAAGGAGTGAGCAGATAATCAAGAAATCCCGCAGGAAATCCCGAGCGGGCTAGATTACTGTGAAACTCAGAAAACCGTGAACACGTGAAAAATTTCAGGTATTTAGCAGGAGAGTACTATTTGGGGACACTATTTTTACACGGGACCGCCATTTTACGTGGTCATCCGAGGCACGCGAAGGTCTAGCCGCTTACAGGTTAAAAAAGTACCTTCATATCTCAGTTATTTTAAGACCTTGAGTATTGTTGGTTTTCACATGACATCACTAAAATTCAAACCACTGAGCTAACCCTGCGCGGCCAATCACAATAAAGTTTAGGATACGAAAGGAATCCTCAAAACCACAAACTAATTACCATTGGTGTTTGCGGTTTAGTTATCTCGCGCCTTATTGGCTAATTTCTCGCAACACAATAACATGCCATAAATATTTCTGGTGTTGAAATTGGAAAGGTCTTCCCTGTAATGGGAAAGTGAGCACGATAGGGACATACCGCTTCCACGAACTTAAACTTCAAGCCGTTTCTGGACACGCCAATGAGACGGGGCATTATCAGCTCTGGGACGAGGTCACTTTTAACAGTAACCGAGACCCTCGCTGGTACTCTCGGAGGGTGAAAGAAACACTTAACAGCATCAATAGGGACAGTGGAATTGAGAATTCTCGGCTGATACGAGGATGCCTACAGTCAGACACCGATCAGTACAACAGCACAGCGGACCGCTGAAGGAACAGTCATCTCCTCTAATGCCAACAATGCTTTAGATCGAGCCCTACCAACCATGTCCTGGGTGAGGTTCGTGATACACCAATCACCAAGAACTACGGTGGTTTACTAATAGTTCCGCTCAGAAAATCGTAATTCGACTATCGTGAAACAAACGATAAAAGAAACCCTTAAATAATATTGATCTTCAGATATTTCACAATTTTCAGCACTTGAAAAGGGTTTATTATATCTGCAGTAGTTAAAGGTGAGAAGGGTGAACGAATTTTTACTGTGAAACTCGCAAAACCGTGAACACAAGAAATATTTAAGGAATGTTATTGTGTTGCCAGAAATTAGCCAATAAGGCGCGAGATAACTAAAACGCAAACGGTAATGGTAATTAGTTTGTAGTTTTGAGGTTTGCTTGCTTTGCTTGCTTTATTGTGATTGACCAGTACACAATCAACAATCCTGTGTGCCAATATCACACATGTACTACGGCGGCAACACTAAGTAATTTGCATCACAACCTTTATTAGGTAGTTTTCCAGGAAGATCATTTTGACAAGCAAATTTACTTGTATCGAAACAGTTTTGTATCGAAACGAACGGCCACCGTCATAGGATAAGATCTTGTAATCTTGTCCGTGTGTGGTAAAACGGAACCCGAGGCTCAGCCATGGAGGTAGGTAGGTAGGTAGGTAGATAGATAGGTAGATCTAGGTAGTTAGTAAAATCCAACTAGTGGTCCATTGTCAATGTTGAATTCTGATTGGTTGAGCTAATACTAGGCTATACGTTATAGCCCACTAGTAGCGAAAAGCGCCGGCTTTTTGGCGGCAAAAAAGGATTAAAGTCTAGCTTTAACTAGCTAAAGTTGTTTTGTCTCGATATTTTTGACCAACTAGTTGGATTTTACTAAAACAATTATTCCTCTCGCCCTCATGGCCTCTGAGTCAATAGCCCATTCGGCCTTCGGCCTCATGGGCTATTGACTGAGAGCCCATTCGGGCTCGAGGAATAATTGTTAAATACAATTCATTACAATTCAAATAAGAAAACAGTATAAACTATCTACATTATAATAAAAATATTAAAGAAAAAGCTGCTTTCCATGAATGCCATGCCCTTGAGTACTTGTTTAAGAAGACATTTGAATTTCATAAGAGACTCTGCTTGTCTCACATTACACTGGAGTTTGTTCCATAGGATGGCGCCACTATAGCTAAAGCTATTGTTGTAATAATTTGTCCGCGGTAAAGGATGCAAAGTTAATTCTCAGAGTCTCTAAGGTTATATGCCGTTTCTCGTATTGCAAACCTAGAACATAAATATTCTGGAGCCAACCGGTGTAAAGACTTAGAAACCATCGTGGCTTTTTCAATTTCATGCTGGCGTGCTAGATTTTTCCATCCTGGGAGTTCAAACAGGTAACCAGCGTCTTCATCGTAGTCTGAAAATGTCAAAAAACGAGCTGCTCTAATTTGTAGTTTTTGAAGTTTGTTCCTTAAGGTTATCCCACAGTTTCCGGCCAAAACAGTATTGAAATAATTGAAGTGAGGGTGAATAAGAGCTTATTAGTAAATTAGTTGTAAGGTCGCTTGGGGGACAAGGTACCTTACTCGCTTTATGGCCCCGATGCCAGAAGATACTTTCTTTATTATCTTCTCCATATGGCTACCCCAATCGCGATTATTATCGATGGTCACTCAAAGAGATTTAGCAGTAGCGACTTGGGTAACTCGAAAATCATTAATTGCAAGTGTTGGAGAAACTGTTACAATACTTAGCCTCTGGCTAGATCCAATTGACATGAAGTCGGTTTCCATGAACTCGCAAAGTGCACTTGATAAGACGAAACTTGCTCAAAATACATTCTAGTAAGGCTTTTCTACTGAGAACTTCGACTGAGAATTTATCTCAGAGTTAAGATTTCAATCCATCTATGAATTTTACCGTCTTTGCCGCAGTTGAGCCTTCATTTCTTGAATGCGGTTCACCAACGGACGATTTGAAGTTGCACATTTTCCAAGGACTAGATCCAGGTCCTCCTCGCTTTTCTGAGAAAAAGCTGTTTCCGCCGCATCTTCGTATTTCCTGGGACAAAAATTAAAATGTCGTTTATAAATAGGTGGAACATGATTAGCTAGTTTCTCGAAATTCCCTGTAACGTTTCGGGCCCGAAATAAAATATTTAATTCAAAATCAAAGCGGGAATAAAAGGGCGAGTCCTAGCCAACAAACCAGTTAATTTTGTTTTTACTGATAGAAAGCTACACGTCATATCAGTATGGAATATCTGCAAACATTCTTCAGACAAGCTCGCGAGGAAACCAGTGATGGTGTCACAAAATGTCAGCTATTTTCTCAGGGTAGCATCAATTAGCAGTGCAGAACTCGAGTTATTGTTCCCAATCACTTACGAATTTGTATACGCCCAGGGTTTTGTGGTCAGCGGATTCAGTGCGCGCTTCTTGGTTCTGGGGTGAAAGGATGATCGGCATAGTTGCAACACAAGTGCCACTACACCAGGCAAGTTTGTTTAGCCAGCACTTTAAGTACAGTAAAAACTTCAATAAACTCACCCGGGAAGAACTCTGGAGACATATTTCTCCGCCTCTATTCTGATCTATTGTTGGATTCCAGGCAAGCTTCAAAAAATGGCTGTAAAAGACCAATGTATATAACATCAACAGCGTCTGCACACTGGAATGTTTATTCACAATGTTTCACTGAGTTATGGAAACTCATGAACGTAGTCTTTAAAAATAAAAAAAGAAATAAATGCTTTTTGATAAATACCGACGAATCTGTACCAACGACCATCTTTCCAAGACGACCATCATTTTATTCCGGCAGACAGTCCGTACATTCACTCTTGAACATTTAATATCTTACGCAGTGGGGTTAGGGTTTCTTTTCGTGTTTTTTATTTTACCTACTGCCAGGTTCCGGGGGATATTCCGGGGGTATCCGGAGTGTTCCGAGATGCCCCCTTATTCCCCACAATGGCAACGCCTCTAGAAAAGGCACTTTTCTCTAAAGGGAGCCGTTGTAGAAAGGTTCGACTCTGGTACAAAGCCGTTTCCGGTTTCGGGAAAACCTAACTTGCGATCCGGCGGTCCTTTACTCCCTTTCAAACGCTTGACACAGGCTACAAATCAGGGGGGTGAACAAACAAAACTTAACACTACATGGTGCAACTAAAGACTATTTCAATAATGGGCTGAGAACGCGAACGAGAACGCGATGGACGCGTGAGGATATGAAAGGACGGAAACCCTTCCTTTTCTCCTCCCCCACGCGCCCTAATTCCCACATTTCTCGTCACCTTTAAAGGCACAGGCCACAAATCAGCGGTGTGAAGAAGCAAGCCTTAGATTAACGTGGTGCACCTAGAGGCTGTTTCAAAAAAAGGTCCTTGGATGTCAAAGGTCTCGTTGTTTACGCGGTCTCTGATAAAAAAAAGATGTTACAAACCTTTTGTCCGGAACCCTGAATTCCTTTTTCAGTTGCTCAGCGACTTTTAGGTCTCCTTGAAGTATGCAATGAAAAGTATAAAGTAATCCTTAGAAACTAACCCCAGGACAGTATGATAGTCTGTGGGAATTAATTGACATTCAAGAAAGCTACTTAATAGTACTTTCTACACCGGTTTACTGTGCTTTGCAAGGTGGTTTTAACTACTTTAAGTCTGGATAAAATCTTAAAGAACGACAATTCGAACGAAAGCTACTGAACAGAGATTTCCTGCATATACTGTTGATTCCAAGTTCTAAGATTTGATTCTGTAGATGCAATCTTTTAGTATGGCCATTCAAATGAAAGCTTGTACTTGGCAGAGATTTCCAGCGGTACTGTTTATTAAGCATTTATTTAATGACATCTTAATTTTGATCATTCAAACGAGAGCTACGATTCAGACGATTTTTGGATCAATTGAGATTTTTGAGTAACTGACTACCTACCCCTCCTTTAAGTTACAATTTGTCCCTAAATAAGAAGTAGGGGTTAATGTTGACTTAGGGGAGGGGTAGGTGGTCAGTTAACCGGCCTCAATCTACAGTAAAGGCTAACACAGTTGAGTATGTTACTGATCGCACCTGGTAGATAGTATCGCTCAAGGACAGATCCATAAATGTCTTTCTGTACTTCTCTTCTAGTTTGACTTGATATTCCATGAGTTTCATTTGTTCTTCTGTTTCCTGGAAAATTGAACCGGGCGTGCATACAATGCATCACTGACAAGAAATGTTTTGTTAATATTTATAATATTGTTCAGATATAGAGTGTTTTCACTCACGTGACCAGCATCTATGCAAATTTTTTTGGAACAAAAGATAGCGTTTGCATATAAAGAAAAGAGTTCAACTCCCAGAGGTTGGGTTTGGGACACCAATATGGCCGCCATGACGTCATGTGAAAACACTCTTTTAAGGCGCACTCTGATTGGATGACAAAGCGTGTTTATCGGGGTATAAAACACGGAGCTTAAGCTTTCACGCCATCTGCCAATAGTTTGTTTCGGAAATTAGAAAGTACTGCGTGGTGAATTTAACGGATTCTTTATCATAAAACCAATAAAGAAACCTTTACTGTGCTTCGTTATGTTACAAAGCACTTAAGAACTAGGGATAAACACTCTCGACTAAGTCTTGTGCGTCCCCCTACACTCGGCCTTTCGTACACTAGCCCGGCGCTTCCTCCTGCGTAATTTATATCAGTTCAGAGCACAGTCAAGGTATTTGTTAATGAAACACAGCGAGAGGAGTGGAGAGTTTCTGGGTGCTTTTGAAACGAATGTCGCACGTTTATCCCGTATCCTAGATTACTAGACAAAACATAACATCCGTCTGCTGTTTCTCCACATAGTAAGGAATGAGTGGCTCTAGCGTTGAAGGAGTTTGAAGTATTTTAAATCAAAGCAACAAAGTGAAGAGCACACACCTTTGAGTAGAACTGAAATCCTCCTTGCTGATAAGACATCTGTGCTTTGGACAATGTGTTCATCTTGGATTCTATTGTCTAAATAATAAAAATAGAAGAAAATCAGATTTTATGTCAAGTGTAGTGACAAGAGATATCAAAACGATGATTCTATTCTATGGCCGGCAACAGTTCATAGATAACGAATTTCCTCTTATTTCTCAAGGAATAATAAGGTGAGCGCCAATCTCTTTTCCAAGGATGTGATCCTTTTGGTTCAGGACTAAAAGCAACCGCTCCGCCAGGCGTTACGCAACTAATAATTAACCCTTCGCGTGACGGCCTTTCCTGCAGAGCTGCGATTTTCAGGCGCGCGCGCTTTGTTCGCTGTACGATCCCTGTGAAAAATAACAGATAACTTGTAGTCTTATGTCTCCTTTGGTCACGTGGTCACTGCATGTATTGAGGGCCACTATTTACAACGAAGAAATAGACAGGAACAATTAGCCCATGCGTACTAGATATCACTGGTTATGATTAGAACGAATTTTGGTAAAGGTTTCGAGTTTAAACACGAGAAATGTGCGAGTTAAATTCTGTTTCTTGAGTGCGATTCTCCGGGACCTTGAAAAAAACAAATAGAAACGTAGCCATTTTTCACTGTCGCGACTCCGACATTTCAAAGAAATGAGATTAAAAACGCTCCAAACTTTACCTCTCACCCCTTCACTTAAGTTTTAAACATTTTAACGTCATTTTTATGACGTTAAAGAATGAACAGAGAAAGGAAAAATGTCTCCTGGCAAATAAAGGCGGATTTTCTCCTGGTTGAAGCCTTGAACAAATACGCACTTATTTACACAACGTTTTTTCATAGACTCACCTTGATGTAGAGGCTGAGTGCCACAGGATGGTAACGTATGGCCATCAAGAACTCACCAAGAGTTAGATTATCCTTCAAATGCATAACAACCATATACACTAGAAAGAGAAAAAAAGACAACACAAATGAAATGTTATCTAGATACAGGGGAAAAACAATTTGGCGGGTTTTGGATGACGGCAGTTTGGATCCATCAATTTTGATCACCTGACCAGAGAAAGCTGTTACCATTGGAGGAGAGCATGTAAGGATCAAGATGGTTGAAATATCCTTGAAATTGTGTCAACGGCGAGGGAAGATCCAAATAATGAGCAACAAAACAATCTCAAAAATGTTTAAAGGTTTGAAACTCTGTCTCAGCTTGTAACGCCGCTGGTGTAACGCCAACTTTTAAGCTGAGAAAGAGTTTATTCTAAATTTTTGGAACCTTTGGTACAATTTCAACATTACGATAGATCTTTTTATAAGTCGGCTCTTGCGACTACGACGAAACAAAAACGAGCTTCAAAAATTGTTCCCATTCACTATACTTAAAGTTAGCTGTAGTTCTCCGCAGTGGTACCCACTTATAACTCACCCAGATCCGTGTCTCCACTCATAATGGCCTTCTCGAGCGCTAGGTCATCTTCACTCATGCGCATGAGCAGTGGAACTTGGTCAGCGGCTTTTGCTTCATAGTCCGACAGCTACAGGTAAAAAATCAGGCCACGAAGATGTGAGTATCTTGAAAGATACATTATGCATCATGGCATAGCCTGTACACAGACGTTGTTTTATTTTTCTTTTCGTTCTTTTCAAATATAATCCCCTGCGGTTTATATTTTATCACCCGCGCTCGACGGACCTTGAAGAGAAAACAGAGGGCCTGTGAACAGGCTATTATGGCATGGCTATGATAGGCTTGTTTGCCGATTTGCAAACGACGAACTTACTATGGTGAGATCGCTCCAGCGAGAAGTCAAGGCTGGCTTTAAGCCAGGCTGTAAGCAGGTCTCCTCGTGGAGGCACAAGCGCCGAAGCCACGAGAAAGGCCGTAGGCAAAACCTGGACCACAGAACCGAATCAGATCATTCCCAGAGGCACTATCCCTTACCTTTAATTATTCAGTGAGTTACAGGTGTTGATCTGACCCGGTGCGTTTCAGGTTTTGTTGACGTCCTATAAGACGAGCATATTGGTAACCCCTGGAGAGAAGAATGGTGAAAGTTAAGAAGTTATATTGATCAATGGCCCACGTTCGATATATTAAAATTCTAACATGACTCCAAGGCTTTAGGGTCAAAACTGAAAATTTTTCACGACTCAATTGTCTCAAAATTCCCAGAAGAGAATTAAGCACAAAAAAAAAACAAACCCAATAAGGAAAAGATGACCAGAAAGCCTCGGAGCCATATAGCAGCAACATTTCAAGTGCTATCCCTTCTTCGTTCTGACGAAGGGCTAGAGCATGAAACTTGTTTGTATTTAATTTATCAACTCATTTGTTAAATCTCTCCATATTCCATTCCCCCATTGGTCTTCTTTGCAGCTGTACGTTTTCTTTCTCGACATGAGTCCTTTAACAATTGAGTAATATTTCACCATAGTGGTATTGCTGATAATAAAGCGGACCGCCGAACTAATTACAAAGCGCGGTCCTCATACTCCGGATACTGAAAAAAAATTCTTGATTACCTACAGTAAAAGCAATCTCGCAGGTAAAAAAATCCTATTCTATACCAACCCACGTTATTTTAAGCCTCAGTGCTTTTGGACTGAAATAGCGCTATATAAATAAAGTTGATTATTTTTTACTATATGGAAAAAGTTGGCTCAGCTAGGATGGTGACCTTACCAAGGAAAACAGGTCACCCAACAACAGGCTCACCCAGGGTGGCTAGCAGTGGCGGTCTAACAATAAAGGGGGTGGGGGCGAGCCCCCCTTGGCCCCTCCCCTAGATCCGCCACTGGCTTGGGTAGGCGGCTGAGCCTTTTACCCGAGACAACTTTTTCCCAGAGAGAGTGAAGCATTGTTTACCTCAAATTCCTTTGATGCATCAAACAGCATCGCACCTGGTTCCATTGAACCGATTTGAAACACTTGTTCCACAGCAGCTGAAAGATGAATAGGAATAGTTGCTCTAGTATCGGACATAATCGTTCACATTCCTGATAAGAAGTGGTTCTGGTTGAACGGTAACCGGTCAAGTCGCTAGAAAGTCATCTCGCCCGAAGTCATATCGCCTGAAACCAGAGTAATGTCGCCTGAAATCCTAAGTCATGTAGCCTAAAATTTTATCGAGTGTATAAACTTGAACAAAAGTAACATTTGAAGTATATCGCAAGGAATTTAGTCGAAAAATGTTGACTCAACTGTGTCCGGTAACCTATGCAAATGTGAAGTTAAACACAGACGCAAATATCGCTATTTATTTCGAGGGACATGACTCACGATATCGGGCGACATGACTCTGATTTTGGGCGACTTGACCGTAAACCGATTGAACAAGTCGACTGGAATAAAGTTTAGGGCTTTTTGCTTGCTCGTGACAACAGGGTACCCATTTTCTTTGGAGGGGGGAATACTGAATGTAGAGTCAGTCCCATCTGCTTCCGGGGATAAAGCTGAAAAAATCATATATGAGCCACAGCAAGACCACACTGAGCTATAGATTTAAGTCAACAGTCTCGAGAGTTTATTTCGGTTTAAGCACCTACAGGTAATGACACGTTTTAGCAGAAGGTAATTTGGAAATGTATCAAAAGTCTGTAGAGAAGAAATAAATCTCAAGGACATCCCGGCCACCAGCAGGGATTCTTATTTTTGGCTATATTTCGATAGCTGTATGAATCGAGAACAAGAGACACGTTTTTCATCTGCGAGCATTTTGAAACCTTTCACTTGTAGTCTGCTAATACAGCCGTTTCACCTTGCTCCTGGTTGCTAGCGAGGTTTCACCAGGAGGAGAAACCGCCCGCAATCAACGTAATCATATTTACCAACCTGGAACTTGCTGAAGCAGTTCATGAGTCTCGTTACCAATGATTCTTACGCCATCTAACTCTTGAACTAAATGAACAGCACTGTCCATCTGATATGTCAAATATGTTAAGAAAGTGTGCTATCCGTAGCATAGGCATATTTATTAAAACTGAACCATTGGATAATGCAGTTAAAGAGCTCTGATTGGCTTAGCCATCATGGGTATATGAGCCACATACCAAAATTTGAAAATCGGTTGCTCTCACAAATAAAGTCGGGAAGAATTCTCGATATTTTGTGGGCGTTTTTAATAAACAATTAATCAACTCATATCCAACGCGCACTCGTGGAATAATTGTTAAAGATATGGCAATCGCGTGTTCAAGTGGAAAAAAACTACTCGTATCTTACAAATTACCAATATTCCACGGCAGTAACAGAAAAAAAATAATTAAACTACACTGGTAACAATTGTCAGTTCAAATCATATAATGTCTTCTTTTTCAGTCTTTCCATGATGCAAAATGATTTAACACTGACCTGTCCCATTGACAAGGTTTTCTTGATTGCGCCATGAATAATTATCATACACCATTACAGTACCATCATCAGCCACGCAAAGTAGGTCCTCTGTGACGGACCATCCCATCTGAATTATGGGGCCTCCATCCCACTAAGAATAAAAAAGAACACTTGATCAATAGCCTACAGAAGCAGAACATACTTGTTTTCGGTCTTGTTCCCATGCAGTGATGGACTAGCCTGTTTCACAGCCATTTTTGATGTTGTCATGCAATGCTCCTCCCCACAAAGGGAGGTGGGGAGGAGCGTTGTGTGACAACACAGGGCTTGAAAATTTTTTGGAAGTATTTATAGCCGTGGGCTAGCTGGCATTTCCTACTTTACTAGCCCAGAGCCTGAGAGTTAGCTCTAGCCCAGTACACATTTGCAATGTGAGCCAGTCTTACGACTTGTCTGCTAACGATGGATATTTTTTGTGACACGTTTCGCAAAACATTACACCCTTTTCCTCGTCATACTCCACCCATGGCTATTTTGTTTTCCTCGGTGGAAGAAACATATGTTTTCGCTGGGCATCATACTTCTTGTTTTTGGTTTGAATTTCATCTGCAGCAGCTGGCTCATCTAATATTATTTCTTTTCCTGTGTGAAGTTCAAGACTCCGAGAAGCAAAATCTCCCAAAAACGAGATTTGGAGACCCATCCGAAATGCTTCTAAGATTTTGAGATTGGGCCAAATTTTTTTGGAGACCCACGAATTTCAAGGAACCAAGCTTCACCCCTACAAGTGGCCTGCTCAGCCTGGTCAATGCTTCTCTTTGTCTATGTTTACAAGTTAAACAACAATAAGGAAGACACATACCTTAACTGTGGCAAGTTCCCTTCCAGCAGAGGAAAAAATGTGAATGATGGGTTTATTAATAGCTGATCCTTGGACTCGAGCAAAATGCTTGTCATCTCTTATCAGAGCTGAAAATTTTTAATAGAAACAAATAAAAACCTTCCCTCAAAAAAGGAAATGAGGGGGTCTGAAGGACATTGTAAATATTCAGGTCTACCGTCCTCACTCCCCATGTATGTGAAAGTGTACATGAGTTAGCAATTAGTAATATTGTGCATATTTAGCAATTAAACCTGGTTAAATCTTAATCATCACAAATATATGACCACAGGGACAGGGGGCAATTCAGCATGAAGCCCTTCAATAATAATTATAATAATAAAAAATAATGAATTTATTCAGCATTTCTACTAGGGGGCTCTTTATTTCTCTTTAACCCTTTAAGTCCAAATAGCGCTCAAAATCAATTTTCCCCTAATGATATCCATAGACTATCATGAGCAAAGTCTATGAGAATTAACAAAATGATCACAAAGAGAAAAATATTTGATCTTTTACCAAATTCTCTCAACTAATTCTTCAAGGAAATTTATGGAGATCAGTTTGGAGAATTTGTATGTGGATATCGGGACTTAAAGGGTTAAACTATTACTGACTGTTGAACATCTACATGCAACACGGGACTGTGGGTAGAAAAATATAATATTGTTAGTATTAATTGCATGTTTTATGCACTAGCTGTTCTAATATTAATAATAAGAAGCAGGATGTTCTTCAGAGTTGTTTTCTTCCTTTCAATTATTTTCAGCCAAATCCCTTGACTTGTACAGTCAGTTGACTGAAACAAAATTCTGTGACTGTTGCAGTATAATGGACTCTTGCTGATATAAATATAAATTATATTTATAGCAGCAAGAGTCCATTATACTGAAACAGTCACAGAATTTTGTTTCAATCAACTGTTTTACAAATACCGGTACTTACAGTGCTGTTACGATCATTTAGACCTATGGTTCTGGCTCTTAACCCTTTAAGCCCTAAGGGTGATCAGCATCAAATTTCTCCTTGTAATGCTTTGTAAAACAGAGTGGGCATAAGAATTATGGACATGACCACACAAGATGAATTTGCTTCATATTTTATCAACTTCTCCCCACTACTTCTATAGGAAATGAACAGAGGCAATAAATGAGGATTCAAATTTTAATCTCAGGGTTTATAGGGTTAAACTTTCACCCTAAGGGGGGGGCTATTTACCATAAGATAAATGCAAGTAGATGAAATCCTTTCTGTACACCCTGTGGGTTAAAAAACACTTAGAAGGAGTCTGATGTACTTACCTATTGGACCACCAAAAGGTGCCGCACTCACAATAAACCGGGATAGATCCACAGCATCTTGCCACTCCATACTGTACAGCTCTACTTTCCTTTTGAAGAAAAACACATTTTGTGACGGAAACTTTTGATGTAATTCAATATATTGTGGCTACAGGGTGTACATTTAAAATATTTCTCCGTCCCTGACTGATTGGCTTAAATTCCATGGCTGCCTGAGTATTTCTTTTCTGACGCCAGCTGGTTATTCTCCAAAATTGAAAGATGTTTGCTTTGATTTAAAGGCTGATGTCAAAAGTAAAGTCTCAGACTGGAAAAGGTAAAAAAGATTAAAGGCGCACACAAGCCAAAGGCCCAAAATGGCTGGAATTTCTCCCAGTTTCCTTAGCATAAAGCATGCTACTCCCCCCTTAATGGGATGCTAGTTCATCACATGGTTATCTCCTGGCAGTGTATGTTGCCAGTACGGATTTATACACCTGGGTGAAGAGAGACAAAGTGGAGTAAAGTTCCAAAGGAATCAATTCGACAGGCGAGGATTGAACCCTCGTCCTCCAGATCTGGAGTTCAAGGTGTTAACCGTCCCATCAGACACACCTCCAAACTGGAAAAGGATGCACAGAAATCAAGCAAAGAAGCAGAGTGATGGTTTGGCTGTTTTGGTGATAAAGACCAAGAGTAAAATAATGTTGGAAGATTTCTTATGTTATGGGTAGATTAACACCTGACTTGCACATGGAGGTTAGGTGCCTACAGGTAGAACCTAGGGAATGGAGCTGCCAACCCCTAATCCAGGTAGCAAGAACACCCCACAAGTCTGCCCTACTTACAACCCAGCCACGAGCCCTGCCAGCCACACCCAGCCCCAGTCAAAGCACCCATCATACTGAACTGAGAGTTCAGTGAAGAAATAAGGACCACAACAATACTAAATAAATAAATAAATAATAATAAGAGGTGAGGAGAAAGGGGAAAAACACTAAAACTGAGTAACACTGAGCAAAACACCCTGAACACTATGCACTGTAAAACGACTGGTACATGCAAACTCAGACGCATAAATTACACACCACTGACCCAGGGGGCACTGGAAATTGCCCTGCAATAGATCTAGTACAGAAACGTGAACCCCGGTAAAAACAAAAGAGCCTAGGATAACTGCCAGCTTGCCAAAGCAGTACCAATAAAACCTTAACAAATGTCAACACCACCCCAGTGCCATGTCAATGCCACGCTAATGCCAAGCTAACTACTGAGAAGCTACTGTAGCTCCTCATCGTTAACTAAGTTAAGTAAGTATATTTAACCTCATTAAAATTCCTGAACTTCTCCCTTAAAAACTTTGAAATAACCCACAAAGACACTGAAAACTACCACTTGAAGAATATCAGCAAGAATATTATTTCCCCTCATAATCTGGAACTGGTAAAAACAGGTTAGATGTTTGACTACTGGAATTTTACATAGAGGTAAGGATGTCTTCAGCTTGGAGGAAATATTTTGAATGAATAGTATAACAATAATACGTAGAATTTTATTTGATGTAAAAAATTCCAAAGATCTCACAGGTGTCATCTGCAACATATATAACTACAGAACCATGGACAGTTGTCACTGCTGATAACTACCCTGATTCAATGTTTTTTGCAAAGAAAAAGCTTACAACAACAGCAAAAAAGCAGAAGCAGAAGTTGTCATGTTGCCATTTAATTTGTAGGGTCATTCCATTTAAAAGCCACAACCCCCCTCCCTATGGATGAGATTTGGGATATTTCTGAGTAGCCTCCCACGCAGGCGTTTTTAGGGGAGCTAGTGTTTCATCCCTCCCCACAAACGCCTGCTCAACCGAGGACAACATTCCTTTTCCATTGTTATATTCGTGTAGTAAGTGACCAACCAACGGTTTTTAAATAAAGTGTTTACAGGCTAAACCCGACTCATAAGCTCGTGATAGTGTAAAAACGTGACCCAGAACATGACCCTAGAGTTACCTTTTTCCTTCTTTTTCTATCTTCGCTAAGGTTATGCAGTGCATGGTGAATATATTCTAAAATCTGACTGAGTAAATCTTACTTTTGCCGCTCTGAGTCTAACATTTATAAGAGGTCATGAAGGTTTCTCAAAGTTTCATGCAGATCGTGTAATTATCGGGTAACCCTTTGGTCAAGGTCAGCTTTCCGGAATTTGAAAAGTACAACGTGATTAGCTAAGCTTGGGAAAGGAATGTTGTCCTTGGTTGAGCAGGTGTTTGTGGAGAGGGACGAAATACGAGCTCCCCTGAAAACGCCTGCGTAGGAGGCTAATTTCTGAGGGGATTGAGCAAAAAAAGGGCTATTTATGAGGGGGTAAGTGAGGGGTGGGTTGGGGGTTCTGTGTCTGCACTTGTGATCTTATTTTTTCTTCGGGGTATAGTCAACTCACCTCATCCAGAGGGGTTGTGGATATTAAATGGCCTGTGGAGATGTGGAAAAAATTGATTTTTTTTCAATTCATTGTTGGAAAAATGGCTGTTCACGAAAGCACAGTTATCTCTAAAAAATGCAAGGGTAACCTCCTGATGTTGTTTTTGGATTGTGACATTCCTTTGTACTATGAACTAGCGATTTCTATTGATCTCCTACAGTGATTTATTCATTTTTAGAAGTAAGTTCAGCTGAAAGTCTACATCATCCGTCAAGTCTGCGTACATCATGTATTTTTTAAATTACACTCGCCTCTTTTACACAATTATTGGCACCTACATGTTTTAAATCGATTGCTTTTCGGAACTTTCCCACTTCCTTCTAATCTTGTAAGTTCCAAAACAAAACCAACATTAACATTTATTATCAACATATTATCAAGAGAAAAAATGCTTTGATCCTTTATGGAGGGGGACATGGGGGTTTACAGTAATTGCAGTATTGGGCTTTTTTTCATGCGGTATTTCGGTAATTTTAATTTTAACATGCGGTATTGCAGTATAATCTAGCTCTGCGGTATGCGGTCTTTCATCATTTTAGCTGACAGTATTCGGTTAAATAAGATTGTTCACGGTATTACGGTACCGTTTATTTACGCTTTCCTTTCGATACAATACGCAAAACAAAACACAGTAGGACATAAAGGTCAATAAAAGTTAATATTTAGAAGTCTTGAGACATAACGGTAAATGATTAAACCATTGTGGGTCATTTTGTGACAGTTAATGGTCGATAATATACAATGTGATTGTTGTTGCATCCAATGACAATGAGTCACCTCAAGTTACCTTACCAGGCTTTTCGATCTGTGTACGTGTGCCAGTCTGCTACACAGCCGTTTTTAGTGTCGTCATACAACGTTCCTCCCCACTGGGGAGGAGCGTTGTATGACGACACTAAAAACACCTGTGTAGCAGACTATACCTGTGCCGGCAATTCGAGGTCTTACACGTTTTCTCACAATGGCTGTGGACACTGAGACCGCGAAGACGGCGTGGTCATCATTGACTGTGTGGCAATTTTTTATGACGAGGGCAAAGGAGGCGAGCATAATTTATCACAACAAGAGTAAGTTTAGATGTTGGGTTTTGAGAATTGAAAAACGCCTTATAAAGTTAAAAAAGAAAATCTGGTAAGTTTGCCTCTTTACCGGCGCGGCGTGTGAGACAGTCGAGATAGTTGACCCCTGAGATACTGACGTACTAGACTATAGACTCATCCAAACTCGCACTAGACGTGCGTGGAAAGGGTTTTGGTTGGTTTGTTTGTTTGTTTGTTTGTTTTTCGTGCTTTCAAGAGTTATTTTTATTGGAGTTAGTTAGCTGTTGGGTCGACCTACCAAAAGGTTCTTTTCAGTGAAAATTTGCCAAAAATTTGCCAACTACCAAAATATTAAAAAAACATGGACATCTGGTGCATAAATGCCTTAGATAATTAAACGCGCTAGATGGAAGCACCCATAAGTATGCGGAACCGATTATGAATGTGATTCAAATATGTGGTATTGGTATTTAGACGATTTTCGACGCGGTATTTCGGTATTTGCCATTTTTTCTTACGGTATTGCGGTATTGGGTACCCCCCAATGTCCTCCTCTTTACGGTATTTTAACTTTCTGAACTAATTCATTAAAGAAATGTAAGCTTAAAGATAAAGTATACGTGGAAGCACAGGCAGCCCAGACGTAGTATGTGTCACTGAATGAATATATTTATATTCACATGGACAAATTAATGCGATGAGTCGTCGAAACTCCCATGGACTAAAATAGTCTAAACGTCAAAATATAACAAAACAAAGCTAAGATACCTTCAACTGAACGTATCCTTGTCTTTCCTGGCCGGTTTAAGTGGCATTTTATTGAGTTTTGCAATTGTAGGTACTATCCACTAAAGAAGAATTAAAGGCTGGCTACAAAACAAACAGACCATCTCCACGCGCCTTCACACGAAGCGCTATAAATTCAAGAATAATCGACGAATCCGCTCCAAATAACCATCGGCTAATCTGCAGGTAACGTGTGCTCCTGCTTCTGGCTCGCTTGCTCCACAAAACCCATCGCAACTGCACAATAATTGCTCGCTCATCAACAACCACTGTTGACCTTTACGCTTCGATATGACCGCAACCGACCAGGTATAATACGCGACGTGAATATTCAAGCTTAGCGACCGCGTTCGCGCAACAATGCAGCACTTGCTATGGGAGGGATGGTTCTATTGCTTCCAGGTCAATCAATCGGGAAAATAATATTGAAGCCCTTGTAATTTTTCAAAAGATCCAGTCTGCCCAAGGAGCACCGAACAGATACGAATCTTATAGCGGAGCTAAAAGAAATGAGCAGCAGTGGAAAAAGTGAACAAGAACATGTACCACATTTTCTCCATAAAAAGTGAAAACCAGGAAGTTTTCTGGACGTTTCACGTTGCAGTCATGCAAATCAATGGCTAGGAAATGTACAAGAAAGTCTGCTGCAATTAGACCTATTGTTGTTTTTCACAGTTCTGTTCAAGGGCATCCAACTTTTAATTTTTCACATTTCACTCACAGGGTTAGGCTACTTTTCGTAGAGAGTAAAATGGAATCCTAAAATTTTCCGATTCAAAAATGT